CAAGAATTTTCTGAACAACTCTAGAATTAGAAAATGTAGTTCCAAGCAATCTTACGCTGTTGACAATGCTTAGGAGTCTGTCAACATGCTCTTTTACTGTTTCTGACTCCATTTTCTGCATCTCAAATTCCCTGATCAGATTCAGCACTTGCGTCCCTTTGACTCTCTCATCGCCTTCATACTCTTGCTTAAGAAAGTCTCAGGTGTCCTTCACTGTCTTTAGGGTCATAATCCTGGTAAAAATTGTTGGTGAGACAGCTGAAAATAGGCATGCCTTTGCCTTCTTTCCTTGTGATTCCTGATTTGAGCAAGAGTTGGGTTGTTTGGCAAAGGAGGAACTTTGTATTCCTCCTCCACAGCTTCCCAAAGATCACTTGCATCAAGGTAAGCCTTCATTGTACTGTCCATATCTGAAAATTTTCTCCTTGAAACACTGGAGGATCAATAGTTGTGAAAGGTGTCTTAGAATCCATCGTGGCTTAAAGATTTCTGTGTAACAGGTTTGGTTTGGTTTTGAGTGTGGTTTACCCTCAATTCTCACGATCCCTCAAGAAAAATATAACGCTGATACCAATTGTAAGAATCAGGAGCTCAAATGAAAACAGAAAAATGGTAGGAATAAAACCTGTAAAGGACGAAAACAGTTGATATCTTTCCCATAATTACAAATCATCCTTAAATACACAAACTTCTTTACTAAAATCCCTATAAATCTGCATATAAACGACTAGCCAACTCACTACTAGAGCATAGCCACTAACTACCACTTCTAGCTACAAAATAGCAACTAACAAACAAAATGAATAAAGGCATGGTCAACAATTCCATATTTCCTTTTTTCAAATTAGCTACTGAGGCATACAGACAACAAGTTGTGACCCTATTAGGGTAAGGTCGAATGATTAGAATCTGAACGTGGCAAGTGCATGAAATGTGATTGGTGTAACAACTTCTTATCCTTTCTTTAAGATCCTATGTTGTCTTCCTGATTAGGCTGTTGAGATTGCGAGGCCAGACTACCAGCCATCTGACATGGACATCTTGTATGCTGAGGGAATTAGCTCATCCAAAGGGCTTTCTTGCATGGAATTTTCATTTCCCAAGCTGGCTCCAGATTTCTGCGAGAATATTGGCTACCAGCATGATCCCTTGCTGAGGTTAGTTCTATTTAAGCATTGTTGATTACCTTTGGAGTGATTAATGTCTTGCAATATTTTTAAAAACGACCTGCATTTCCTAGCCAGGTTTCTTACGTGTCCAAATCTCTTCACTACTGTTTCTGACTAAATTGCCATTGAAATTTTAAGATTTTGCTTTTTGGTGGAAATTGTGACAGATGAATTGACATTCCAAGCACTTCAAATCAGTTCCAGCCAAAACCAAGACCCCAGTGTTTAATCTGATATACAATTACGGCCAGAATTTCAAATACTGGCAAAAAACTACTGAGTTTTGAGTACTTGTTTTTCCAATCCGGAGAACACCATTGCATTGGAATTTTTTCCTTCTTACTTGCAGTCTGCTAATTAATTAGAAGTCACCATTAAAATCAAAATCACATCATTTACAGCTCCAACACTATTTTCTTCCCTTTCAGGGTCATTAAGAGCAATAAAGAAAGTCTCTTTTATAAGGTTCAAGCCTCACCATTTAAGTAGCTAATAATTCGAAATAGTTATGTCCGGTGCTTTTCTTTATTCTTCCCCTCCATATAATACAATTGCAAGGAAAGTTTTTATACAAGTTTGCTATCACATATTTTATATTTGGTTGCTATTTGTTATATATTTTTAACTTTGTCTTGATCAGAATAAAGAAAAAAGGGTATACGGTGCCTTTAAAGGAAAATAAAAGCAGACTCAGCCAATCCTTCCCTGATATCATTAGTGACATATACACTTGCAGGTATCAACTCATCAGAGTTCATCCCACAACCCTTGGAGGAAATTGCAAATGGTTGGAGATGTTTGAAGATGTTGATATTGTCTTATTTTGTGTTTCATTGATTGATTACGATGAAGTTTCTGAAGACAATAATGGAGTTCCCATCAACAAGATGATTGCAAGCAGGCAGCTACTTGAACGCATTGTCACTCATCCAACCTTTGAAGAGAAGAAGTTCCTTCTTATACTGAATAAGTTCGACCTGCTCGAGGAAAAGATTGAACAGGTCCCACTGACTCGATGCGAATGGTTTCTTGACTTCAATCCCGTGATTGGCTGTAATCCCAACAGCAGCAGAAGTACCAACCCTTCACTGGCACTCCGTGCCTTCCAATATATTGCAGTAAAGTTCAAGAGATTTTTCAATTCTCTTACTGACAGGAAGTTGTATGTTTCACTAGCTACTGGTTTGGAAACTGATAACGTTGACGATGCTCTTAAATATGCAAGAGAGGTTCTGAAGTGGAAGGAAGAGGAACGTAACTACTCCAACAATGAATTATCTTCTGCTAGCATAGAGGCAAGTTCATCCTCATGATTAACAAAGTCGTAGTCAAATACAAGGTCAGCCTGAAGAGAACAGGGGCCTGCCTGCAATTCACAACACTTCCTCGCAATTTTTTTTTTTTTTTGTATATTATTCATGTATACCAATCATGTATAGGAAAAGAGAGTCGAGTTCAAATTATAGATATTTCAAACATGCAAGAAAGTTGCATTTCTTTGAAAAGCTGAAACCTTTTCTAATTTGCAATTGCTGCTCAAGGATCAACTAAATACACCAAAAGCATTATTACCACAAGAGATTTAGGGGAAAAAAAAAAAAAACTTGTAAACTAATAAAAGAGAGGCACTACAAAGTGTAAACACAAGTCTGATTTGCATTACGGATACACCTCTATACAAACTATGGACATTTCTCCACATGCTTGGTTCGTCACAAAGGTGCAAACCTGTCCATAAGCAAGAAAACTGTGGTCTCAGACATTGTAGTCTCTCTCTGAACCACTTTGCTCGCATTTTTAACTTCCTTTTCTTCTTCAACTTCTCCCTCTTTGGGTTTTGACAAGAAGGGCTTCCTTGTTCTAACCTTCTCTTTAAGCTTGACTAGCTCACTCACACATACCTCTACAACTGCAGACATCTTTTCCCCTCAAAAGACTTGAACCTGATTTCTTTACTGTTACTTTCTGCTTTTTCTGCTGAATGAAAAAATGAGGAGAGAGCTAGAGGATATAAATAGAGGAGGAGAGGAGTGGTGGGTTTTGTAAAACCTGTGTACAGTTTGGCATGTTTTAGGACAAGTGGTTTTTGACCATGTACCAAAAAGATTCTACTACTTGTGGTTGCTCCTACGTAATGTTAAAATGGGAAGGAGGGATATAATTTCCCAATATTTGAATATTCCACAGTTCTGGTTATGCATTTCTTCACGGGTATTGTGAATGGCTCATAATCTAAAATTATGAGCGCTTTTATTTACGTCATTTTCATGATTGCAATGATTCTAAGCTTTAAAGAGCATATACCGGCGATGCTCATCTTGTATGCGCCAAAATTATTGTTCTAGCTAGACTGGCGTTTTGGCATGAGTAAAAAGATAGAAAGACTCCATCACATGTGAAGGTTTTGCTATTATTTTTGTCGGTTTGGAAAGCCGCCACATGCAACATGCTTAGATGGGGGAAAGGAGGTCGTTATCGTCACATACACGTACGCATCCACGGCCCATGGAATTATCGAGCTAAGATACTGGAAGTTTCTATGACCAAATACAATGGGTTCATATACACATGGGTTCCTCCTTTCCTATTGGCACTCTGTCCTTTTCCCATCGAATTCATCATTTGTGGACCAGATCATAGTCATAGTTTTGGGGCAAATAATTATATATAATTTTAATTAAACTCAAGGATTTAGCAACAAATGACAGTTTGGCCGAGTGGTCTAAGGCGCCAGATTTAGGCTCTGGTCCGAAAGGGCGTGGGTTCAAATCCCACAGCTGTCAATTTTATGTTTGTTTGATTTTTTTTTTTTACTATTTTTTGTGAGTTAACTCGCTTAACTCAGTTAAAGGTTTATGGCTTCGCTCAACTCAATTAGCTTACTAGAACGAGTCCACATATTCAGAAGTCTTATTCTTGTTCTTTTTTTCAATGTTCAGATGCTTCTGAGATAATTTTCGTACTTCAAAAATTAATTTTTATTTGATGGGATTTTAAGCCGTTCATCTAAATTTAAATTGATATATTCTATAAATTTATTTTCATCAATCTCGATCTCTTCTTAAATTTCAAATCCAAAACAATAATATAGGAAATTTGTCAACTCAAATTAATAATTAAAACGTCAGATATGTACAAATCATGAATCAATCAGAGCTAAATATCTTCCTATTTTTCCCAAAAAAAAAAAAAAAAACCTTCCTATTCAACAGAAACAGACAACATAAAATTAAGGCAAAAAGATCTTTCTTTAAAGTGGTTGTGAGATATTTGCTGGTTTTGAGTGGTTGACATTATGAGATGCCAAGGGGGTTGGTTTAGCACAAGGGTTTTTATACAAGAAAATTTGAAGGCTGGTTTTTGGTTAACCAAACCCACAGCTCTGTATAACAATAAAGACAGCACTGATATCCCTTTCAGGGGTTGTCCCGATAGTTTTAGTCCCAAAAAGCCAAAGGATGTCTCAATACCACGGCAGCAAACAGCAACATTAGTGTTTTGGCTCCTCAATAGATCTTGGACATTAGGTTTTGCCATGTTAATTTTCCTTTTGTTTTGACTAGAGAAAATATTAATGTATGCAAGGCTTTTTTTCTTTCTTTTTTGGGTTGGGGGTAGTTTGGTTCTTCTAATGAGATTGGCAAAATTAATTGGGACATTCATAGCTTTAAAAAAAAAAAAAAATCAAGCTGTAATGCAGAACTTCATTAAAAATCTACCATGAGCCGTTAATTATTATTATTTTTTTTTACAGAGTTTTGAAAACAAAGGCACAAAAAAGATTAAGAGTGGAAGGGAAACATTGTAAGGACGTTATAATAACATTGTTCTTCAAGCACTAAAGCAGTCGATAAGCATTGAAAGTGAAGCCTCAGAATATGCCAACACAGGTGAATTGACTCGCATGCCTCGGATTAAAGCAGGTAATGTTTTGGCCAGGCGCAAGCTTCCTTCTTCTCCTGGAACCACTTTGCTTGACTCAGCAGTATCAGTAGGGCTCGAGCCACTTGACCAAATATTCTGACCCTTTTCACGTAGCTTGGCAAGCTCACTTGTCCAAATATCCACAAGTCCTGACATTGCTAAATATCTGAAAATGATAACAAAAGCAAAAAGATCTTGATGAAAATGCTCTCTCGATAAGATATTTCAAGCTTGTAATGTATGATCACTATTTGAGATATTAAAGGTTTCTAATGGGCCTTATATAGCAAGGTTAGCGAGTGGTTTTGTGGGTTAACTAAGGCCGCACACATTCTTATGGGAAGGATTGTACTTTTTTATGTGTGTTTCTTGGGCCAACCATTTTGTCTCCAATGGTAAATATCTCAATACCACAGCACGCTAGTGGTATTTTAAATCAATTTTTTTTTTAATATAAATTAGTGGATTTACTCGCGAAAACAGGGTTGACTTAGGGGATCGGTCCACTTAAAGAGCTTACTACCTTGTTTACAGTGGTCTAGTGGGCCCTTTACGTGACGTAGGAGTTTAAGTCGCTTATTAATTTAATTTAACTTGTTAACAGCATTTTGCATTACATTTTGTCAAAGGGGTTCTCTACTTCAAATGAAATTGATTAGAACCAAATAATAATAATAATAATAATTCTACTGTATCTAGCAACCTAACTTTACAGCAGAACCAAAAATAACATTGAAATCAATCAGGTACGCTATACAATAGTGATGCTGGTAGTCTGATTTCCGGATCAACTTCTTTTGAAGGAAATTGCATTTTGAAACCAATCCAACTGCGGTGCAACATGCCAGAGTGTTGCTCAGAACCAAAATCTCTTTTAACGCAGATGAGACAGCATTTGCTTCTTTCGTCGTAAACAGAACTGGTTGTGAATTGATTGATTACTTGGAAACTCCTTCGCAGCAGATGTGCCAAGTAGTCAGTCGCACCTTCTGGAGGAAACTCTTGTACTGCTGAAAAGTAGACCAGTTCGAATCTCACGAGCCACATCACAGTTATGACGAGACAAATCTTGTTTGGGCCCGGCTCGGAGTAAGTCTCCAGCCTCAAAAGTTGCTGATTCCTCACAGGGAAGGCATGGACCAAATAGATCACACTTGAATCGCACATTTTAATGTGGCCATGATCAATTTATCAGAATTTCCAACCAAATTGGCGGCGACAGCTCTTGCAAAGGAAATCATCGATCCTGAAGCGAAAAGACTGGGCTTTATGAGGAAATAACTCCACCCGTTTAGTTACCAGGCAGGGAAAAGTTTCAGGATATGAGTCCATCCATTCAGTGTCAAGAACAAATGAGCCACCATATAAATGCTCGACCCCCTAACATTAGAATTATGTCATCACTGCTTCTACGCAGAGACTTCGCAAGTTCAAATCCACGGCGTCCAACCTTCATACATGTTGCAAAGATTATCTACACTCATTGCTTGTTTAAGCAAATAATCTACTTGCTCTTCAATACTAATTTTTCTGAGACACAAGAGAATGGTTCTATTAGGAGAGGAGGAGGAAAAAGGTATGAACAAGTTATTATAAATCCACTGAAGAGTACACATTTTAAAAGAAACCAAGTACCTGTTGTTCGCAATATCTTGACCATCTATTTTCATATCAACTCTCCTTAGCACTGACATAGCATAAGCATTTTTACCTACAAAATTGTTGCAAGATAATTAGATTATGAAATAACCAGGTAGTACTTCATTCAATTTGTTAAGGAACTAAAAGGCAAGGCCAACTTAGGAAGCAAAAAATTGCTTGTGCTATGAGATCTAATTTCATATTCTTATGACAAAATTGTGACCAAAGGTTGGTGATCAAATATGTATAAGGATAAATTATTGCGATGAAATTTAAAAGTTCCAACTCAAAAACCTTTGAAAGGTTCCATTCCTAAAGACCTTAGCCAAACAACACCCGTGGACACACTCACACACACACAAACACAGATATAAATTTAGCATATGCATTAACTATACAATTTGAAGGGCAAGAACTGATAGACTTGTATTAGACATTACCCTTGGCCACTCGACTACCAGTCTGCGGATTAGGATGAGGAGCTTCTTGATTTTCATCTTCAATCTTAACTTTGTTTAACGAGGATACTTCATCATTTTTGCTCTCAAATTTCCCCTTTGAGCTCTCATCATCCAAAGGTTGTGAGGAATCAATGGGCACATTTACGGCTTCATTGCTTGGTGGTGCCAAGGATTTCAGATGTTCATTTAGCTCACTAACTCCTGTGACAGAACCACTGTTACTGTTGGATCCTGATTGACCAGAGTTTGATATTTCCTGGCAATCAGTTTGAGAAGATGGTGCAGAAGTTAGAAAATCAGTCACCACCCTGATGCCAGATCCACAAGAGGACTGTCCTATTAGTTCTTCTGGATCATTTAAGCTGTCTGGAAGACTTGCTTCAGCTGAGGTAATGGCAGATTCTGAGCTGCTACTGTAGACGCTATCCGGTGGAGATATCCATCCTTTATCTTGCAAGGAGAGTCCATTATCGCCAGGGAGACCTTTAGTGCTCCCATTGTCGGACATAGAGAAGCTCTCTCTTCCCTTCTCATTAAATGCATTAGCACCATCATCAAGATCTGTCCCTGACAAACTAATTCCCTGTGACTTGACATCCTGGCTTTCTCCTAACCCTTCAAGAGCCTGTCAAAAATGTAAATAACGTGGGGATGCTATGTTCAGTAATCTTGTTGTTGTCAAATTGTTGCAACAGAAAACATATTAATCTCAAGAACAAGACTTTACTTTATGAAGATTGCCAGCATGGAGACTAGCAGTTTGTGCAAGCCTCGTCAGCATTGAATGCAGTCCCTTCACAGCTGATGCAAGTGATGGTACCAAGGGCTTAAATGTCTGAATAGCCTCTTTAATTCTCAAGCAGTAAGACTGGTAAATGGCTTGGCCATGAATTGGAGATATTTCCAACTTGGTCTCTCTTTCCTTGTTCATGGCATCTGTCATAGCAGTCACATCCTTTGACAATAAAGATTCAAGTGGAAGAAGAATTGCATTTGCCTGCTCAAAAACAGAAAAATAAATCAGCACATACATTCATGACTCCAGAGCACACCTAGATCAGCAAACTAAGAAAAGAATACAATTTGATTTAGTTATAAAAGTAAGACACCAATGATACAGAGAATGATTTTAGTTCAAACGCATGTAATAAAGAAACCACAGACCATGAATTGAGAAAAACACCTTAGATAGATCTTCCATGAGATAACAGTGCAGCGCAACAGCCTCCTTTCCCAGTGAATGAACGTCATGCAGATCATCAGTTATGGCCAGAACCTACAGAGAAGCAAATAACATTATTAACATCATATAAATTTCAACCATAAGCACCAGTAATTCCTCAAAATCATAATTGGCCCTGAGAATAGCAGACTGCAAAAGGAAAAGAATAAGACACAAATTTGACAAAAGGGCATACATAGAAACTAACAGTCAGTGCTTTGTTGGGCAACAACCAACTCAAAAGATGCCATCCTAAGTTTGTGAACAACAGTTACAGAGAACAATATATGATCATTTTCGTGTATGAAAATTGATTGTACATGTAGTGCTAACTAGAGAATTGAGTCTAGTTAACAAGGTTACAAGGGAAAAATTTTATTACTCAATTTGTTCAATTTACATCCTCATTTCTTTCATTTATGCACATGACATTGCATGATCCCACCACATTGACCAAAGCCCAAAGCTTTATAACATTTTGTGTGCGTGTGCTGGTGAACCCTTGGTCATTAATTTGCAATCTACAGCACTTGGGCAAATGGTGTTGTAGTTCAGATTTGTAATTAACCCTAAAGGGCAGGATCCACTCATTAGCCCAAAGAGAATAACTAGAGCATGCCATTATTTGGATAGCTGTCTGAAAACTATATGATTTACTTCCATGTTCCCACAACCACCTAACACCGCCATCTGGAAAAAAATATATCTAAAAAATAGATAGTTGTCACGATACTGAAACTATCATTGGGCATGCGAATTGCAATTGAACACTAAACCCAGCCTCATCCCCAGAATGCCATATTAAGTGAACGTGTCCCAATAAAGCACAAAGTTTCACTTAGCCACAGGCTTTGTATCAGGGTGGACATCAAAAAACTGCTCTTGCAATTCAAAATCAAAGACAATGAATGTGGATAACTACAATCTATTTCCTCATACAGCACCAACTGCAAACATATTCCAGCCTCACCTCCACCCCCTATAACACGAGCACACACACATGGTCACAAAACAGAAAATAAAACTGATGCTAGATGTCAAAAACCTATACTGTAGTACTAACTAGAGGCTATGCTGAATCCCATTGTTTACAATGCAGATGAGTCATGTTTAGCAATCATCAAAAAGGGGCCCCATTTGTACCATGCTGATCATGCTGGACCAGTGCACATGCCAGAGAGAGAGAAACTAGATTATTGTCAACTATTGCAATACCTCTTCAAGCATTGTACCAGATTCAGAAGTCAAGGCTGTATGGCCCTTTGAGATGCGACTAAAGGTAGATAGTGCCACACTAGCTTCATATGCACAGTCCCTCATTGCAAGAACAGTGTTCTGTAAATCCTCTGCAAAAGACAAAGATAAGCATATCTAGTCCTATACATTTATTGCAAGAGGAAGGACATAACACAACTAAAATTTCTTTTGCAGATAATGAATTATGAGGGAGATTTAGCAGGCAGAGGTGCAGGGTAGATTGGCCCACTATTCCATTGTGGGTCATAGAATTCATGACAAGAGAGGAATAGACAAATTTTTTTAGGCTACTAAACCTCTGTCGCATAAGCTAAGTTTGTGTTCTTGAACTTGTTATCTCAGTGCTTTTTCGATTTATCATTCCCCATTTCCATTCTAAAGTTCTTGAAAGTTGTAGTGTTTACTGTTTAGTTCATTGTTTCTTTTGGTACCTGGCTTGGGGTTCTCTACCATACCTCCTCTATGCTATGGTTCCATTCTTAACTTTTCGTACATTGTCTCACCTATCAAAAAATATGTATGGGAAGGGAGTTTATTCTAAGAAACAGAGGACTGTAACCTGAAGCTGACTTTGCTTTAAGAGATGCAATGCAGAGTTCAGTAGTTGCAGAATACAAGCCATTGGAAGCAGCCTCCATACTGCTCTGAGCGAGCTTCCACTCTTGTTCGGTGCCTACATTCATCAACAGATAATAAGTTCACTCCATGTCAAGGTGTAATTTCCATAAATAGGTTGACCACTTAGTGAGACAGGAACTCACGTGTAAAAGAATGGTAGGAAACCTCCAACTTTATTAGTGCATTCAAGTAAGCTTGCTGCCATGTCCTGCCATCACCACCACTTCTTGCTGGATAAATATGTCCTGGTATCCGAAAAATCCCATCTCTTGAAGCTTCAAACTCCAAAATTGACATGCAAATTTTCAGAATATCTGATGCCTTTTCTCTAGCTTCCCACAGCAATTGCCGCCTCCTAATCAGATGGTCATGGAACTCAAGAGGAATTCCTGAAGTTTTGGTTGAAGTATTTCCAGTTGTACTGGAATTTGGGCCACCACAAGCCCATCCCATAGCTCTCTCAAGCTGCCCTTCTGCCACAACAGAATTTCGCTCACAAGCTTGCAGGCAGTCCATTGACCTAGCTATTTTTGTTATGGAAGATTGCAAACCTTCCAGCAGATTATGTCTGCTGAGGTTTAGGATCATGGAATGTAACTTATCCTCATTAGGAAGGAATTTTTGAAATGTGACTCTGCTATTGTGTGAAGGGGCCAACCCATCATACATCCACTCCAGTTGGACAATCTCTAGGCTAGTCTTGTGAAGAGCCTCTTTGAGTTCATTTACCTGTCTTTCCATGGCAGAAGCTGCTGATCTTGCTGCTCTAGCAGTCTCATGTGCATTGCAGTATTCCTGAAGCATGAGCTGGACCTTCCTGACAGCACCAATATCCTTTTTCACTAGGTCAAGAGAAAGTTCCTTTGTTGCTTCTGACAATTGCTCATTCTCTTTATCTAACCAAGCCAAGAAAGCAGGAGCAACTCGTTCCTTCAGATAGCAACCAACATGTTCGTGAAGCTGGATTTCAAGCTTTCTCTTTACAATGTTGAAAAGCTGGTCGAATCCTAAATTTTGATCCACAAATGAAGCAACATCATGCATACATGAATCAAGAAAAGAATCCACAATGCAAACTTTCCAAATGAAAAATAAATGGCTCTTCAATAAGCCACCGAACTTCCAGATGTATTCAGACATTGAGTACCCAGAACTCATCAAATCTGCTAACTTAAAAAATTCATTTGAGAGAGAAGCAGCAGAACAACCAGAGGACAATACTTTATCGACTGATTCCAATTCAGAGAAGGGCTTAATTAGTATGGACAGAAGTTCTTTACTTCCGAAAACTTGTGGTTCCCTTACCTCTTCAGCACTAAGTATAGATTGGAAATGGCATTCAGAAGAAACCAAGGCACTTTTGATATCAGTTTCTCTCTTTACAAGGGAAGAAGTTCGCACCTCCCTCTGGTTCCATGTTTGATGGAGCTGGTCCAGCTGTGCCCTACAAGCTTCTTCCTGGGAGGCAAGCTCCTCTGCCTCTTCCCAAGACAGATGATCTCTACCTTTCATAGCAGCTTCCTCAAGAGCCAACTGCTGCTCGGTGATAAGGCCAACCTTAACAAAGTAGTTTTTTTCTAGTTCAACCAAGGATTCCCTCTCTAATTCAACTTCCAAGAATTGCTCACATGCTGTATCGATGGATCCTCGGATTTGTGAGATTAATCCAAATGCATCCATAACTTCTGAATTCAATGAAACAGCAGATCTCATGACATCCAATAGAGCACCTTCAGTCATTTTCCCAACCAAGCTCTTGCAGGAAAGTAAAGTGGTTTTGAATATGGAAGCCCAGTTTCTTTCAGAATAAAATTTTGCATGGTATACATCTTCATTCACACTAGGCATGTCCCCACCAATAAATTGCCGTAATTCACTAAAAAATCCAGCTACAAGTACACATTTCTCTACTTGCTCTTCAAACTCGCAGAAGATAGATCTAAATCTATCATTTGCATGCCTACCTCCTGCAGAATTACTGAATATGTCTAGTACCCTATGCCTTACTTCATTATACAAAGAACTTACTGCTATATTTAAAACAGTCAACACCTTCTCCTTGTCTTCCAGCTCCGCTGATAACCTGGCATCCCTGGTTGCATCGTATTTCAATTGTCCTGGTTGGCTAGAAGAATCAGTGTCTTCTTTCCTCACCAAACCAGCAAACTGCATGTACTTCATAAAAGCAGACAGAAGACGATCCTTAGCTTTTGATTCAGTGTCTGAGCCAATAGAGTTCACTAGCTCAGCACACTCTTCTTCAACTTTATGTATCTCTGTTGCAAATTTATCTACCTTTAGACAAAGATCATCATGAATATGTTTAATAGACTCAAGATCATCTGCATGTACTTTAGCAACGAGTTCAGCAGCCTGATTTCGGACAAGGGAGAGCAAATCAGAGGAAAGGGAATTTGAGGACAGCTGCAACACCTGAGCCCAGCCATGTACTGCACTAGTTGTAACATAGTTCAGAGGTAGGAATCTTTGCAAAGCCGAAGAATATGCTTGGATTCCAGTTAGGGCAGATGAGAGTCCAAGATCCAGCTCGGCTATGAGCTGAGAAACTTCCCTATCCATATCCTGGCATTGTGCTTGTGTGGGCTCAGGAACGATGGTCAGCGGAATTCCTGCCACCAGGACAGCAGATGTAAGAGACAAAGCATCAGCCATACTGCTCAGATTTATGCAGGAATCGATTTCTGGAAGTAAATTGCTCCGCAAAGCATCCAGGACCCTTCCATGTTGCTCCATCCATGTTGCAACTTCTTGAGCCTTCTCAGATATTACAGCTTTTGCTTGAGTGAATTCTCGAGTCTGAATTTCAAATGATGCACGGGTTTTCTCTGAATTACAAGTTGCTTCAGTAACAATCGACTTTGCAGATGTCTCATGCAAAATAAGACTAGACCTTTCTTGATCAGCACGATAAAAAAGAGCAGAGGCACGCTCATACTGATTTAGAACATTAGCAAACCTCTGGAACGTAAAGAAGAAACCAATCATTCAAACTGATTTAAATAGTAACAGCAAAAACCATGCTGGTAGTATCATTCGTACCTCAAGAGCAGATTCAACAGCTGGTAAGGTAGCCAATAAAATATCATGATGCTCCTGTCATAATCAGTAGGCATAAGCATTACCTATAAGTCAACATTCCAAGTAAAACCATGATAGAATAAAAACATAACGACGAATTATAATTAAAAGTACCACAACAAGTTGGATCATGAATGGTGGTCAAGTTAGATAAAAAGCAAAAAGAAAAAAAAAAAAACAAAAAGGAATGGTGGTCAAGAGGACTTTGAAAATTATAGACAGAGCGTGGATTATAAAGAATGCAGTATAGTACAAAATATTCTACAATCCTGAGCAAATAGCTATATTTACCAATTCTTTGAAAATTATAGACATAGGTTGGATTACAAACAATGCAGTATGGCAGAAAATATTCTACAATCCCGAGCAAATTGCAATTGGTAACAATTGCCAAGATCAGAAAATGAGAAATGGTTTCACAGCTGGTTTGAATTTCATATGTGTGATCTCAAGGAAAAAACACATTCCATCTCTCAGCGAAAGGACAGAATACACAAGATAAAGTTATATTGAAACTAAGTACCTGCAATGGAACACGGATTTCTTGCACTCGAGATGCAAATAAACTCAAGCTAACTGCCAACTCCATGCCCTTTCTTTCTTCACCCCCAATTGCTGCTTCATCAAGGAAATCTCCTCGTGTCCATTCTACAAGGGGATCCCACACAAAAACCTCTAACAACATCAAGAGTACATCCTTATTTTTCCTCAGAACACCAACAACTGCTTCACAGTTTGCTCTGAAGGTACCTTCTACTCCAGTCAATCCCAGAGCAGCTTCAAGCATCTGGGTAAGGCGGAATGGAACAATCTCTGGCACCTTCAGTCTTTGCCCTTTATCAAAGCAAACATTATAATCAATGTGTACAATATCCCCACTACAAAAATCCATGAGAATATTATCCAAATGTCTATCCCCAAGACCCAGAATGTGCCCCACTATACTCATGGCTGCAACGCTTCCAGAGTACCTACAAGTGAAGAACAAAACGAGTGGTTTAGTTCAGAGAGGGCTGGGGATGCAATGGCACTCAGAAACAAAATTTTTGACAGAAGTAGTTCAAAACTCTAGTTTTTCTATGCCGATTCTGCAGTACCACTCCTCTTCTACTGCTTCATTTATTCATTTGCAGATATCTAGTGAAGGAGAACTGGATGGACCTCTGAAACCAATCTGGCCTAAAATTTGTAACCAAATCTTGGTTGAATAAATTTTGATATTATCCTCATTCCCTTGTCATGCAGTGCAGTAACAGCAAATCATCATAGAGGGTGTTGCAATATAATGTCAGTCTAAAACTTCTTGCATGGTTTATTTATTATACGCAGGACAATCAAGAAAAACATTAAAAGAAAGAAAAAGAGAAAGGGGGGTGGGAGGCATTTAGCACAATGAGCTATGGGGCATGACCATAAAACAATATCAGTTGGAAAAACAAGCAAATAAGTGGTGAAACAGGAGATAAATAAGATATAAATGAATGTCTCTGTGACAAGTTATAGGTTGAACTAATACAAGCAGTTCGGGAAGCCATCTATGATGATTGAGCCGCAAGCAACAGAAACGAATTAGTGAAAGTGCCACCAGCACAAGAGGATGGCTCAAAATAATGCGCGTCAAGACAGTTAAAAAAAAAAACAGATTTGATTTGGATGGCTCTATCTAAAGCTGAACAACAAGATTTCAAAGACCTCAAATAGCAGCAGTTAAGGTTCTATTTTTTATTGAAACAAGTAAAATTGTGGTTTTAAGTAATATGAGTCAGTTGAATGCAAGTTTGCTATGGCCTTCTAATTACATATAATGAACAAAGCCAGCACTTAGAAGGAGGAAACTTGAAAGAGCTTTGCCAGGTTTGTTAACAAGTACCTCCTCAATTTTGAGCTGAAGGCTTTGAACCCTTCACTAGCACACCAAAGTTCTAGATGAAGCAGCTGTCTTGGAACCTCCTTCATTAGATCAAGGAGAACCTTACGCTTGACATCATGAGGCCAGTCTCTTCGTGAAATAACTCTCCTAATGCCTTTCTCTTTAAGTGCTGGTATGATTTTACCATAGAACATATCACTTGGTCGGGGAACAGGTGGAGGAACAGAATTTTTGTATTGGCTGGAGCCATTGCTGTGAGCTGCACCAGCTGCTCACGGTTTTGCCAAGACTTAAAGACACTATATATGCTCACCACATTGTCCACCCACTGGATAAGACCAGCCCTGCCACTAATTGGAGTCACTGAATAGTAGCGTATGTCAAGCAGATGCCTACGAGCTGCAGAAGATGAACGTAGAAAACCATTTATAGCCTGCAGAAGCTGCATGATCCTGGCATCAAGGCGCAAGTCTTCTCGCCCTTTCAAAAGATAAGTGTACTTTTGACCATCTGAACCAAGTATAGCAAGTTTCTTAGGTTTTGTCTTGGTTGACAAGATAGTCACTTGTTCACAGAAAGAAGCAATTGTAACAATTCCATGGAGGCTTGTAGTGAAACTTCTGTCAGATTCAGATATTGTGATTTGCTTCTCAAGACCAGGCATTGGGACATCAGAAAATGACAGCAAAGCCAGTTGGGGTGCAACTTCATCTAGAATTATTGATGACTTTCTCTGATAAGATGCCAAGGATGCAGCAATATCGTCAAATGGCCGCCATACTTCTCCTAGTGCAGCAGCAGAAGCTGGAGGACTCTTAAATGACAAAATGGCTGATTTTAGACGTTCTCTATACTCTTGATGAAACCATAATTCATGAGGTGTCTCTGGTATTCGAGAAGTAGAAGCAAGGCGGCGTTCCAAGGCCACAACAATAGGGGCCATCATGGCTGAGTATTTAGCAGCATTAATTTTATTCTTCTCATTCTGACTTAGAGTGGCATTCTCAGCAATTCGAGCAGCTTCCCCTTTCAGGACATTTATGCGTCTCATCACATCTGAAAGAAAATGGGGTTAGATAGCCCAAAAACTGTATGCTTTGGTAAACAAATCGGTAAAGTAGCTAGTTGTAAAAAAAGCCCATGCTCAGTTATGCCAATGGCAAGTAAAGAACTTGGAGATTATGTCATGACCTTGCAAGATTCATGGTTGCAACTGAGGACTATGCCATCTGAAAACAATACAACTATTTGTTTCACATTAAACATATGAACTTTGGACAATGGTTTCTGGTGTGCACCTTCAGGTTCCAACAAACACATAATTATCTATTTTAGAACTAGTTTAGCATATTATAAACTTCTATCAAGTCATGTCCATACAGAAGTGCCCTAAATCACAACATGAAACTCAACTCTGATAGTTTAAAAATGGTTCCACAAGCAACAAAAGCATAATTATGGTAAAAACTACATTTACCTGCATGAAGATCTTGAAGTGTGCTGAGCCATAGTTCCTCCCAGAGAACAGTTACATTTTCAAGCTCATTTATCATGAGTTGAACATCTTGAATTAATTTTGGGTAAAGCTCTCTCTGCATGAGATGAAAAAATATGCCTTAATTTTTATTCATATCCTAAATCTGAAAAACCAGGTCAATCAAACACCAAGGACACAAGGAGTTTGAGTTAAAAACATCAAACTGAAGTGAAGATTAAGACGATCTTCAGTTACAGTTTTTTTTATGAGCAGAGATTCAACGATGCATCTCAAAGAAGCTGCATATTTCAAACACTCATGCCTTAGAATTGTTACTTTCATGATAATTTCTTTAAACCCTCATTAGATTGGTGTATGTAACATCCCCAACTCTGAACTTTCAAGGCTTATAAATAAAAGATGTCATACAAAGAGATCCTCATACAACTGAAACTGATGCGTCATTTGCGTTGAATTCTCAGCGCATGCAAAATAAGGTCAATGGTGAAAGCATCAAGAGTGGTTTCTGATTATTTTTATCAGATTTTTTAGGCTAGAAAGTGTTCAAAAGCTTCAGCATTGATATTCAATAGTTTGCTTTACTATAAACCAGCAAGCCATCTGTATAATGATTCTATTCAATTAGCAATTGTACCATTAAGTAAAACTTTCATGCTTACTCCTCAATACCGATTCTCAAACTCAACACCCCCCAACCCACCCAACAACAACCAAAAAAAAAAAAAAAACGATTTGCTGCTAAGCTTCAATGCTACATGCCACCCCTATCACAACCTTCTCTATGTTTCCATTTCATCTCAACTATTCTTGCCCTTTTTGACCTCTTGCATCTCCATACAGCATAGGCAAGGACGCTTGCCTTCAATATAACTTTCAGCAAGCTCTTCATAGTAGTGACCATCTATTCTTCACGATAGGCAAACAAACTCCTCAAGCTCAAAATCAAGGAGGCAATAGTATGTTACTCATTACTCAATCCTGTCTGATAAAGACCCTAAGCAGCCAAAAAATTCACTCTGCTTTAAAACACAACGAACCTCCTAATCTTGTATGTCTAGCTGTTCTATTTCATGTAGACTACCGATAACTGCAGCCTAGATAAACCACATTTATGGCTACAGCCTACAACACATTTATTCAGGTTACCAGACTAAATGGGTAACAATAATCCATATCAGATATATGGTAACAAACTAAATACAATAGAGTCAAGCAAATTAAATGAGAGAAATTTCCATTACCAAACAACCCAGAATGTGCTGAAGCTCCTCTGAAGGCTTCTCCTCATTAGTATTCACATCAACCAGAGTTGGATACACTATAGACCAAGGAGATAGCTTAGCCAACATCATCAATAAACCCTCCAATTGCTTCCGGACCACTTGCTCAGGATGAGAACTTAGACGAGCGAACAATTGGGGAGTTACTTCCTACCAAATTACAGAAGACTGCATAAGATATATTTAGCCAAAAGAACAAGAAATGAACAGATTATAGACATCCACCTGTCACTGAGAATTTTTACAGAGAGAGCTACCCACCTGCCATGGCAATAAAGGAATTGTTGAAAGAGCTGGTTCAATTGCATCTCTCAACTCAACTCCAAAATTGAGGAAGATGTGCAGGAAATACAAGGTAGCCCTCAGAGTATAGCTCCCAGTTTTTTGTTTTAAAGACTCATCCTCAAAGCCAACCAACTGAGAATCAGAAACCTTTATAGATGAATATGTAAGGTATTGCATGAAACCACGAGCTGCATGACTGAAGAGAGAAACTCGCCTCCTTCTTAAAGACCACCACACACTAACTAAATAATCAACTGCAGCTGATATGTTGGCTTCTACCAGGCCAGCATTTGCATTTAGGAAAGAAGTTCGCAATTGAGATGCAAGAGTAACAGAAAGGGAATCGCCACTAGAGTTTTCTCCACCGTGAGCACCAGCTGCAGCTTCAATTAAATCAATTACTTGCTCCACCACAGGGTTATTATTAATTGAATTTTGCACAGAATCAAGCCAAAATATCCCCTCTCTGTAATCACTAGAATCATCATCCTCATGCTGAAAAAGTTGCAAGACCACAGATTGTACTCTTGTCCTCTCATCTTCAGTTAATTTGAACCTGTCAGGCTGGACTTCTGGAAAAAGTGCAGGAGAGAAAGAGCACGAGCGAAGAACAGTTTCACGTGGATTTAAGAGAGAGTCTCTAGCCTGACTGAAACACCAAGAAGCATAAGAAATCCATGCCTTGCCCATCGTGGAGCAAAGTTGTGTGGACAACTTTGTAGCTGTGCCCACAATTTCCTCAATGATCACACCCAGACTAGGTTTAGAGCTGAAATTCTGGACATTCACTAAGGGTCCAACTCTGTCAGGTGGAGCTACATCATCCCCATTAAAATCTGTCAGCATCTTGAGAACAATACTTTCCAAACTCAGATCTGGATAATCCCGCCTCAACCACTCTGAAAGTTTCAAGCAAGCCTTAGCCTTCAAAATATTATCATGAGAATTGGAAACCATAGATGCAGAAGAAACCATGCAAGGACGCACGAATGCCCAAAGATTTGCAAAAGCATCTTCGAACTTGTTATCAGCATGCAGGAGCATGAAGTCCTCATATTGCAACTTTGACAATAGGAAAGCAGAGTTTCTCTCCTCAGAGCAATTCAATGCATGATCTCTGAGATAATTATTTAGACGGGTTGCTAACATTAGGTTTCCCTGCTTACGGGCTAAACTCGACAAACTCATAGAAAGCTTAAGAGTGACTGGGGAAGTAGGAAAATTGGTTCGATATACCCTAAGGAGTTTTAACCATGGATTACAATCCTGATCAACTCTATTTATCGAAGACTGAATCGACTCGACATATGAACTTAATATTGATTGATGTTCCTTGGATTTGGCATGGTTGTCCTTAAGCTTGTTGCCTCCTTCAACCACAAAGATGCAGTGCAACTGAGTAGCAAATGGTGCTGCCTCTGACAAACCATCAAGTGGCAAAACAGACAACATTTCCTCTAGCATTGACTTGGCCTTACATGTTTCTTGTTGTACCTTGTCGAACTTACCCTCATGGAGAAACAGCATTGCCTGTAAAAGCATTTGTTCGCTCCTTTGCAAGGCCACTTTAGGATCAAGTGTAAGTTCGCCGCTACTTTTAGGCGTCAAATGCAGGTATGACCAAGCTGCCTGAAAATCTCCCTCATCAAAACGTGCCAAGGCATGAATTGCATTGATTTCATTGCCTGCAGTAGTTAGAGCACCAGAATAACTCTTCCCAGCATGTCTAGAACGAAGTTTTTGCAACTCTGATAACCAGGATTCTAGGGACTTCCAATCAGATACAGCAGTGTAGCTTTCAATAATACGTGAAATAGCAAACTGCACACCATCAGAACCCATAGAGCTCAGTGATTCCTCGTTCTGAAGCAAGTGAGTGAAGTGTGCAGCAGCCTTCTCATATTGGCCTTCTGCCTGATATGCCAGGCCAGTGATCCACGCAAAAGGCCCCGATATTCCATTATGATTGAGAGACTGATTCTCATCCATAAGCAAGGAAGAAAATGTCACCGAAGCCCATCGATGTAGACCAATCAAAGCCTTAGGTTCATGACTCTTACATAGAGCCAATGCCATGTGCCGTAAAACCCTCATAATGTCTGAAAACAACCTATCCTTGATACTATGAAGGTTCTCAGATGCCTGTGCTCTGGATTTGTCTTTCAAAGATGAAGCCAAGATACTTTTCAGTTCCTGCAAACGTACAGCAGAATAGTGAATAGTAGCATCATGACATTGCAGTGCCAAACCTGCATTCATCATTGGCTCACATATACGAGAAAACCACTCCTCGCAAACCTTCTTGTTTGCACGAAAGAACAAGGAACTCGGGCGAGAAGCACATGGTAAAATGGCTGACCCTTCATATGCGATATATACGTTTTTTTCAGAGCCTCGACAAAATCCAATAACAATCTCATTGGTAACAAATGAGCACCGGATGAGCCTATTATACTTAGGTTTCCATCATTCTGCTCAATATCAAGCTGTAGCACATGTGCAATGTCCAGCAGCATTCTTTCCAGTGCTGCAAAAGTTTGAGTAGGCCCTCCAAGATTAGTCCGAAGGCGTGTTGCAATACAATATCTAGCTGCTTCATGAATAGCCCACCAAGCACCAGCCAAGTTATTGACTGAGCATATCCTTTCAAGAACATCATCATCCTGTTTTATGTCCAACGAAAGACCATCAGCAACAAATTTCTGTGTTTCCTCAAGTTGACCCAAAACAAGGTCGTTTGAACTGCGAGAGCTATGAATAAGCCGCTGGATCCAAGAAGAAAGAGGCACCTTCCATCTTTGAGAAATGTAACTCAAAATGGAAACAAGTTGCTGTGAGTGCAGTTGCTTTCTTAGCTGCTTCAGGGCAAACACTTGCTTCCAGTTCAAATTAGAACCATTACATGACACAACTGCATTGGACCTACAAGTGATGGATGTTCCATGATCGTGTAAACCACATGCAAACATTGCCATTGGCAAGATATGGGAAAGCAGTCTCACAAATGAATTATTTATATCAACATGTGGATCACCAAGCTTTTCCAAAACCACTTCAGCCATGGGATAAAAGCAAATGGGATGTACAAGTCTTGCCTGCAAAAGCACCTCCAGAACTAATGCAACCTGCGCCCTCACCTTCGGTTCACTGTCAAATGCTGCGTCAAATACCGAGAAAATAATATTGCCAATACCACCAATGAATCCAAATGCTTCATCAAAATAAGCATTCACAACTGAATTTTCATAGATGGCAATAACATTCTTAGCAAATTTTTGGATCCACTCTAGGGCTACTAATTTAACTGCGAGAGGGGCAAAAACATTTAGAGCTTTGATGAGGAATGCACAGTACTTCCTTATATGCGCAATAATCACAGCAGAAATCTCATCCCTGAAAGCATTAACATTATTCACTTTATCAGCAGTGCCATCCAAAGAAGCAGTCTGGCTAATCTGATTTCTTATGGACCACCTGCTCAAGAATTCAACTGCAGTTAGCCTCTCCATTGATTGGATAACATTGACCTGTAACTCCACATGTGCCTGGATAGGTAAATTAAAGGGATCCAATTTCTCAACAATAAAAGAAGCCAACACATCTGACCTCTTCAGATATACTGCAGCAATTTCTGGTTGGCAAATCAAACTGCTACCCCCTCCCAAGGAAACACAAGTTAACAGAACTTTCAAATCAAATTTCATCAATGCTAAAAACTCAAGTTTGGAATAGGATTTAGAATCTTTAACACTGTCATCCTCACCTCCAAGATTGAAAGTTCCATTTAGCATGTCCTTCAGCAACTCCATCTCTTTGATTAACACACCAATTGCCTGTTGAACAACTTCATCATTCCCATGCTGAAGCAAGAAAATATAAGTAGCAGCAGAACTTCCAGTCACCACATGATTTGGATGCAATCGCAGCTGAGATATGGGCGCATCAAATTGTAATACTTTCTGAGCCGTTGATGGGAAGAGACCAAGTTTTTGTAGAGATAATAGCTGAAGATTAGTCTTTAAAACACCATGAACTTGAAAGGAGGTGATCTTCTCAGCCCCAGGTTGTGTATCCAAGCTTTGGAATAAGATATCAAGTGCAAGTGGGTAAAAGGTAGAAAACTTTTCACATAATATCTCAGCCAAGAGGGTCAAGCATTTCCACAAATCACCAGTCCATTTTGCCCACCCAAATTTCCTTCCAACCATGGATAAGCATCCCAACAACCGAGGAACCAATGTGATAAGAGATTCACTTATTTGTTCAAGTAGATTCATTTCCAACAACCCAGAAGCAGTGGACTGCAACACTGTTGTAAAACAAGAAAGCAATGCAAGCAACCTGCGAAATTGTGGTGGTGTTCCACGACTCCCATCCTGAACCAATGCATCCATGTCACCCAAAAACTTAGACAACAAACCCAGAGAGAATTGCAAATTCCCCACCCAGTGTTTCTGAAACTGCAAGAAACTATCCATAATAACACGTCTATCTGATTCCGCAAGATCCGGTACCAACACCCAACCAAGAAGCAAATCCACGATATCCAGAAAATGAGGCTGAAAAAACCTAGAAAACTTAATCGAAATCAAAGTCAAAACACCCAAAAGCCTATGCAACAAACTCAAGGAGGTTCTCTCATCCTCCAAAAGTTCTTGACAAGCTTTGAGGATCGGCAAAGCATATCTCTCAATACCGACAACATCTCCAACACTAAGAAACTCACGCAACCCTTCCAATGCAAGTTCTGTTGTCCCATTACCCGCACTGCCATTGCTAAGCAACGGCAAAGCCCACGAAATGAACCGGTCAACAATACTTCCAAGCATAACATGGTTTTGCCTTCCATTGGATCCAATAAGAATTGCACATACTACAGCACACAATGCCCCATAAGCAGTAGCCGCGGATTGCCTAATGGCATATGATCTGAATCATAATTGCATAAATAATTACACTGAGCACTAAATAACTTAATCCGAATTTAGGTAAATTTTAATTACAAGAAGCAAGACAAAATTTAAATGGATAATTATGAAAATTAACTAGAATTAAAAAAAAAAAAAGGTGAAATTAAACAGCTAATGAAAGAACAGAGAGAGAGGGGGGCGTTACTTGTCAGTTAGGAGTTGAGACAATCCTTGAGAGAGAAAAGAAGCAGAGTGAGAGACGAGGAGTGAGTTAGGAGGGTAAAGAATAGCACGGTGGAGTGAGTTAATGGCGCTGAGTCGAGCAGAGTCGTCGTCGTCGTCGTTGTTTTCCGAGTTAGTTGTTTTCGCTGTTGTTGAGGCTGGGGTGGCTGTTGCTGTGGTGGCGGTGGTGGAGGAGTCTTGAGGAAGAGCAGCGGAGAGGAGAGCAGCGAGTTGTTGCTGTTGTTGGTGAAGTCCTTGCATCATTTATTATTATTATTTGGATTTGCTGCTGCATCTCTACGACATGGCGTGAGGGTGGTTTTTGATTCGTTTCGCTTCACTTCTGTTCTTTGCGAGCTCTGCTTTGGCGTAGAAAACAGAACTGAAAGATTCTATGAGTTTAATAAACTCCAAACTTCTTTCTCTCCCCCTTTATGTGCATCTCTTTATTTTCTTTCTCAACCCTCAATTTTTTTAATTTTTATTTTTGAGTTATGACTGGACGTTTCTAAATCCTTCCCAGATACGGTCATTTCTTAATTTGTTGAACCAAATGTGTCAAAGATCAGCTTCAGCGTCGGGCTGGAACGCTTGAATGCACCTCTCAAGTTTGAATAGATGCAAGAATTCTCTTTGCACGATTGAATAGTTGATCAATACAATTCGCAAAAATGCAATTAAGAATAACTGCTATGTCACATGACCAACTCGAAAATTTAATAGCATCACTTATTTACTTGGTCGTGGAGTGTTTCTTTCTCCATACGGGAGTTTAGTTGTTGCGTGATTCGGAACCCTCCAACACAGCCAATTTGCTCATTTCTCACAACAATAGAGAAAATCGAGAACATTATTGCCGGTTTTAGGGCAAAAATTGTTATATTCTAATTTGATAGTTTTAAATTTTTATTATCAATTTATATAATTTAAATCTTAAAATATTGATTTTTGGATAAAAATCGTTAATTGTAACAATCAATTTAATTGATTGTTTTTTTTTTGTTAATTTTAAAAAAATAAAAAAAATTTTCCTTCATTTTTTAAAAGAGTTTTTTTTTCCCATCCGTCTACTTATAAATAATAAAAAGTTCATTAAATTTATTACTAAACTTTTTTGTTTGTTCTTCCTGAATTTTTTTCGTTCTTCCTGAAATTTTTTTTTCTTTTTGAACCTATTTTCAGAAAAACTAAAAATAAAAATAAAATTAGAAAAGTTTTTTAAAAATGGTTTTCTAACTCTAACAACTTTAAATACATATTATATATTTGAATCAATTATGAGAAAAAAAATTCTATAAAACATGTAAAGATAAAATATATATATATATATATTAAATAAATATATTTATATTTAAAATTTAATGTTTGACAGTAATAAAAATAAATTTATTGACACGACAAAAGAAAATTTTCAATTAAAATCAATTAATTGATCAAATTCAACGAATAGATATTTGTATTTTATTAATTATAAAAGTTGATTGTTTCAATGGATAATAATACTGCATAAAAGTTATTTTTAAAAATTGAAAAAATTATATAGAAATAACAATCAAGTGAAATTTTTAAATAGAAAAAATCTCTCTTGAAAAATGAAAAACAAAAATCATTTTTAACCTTTTTTTTTATAAAAAATAACAGGGAATAATATCAAAAAAGTAAAATAATAATAATAATAATAACAGTATTATTAACAGATGTAAAAATTGATAGTTTATAATTTAAATTATCCACATTAATAATAAAAACTTGAAATTATCAAAATTATGATAGATCAGAAGCAATCTTTTGCTATTAAACCTATTATTGGTGGTGTTAGGTCTTCGAGTATGACCCTCGACGCTTCTGTTGCCTCCTGTGATTCAATGGCTTTTGCGGCCATATCAGTATAGCCCCATTTCCTGATTTCCCTACTTTATTTCCGCATTAAAATATCCCATTTCCCTGCCTGCTTTTATTTTCGCATTTAAAATCTATCTTCCAAACAGAAAAAACGAGTACAGAGAGATAAGATTTTACTTATGTTTACATCTTGATAATATATATACTTGGTCAGAATTGCAACTTGCATAGCTAATTGCTATCGAATTTATTGCCAGAGCGCATAAGGTAATTTAGGCACCAGAGGGCACTACAAGTTCCCCTAAACCATCTTCGCTTCTGCAGCCTAAAGTCATCCAACTATTTCAGCCCTAATTCACAATTGCTCCATAATAGGATCCCAACAAGCTTCATGAAATGGAATCCCATGCATTTTTGTTTCATTTCACAAACAGACAGGAGGTGAAGAAAGGTATACAACTATTAAAGGATAAGAATAAGCCGTTAGTTAATACACTGTTAATTGAATTTTCGAACATATGGACAAAGAAATACAATTTTGTTTAATAACCAATGTCGAAAGTAATCAAATAACCTCATTCCTGATCATGCTAAGTAAAGCTTCTGCACTTCCATCTGCAGGTAGTGCTTCACTTTTGACTGGAGAAGCTCAAAAAATCCAAAAACCTAGTTTAGCTGTCAATTGTAATGTCTTAGGCATGATGTTGAGTGCAGAACATGTGAGAAAACAAGCATGCAACCCAAAGTCAATCTAATTGCATCCTTATTCTGTGTGTTTTCACCCCTCAAACAAATGTGATATAATGGGATAACAGATATAAAAATCATAGCAATTCTGTCTTGAGCTAATTTCCAATATTTCAGTTAATCCTCACATGCATGTAAAAGAGTACATAATCCAACATCAGCTGCATTGAGCCAACTAAAGCACACACTCAAACCATCATAAACACCTCCATCTGCTAATCATAACATGGCAAGTAAATCATCAAGCAAGTACCCATTTTGATTTCAGACAGCAGTCTCCAAAAACAGCCGTAAATTGTTACATGATTCCTTGAACAGTTGCATCCACACCACAACACCAGCTCAAGTAAAGTATAGAAGCAAAACAGGATGCACTGAAATGGATTTTTCTAATAATATATATCATCAACCATAAACCTATCTCAACAACAATAGACATCCACCAAAAACCCAGATCCCAATCACTGAATTAATAAACAATGACACAACAACAAGAAACACTATTCATAACCAGGCAGTAACACGACCATATTGTAACAACGAACACCAAAGGAACAAAATTCTATATTTCACCTCGTAAAAGAATCGAATTTCGTTTAACACCCAAGCAAAACTTCTTGCATACCCTAAAAGTATGATCTAATAGTAGTTCAACAACCTTGATTTGCGTGTTTTTTAAGCAACAGAAATAGGCTGCTGTTTCGCCGGCTCCAAACTCTTATTCTTTGATTTATCATTATCGCCGAGGAAATCTTCGATGTTATAGATAACGGTGATGTAAAGGGAACAACTAGGGCATCGAGCTATTTCTTCACCCAGTCGGAGATCGTCCTTCGTGATTTGAAACAAATCGCCGCACGGGCATGGATACGTGTAGGCTTTTAACTCTTCGTTCCACTCCATGTCTTCTATCTCTACGTCGTCGTACGACATCGCCTTGGAGTATTTCTCTCTCTTTCTGGAAAATGGATTTAGGGTTTGATTGAGAGAGAGTGAGAGAGTAGGAGAACGATTTTGTATTAGGGTTTTGTTAAATTTGGATTTGGTAATTTGTTATAAAACGACGGAAAAGAATGTCGGTTTGTCAAGTGGAAGGACCCAGCCATAAATGAAGGCTTTTTTCTATTGCAATTATCTAGCTATTGCGTTTCAAGAATCCCCTTTTCTTAAACACAATCTGTTCATGCACATGCACTGATAAGCAAACATTGATTTATAAATTAAATTTAAAATTTAATTTTCATGATCAATACTTTTGATAATAAATACTTAAGATATTTGAAAACATGCAATGAAGAATGTTTTTTAATCACATATATAAAAATATTAATCTTTAAATATATAAAAACTGGTTTGGAGACATTCTCTTATTTGCTGAAAAAAAAATTCCCTTTTCTTTTTTTTTTGACTTTTTGATTTTTTTAATTAAAATTACACAACACATTGATTTATAAATTAGATTTAAAATTTAATTTTTACGATCAACACTTTTGATAATAAATTTTTTAGGATATTCGAATTCATGCAACGAGGAGTATTTTTTAATCACGTATATAAAAATATTAATCTTTAAATATACGAAAATTGGTTTAAAGACATTCTCTTATTGCTGAAAAAAATTCCCTTTTTTTTCACTTTTTGACTTTTTTTTTTTTTGTCAAAATTACACAACATATCATGCCATGTACATCCGGATAGTGTATTTATACAAAATCATCACCTATAATAACCAATTACAATGAAAGATGCGTGAATCGTTACTAATTGCTGATGAATGTATTATGTGAAAAAATGAGCATGTTAAGTCTTGATAATTATTGCAAACAAAACAAGGACTCGTGGATTGAGAAAAATTACAGTTATACGGTTCCTTTTTATCAGATCATAGGATTAAAGTTAATTTAAATAAGCTTTTGTTAACTTGCAAATACATTTTTTTCTATTTCGTAAATTTTTTATAATTTTTCGCAGACTAAGTATGATAAAGATAATGTTAACAAAGATTAAAGAACAAAATACGATGAATTTAGTTTGATGGTTAAGAGCTATGATGAATTTCATAATTTTAATATAAATAAATTATATTTGACAGTTAGAAAGATGAATTTAGTTTTAATATATAAAATATAAATCTATATGTAAGATAACAGGAACACAAAAAACAAAAAAATGAGCAGTTCAAGAATAAGCAACATGTTGAAAAATTACAAAGCTAATCCACGAATACATAATTTTAATAGTATCACAATACATAAAGTCTGTGAGATTTTTTATTGTGAATGTTGTGTTGTGCTGAGCTATATTGTAGTTATTGTAAAATTAAACACGTTTAATTTTATTTTTTATAATAAACAAGTTCGTTGTGCATGGTTTGATAATATATTGTTATGTTGTTTAAATTAAAATCATCATAGAGGATGCAATTTAGATTAAAAATTATATTTAAGAATTTATTTTTTGATTTAACAATGAATATATTTTTGAACCAACCTTGCAAGTCAACAAGACTAACTTCTTTTTTTTTTTTGAAACGATCTTAAAGAAATACAGTCTTTATACCGGATAGATGAATTTTTAAAAAATTAATAAATTCTTTTAAATACTTTAGGAATAAAAGCAAAATTTTGATTGGTAAAACCAAAAGTTTGGAATGAGACATATATATATATATATATATATATTCATGATTTATGGCTTTTTTTAAAGATTTCTTTTATCTTTTTAAACAAATAATCAACCTTGTAATTCAAGAGACATCATCTCTCATATTTTTTCAAGGATAACATGAAATCATCTTTTACTTCCAAAACTAAGCAATGAAGTTTCAAAATCCCTCCTATAAAACACTCAATTTAATTTTTTTTATAGTGTTTTTAATTGTTTTGCTTTAAAATAAAGTGGGTAAAAACCCTTTGTTTTTTCAGGAAGCCTGTTCATGCTCACCGTCAAAAAGATATTCAGCAATCAGCTTGAGTTGGGAATGGGCCAGGAGGCCAGAACCCTGAAAACCTCGTCTTTGATCCCTCGCCTAGTTGAACTGCGTGGGGCTGGAGAGACTGTACGTGCGTTTGTCTTTTTATTGATTTTGTCCCTCCATTCTTTCTCCTTATCGACAAAAAAATCCATTCTCTGCCATACAACATGAAATCTCACAAACTGCTAAACTACCAATTCCTCAAGCACAACCTCAAAACTGGCAATATTATTACCCACAACACTAACAAACCTCATTCGCATGCGGTACTCTTCTCAACAATACCAAACCCAAGCATTGACAAACCACAATCCCAAACTCTGTCTCCAAGCATTCCCGCAGAGCTCACCCGAGAAAAGTTACTTGATTCTATACATTCTTCTCAGTGGCATTTTGTCAGACACCTTGCAGACAAAATAACTCCTTCACTTATTTCCACTACTCTAATTAATCTCCATAAAACCCCTGATTTAGCCTTCCAGTTTGTAACCCAGATTGGATTTAATGGTCTTGATATCAAAAGCAAGTGTCTTGCTATGGCGGTAATCGCTCACGCACCAAACCCAAAACCCACATTCCAGCTCTTGAAAGAAACTATTAGTCGTGGGGTTTATAGCATCAGGGAGGTTTTTAGTGAGCTGGGAGTAGCAAGTGATGTGTTAGGAAGTAAAAGTTACGTGCTTTATGACTTGTTGATAAGGACTTGTTGTGAATTAAAGAGAGGTGATGAAGCATTTGAATGTTTTGATATGATGAAGGGAAAGGGTCTAATTCCTCATGTTCATGCTTGTAATGATATGTTGAGTTTGTTTTTGAAGTTGAATTGGACGGAGAAGGCATGGGTTTTGTATGCAGAGATGTTTAGGTTGAGGATTAAATCAAGTGTTGTTACATTTAATATAATGATTAATGTGTTATGTAAGGAAGGGAAGTTGAAGAAGGCTAAGGAGTTTATTGGGTTTATGGAGGGCTTGGGGATTAAACCTAATGTTGTTACATATAATACCATAATTCATGGATATTGTTCAAGAGGGAGGGTTGAAGGTGCTCGTATGATTTTTGATATAATGAAGTGTCGAGGGGTTAAACCGGATTCTTACACTTATGGTTCATTTATTGGTGGGATGTGTAAAGAAGGAAAACTTGAGGAGGCATCTGGGATGCTTGAGAAGATGAAAGAAATCGGGTTGCGACCAACAGCTGTGACTTATAATACTTTGATTGATGGGTATTGCAATAAAGGAAGTTTGGAGATGGCTTTTGGCTATAGGGATGAGATGGTAAAGGAGGGTATAATGCCCACTGTTTCAACTTATAATATGCTGATTCATGCATTGTTTTTGGATGGTAAGACGAATGAAGTTGATGATATTTTAAATGATATGAGAGAGAAGGGGCTGGTTCCTGATACTATAACGTACAACATACTAATAAATGGACATTGCAGAGGTGGTAACATAAAGAAGGCATTTAACCTGCATGATGAAATGATGACCAAACGGATTCAGCCTACCCGTTTAACTTATACGTCGCTGATTTATGTTTTGAGTAAGCGGCATAGAATGAAACAGGCTGATGGCCTGTTTGAAAAGATAGTCCGTCAAGGCATTTTCCCAGATCTCATAATGTTCAATGCTTTGATTGATGGTCACTGTGCAAATGGGAATATGGACCGTGCGTTTGCATTGTTGAAGGAGATGGAGCAAATGAAAGTTGTTCCTGATGAAGTGACTTACAATACCCTAATGCAAGGACTTTGCAGGAAGGGCAAAGTTGAAGAAGCTCGTGAGCTGCTTGAAGAGATGAAGAGCAGGGGGTTAAACCTGATCATATTAGTTATAATACTCTAATTAGTGGGTACAGTAAGAGAGGTGATACGAAGGATGCCTTTAGAGTTCGGGATGAAATGTTGAGTATAGGATTCAATCCTACACTTCTCACTTACAATGCCCTGATACAAGGTTTATGCAAAAACCAGGAAGGAGATCACGCTGAACAGCTCCTCAAAGAAATGGTTAGCAAAGGCATTACTCCTGATGATAGCACCTATTTGTCTTTGATTGAGGGGATAGGGAATGTTGAGGAATTTTTGGGAAGAAGTAATTCATAGTTAATTTCTCTGACAGCAGCATTTAGATCTTTACCGGGTCACCACCAAGCAGTTTTGCAGAAAAAACATCTGTCTTTGTTTTCCATGGAGACAAGTTCTTATCTGTCAGATTTTGATGATATAGAATTTTGAAGGCTTAGTTCGTGAAACCTTCTTTTTTCTAATTAGTTTGTTATATTATACGAGAAGCTGAACTGGGCTCCTAAAGAATAAACTACTTCAGCTTGGAGGTTGGACAGTTATAACTGTACGAGTAGAATGTCAGTTATTTGGAGGTTTGGATGCTTACACCGTATGAGTCTTTTAAATTATTTGTGAATATGCAAGAACCTATCTGTTGTCTGACTTTGAATTCGAAGTAGTTGGAATTGCAAGTGATGTTGAGCCTGCTTTAAACAGAGAAGAATGATATACTATGCAATATGTATTTTGGCATTTAATTTGTGAAACAAGCACATTAACCTGTTTTTAAATACATCCTAAGGATGAAATTTGGCTTTCTTGTCTCTGTTACCCTTCCGGTTATAATATTCTACCGCTATACAAGATAGGCATACTAATTGTCTCAGCAAGCTGCAATCTTTGCCAATCCAAAGCTCCTTTCCAACTATTTTTTGCAAAATTTTTCAAATCAGGATGTCATGTGTCAAGTAAAAGGTGTTTCCATTTGTTTTGTCATTCCAATTTCCACTTCTGGTATGGATCAGGTTCTGACATGTCAAAGCAGCCATGTAAATTTCCTGTTGGATCTATTTCAGTTCAACTTCTGCAAGTTAGCTTTAGAAGTAACTTTTATTTGGCATGGTTTGCAGGCTGTTTCTTCTTTCTTTCTGGACTGGTGTTTTTTTTTCCTTACCCAATTTGTTGAATGTCATTGATTTGAATTGTGATAAAAAGATACCCTGAATATTGGTTTCTACTTGCTGTCTTCCTCAGAGAATTGATTGCCCTGTAATATTCAGTAGTTTTCCATCTACTTAGTCCATGGACACAAAAAATTGACATTTTGATTGAATTTCGATCAGTATGCTGATGGAAAACTCTGTAGTCTTTTTCTCGCTCATTGATTAATATGAACTGAAGTTGGCAAAAGCTGTCAGAACTCAGAAGAGATGACTGAAATTGATTCTTTCTTCAGAAGAACACATAAGCTTGATCATGCATCTAGCGTTTTCCATCCTTTTTTTGGCCTGCAACACAGGTCCTCTTTTCGGATTTTTTCCCTAGGCATCAAATCCTCTATTCAATCCCACCTTGATTCGATATTATCAGAAAGTTAAAGGGGAAAAAAAACCTAATATAAAAAAAGAGCTCTATGAAAATATTATATCGATTTATTATGACTCCTGCTATGCATTAATCTATGAGATATGCTGAAAATTTTAAAAAGAAGAAAGAGGCAAGTGTCTGAATGCATGAGAGGAAAGTTCTAGTGATAGGCATTATGATTTCCCATGAAATTGCTCCTCCACGATACTTTCAAGTTTCACCCTTTTCTTTTCTCCAGGTGCTGTAAACTTCAACTTTTTGAAGTGGAGTTCGACTCAAATATGAAAGACCATCTTCCAGATATCAACGTAATAGAAAGGTAATATACCTGGAATCTCTTAACTTTGTTGTTATTGTATGACTGTTCAATTGAACGAGGCCAACAAGAAAATTATTATTGAACAAGTGGAAACTTCTTATTTGCTACACTTGTATATTGGAGACAGGCCACTGTCCACTACATGCAGATAAGTTAATCGTGTGGCCTTCCCAACCTTGAAGAGTCGCGTCTTTTGCTTATACAAGGATTGTTTATTTGGTTCCATTGGAAACCAAACCACGGTAGTGAAATAAAGATATCACTCCATGTTTTTTTATTATTCTGATTTGGACACCAATAAAACTCGACATAAATTGTTGTTTTCAAGTCAGCACTTGGATTTTCTAGCTCAATTACGTTTCATGGGCTTGAAGTAACACGATCGATCTCCTCTTCCTATCACTGGGGACCATGTGTTATTTCTTATATCCCATCGTTGAATACGGTACATTTAACTGCATTTTTGCTTGTGGAAACACATGCGCCATGCACCAAACATTTGACTAGATTGCCATAATGCACTTGATTTGCTTTTACTATCTTTTCCTACAATGAATCACTACTGCTTAATGTATTTAAAGCTTTGTGTGGATATTACGATGGGGATTGAGGAGAGAAGCTTTCATGGGCACATTTGTAGGTCACATTGTCCCTGGTTTGGCCTTGACCCTCCTTGGGTTATGGCACACCATTAACATTATCAGAGCCTTCTGCAACAAAGGCTCTACTAACTTTACTGTGAAGTTCTGGTACCCATTTTATGGCCCTCTTTCCATACTGAAACACTTGGAGCTCATCTTCATTCTATCTTTCTCCGTCTTTGCAATTTTCATGCAGCTTTTGGACTTCCCTTTCCTTCGCTTTTCTTTCAAGCTTGACAGCTTTGAGCATGCAAGCATGTTTCTCCACCTTGTCATATTTGCAGGTTTTGCTCTTTTTGCAGAGATATCTCATTTTTCTGATATCCTTTCTGGGGTTAGTGGTATACTTGCAACCTCTGTTTTTGGCCAAGAGCTTTTCCTTCTGCATTTCCACTCTGCTGACCACGTTGGACTTGAAGGCCATTGTCATTGGCTCTTGCAGCTCATTGTGCTTGTCTCTCTTTTGGCAGCTTTAGCCGCAACTAGTTTTCCAAACAGTTTTCCTGCGGCTCTTGTCCTTTCAAGTTCAGTTGTATTTCAAGGATGTTGGTTTATGAACATGGGGTTTATGCTATGGTTTCCTGATTTTGTCCCTGAGGGCTGCGTTATGCAGTTGGCCGAGGCCAGCATTGGTGATATGCATGGAGCAGTCAGTTGTGAATCCCTTGCTGCAGAATTAAGGGCTATGGCGCTGGCCAATCTGCAATTCAGTTGGATACTTGCTGGAATTTTGTTTTTCACAGGATGTATGTGCCTGAAATTAGCTGGAAAATGCACCTCAAGGAGCCAGTGGACAGAGTATGAGCAACTTCAGAGTAGAGGTGTCTCCATAGCCATTGATGGCTTCAAGCAAGCTAATCCTTGAGATGTTGCTGGGTGTCAAACAGGGCATGTTTATGCCCGTCATGACATGAATTACCATAGCTGTAAACTTGTGTCCTTTCTGCCAGTACACTCGAGGCATTCCTATCCCTTATTTTTAGGATGCTTTAATGTAAAACCAAACCTCATGAGTCGAGTGAGATTGATAGTGTGTGGCTTCTGTTACACGATATATAGGCCAGCAACTGTATGTTAATAAAGTTGATGAATGGAAATAAGGCTCGACTCGACAAGTTTCTATCCTAATCACAAACTACCAAGATTTTGTTTTCGTTAGTGTTGTGCATTATGCGAAGATAGCGCCCCATGTAAGAGTCACTACTGTCTTGTCGTGGCACCGTCTGCAATATAGATAAACGTGATAATACAAACCATTGAAATAAAAGAGATGCTGATGATGTCTCCCCACCATTTTAGTGCACTGCTGGCAACAGTTCTGTAAGAGTATTTGTTAGGTTACATAGGACAGACAGTTTATCACGCAAATTGGTGAAGAGTACAAGTGAAAAACATTAGGTCGCTTTCTTTATCGCGAACAATTGCAGCAATAATTCCAGCTTTGGCTGTCTATTATTTCGGAAACTGAGTTCAGAAAATTCATTTCTTGAATTTCATTTTAGAGTTTTTGTGGTTGGTCCATATATTGTGAAACTATCATTTAATTGATGAAAGTGATTCCTCCTATTGGACTTAGAATTGGATTACTATCCTTTATTTGAAATCAGAAATGGCAGAGAAGGCAAAGTCTGCTATTTCAAAAATCAAACATAAATACTAACCATCTTATGCTCAATTCCTTTTTCAAGCCATATGAGTAGGCCAGTGTTTTTCCCAGTTTTCAAAGGAGGTTAAGTTGTGCTATTGCAAATCATAAAACTTGATTGGAGAAATGGTAGATACGTACCAAGCAAATGCCCTTTTTTGGCAGTATCAGTGTCGTCAGCAGAAATCTTGCTATCATCCAAGTTGGAAAGCAGAACATGAACGAAATCTCTTTCCCCCTCGTTGATGCTTTCATTGAGCCCGTTTCGTCGATGCTCTTTCACCCAGCTTCCAAACACACCCATCTATCCTCCCTTTCTGCCCTCTTCATTTTACCTACATATTCCTTAACCAAATCCAACCAACCAAGAAATGGAACAGCATCTGAAACCAAGAATAACCTCAACAGATAGAAGAAATCTGCCAAAGCCTTTTGAACCTTCCTAGACTCCTTATCCCTAGCTATCTGTATCAGTACCAAAATATTGCTTCCCAGCTCTCATTCTTACCATTATGTTCGTTGCCAAGTCCCCAAATTTCTCATTCATTTCCACCATTACATGCTCTCCACCCTTCATCGATTCCTCGCGTAAATCCTTCACAAGAAACTTAGTTTCTGTGACCCGGACATGCTTAAGCATCTCAAGTCTGCTGTTTGAGAGGGTTCAACCATAGCCAGCTTCCTCATATCACCCCAATATTGCCCATATGGTGCAAACCCGACCGAGCATAGCATGACCATAGCCCATTATTTTTATTGATAAGTATTTTGGACGTGCAGGAAAGACCTTGTCATTGGTAGTGAAACATTCTTTTCACGACTTCCAAAATGCTCACAACAAGCACTCGATGAATCTCAAGGCGGACGGAGAAGATTGGCCCGTTCTTATCAGCCATGGCCCCGAATTGTCTATGCAGTAGCTGGTTTGTTTCTCCAAGAAGATGTAGGTGACCGATAATATAGGCCGTGACCCTTCTGGCTCTGGTGGCCCCTTGCCTTCTTTCTTGTTTGGTTTTGCATGTTTTGTGATCGGGAACAGATAAATTATGCCAAGAAGGACATACGAGGTGATCTCTTGTAATTCATAAAAAGATTTTCATGGTTTTGATGGCTACCGTAATCAATGGATTTGGATAGTAATTAGTATAATACCTGCTTGTTATGACGGATAAGCATATAATTTTTTTAATTCTTTAATTAATTTAAAAAATTTAAGTGAATGAAACAAAAATAAATCAATATTAATGCTGCAATAGAACAAAAGTTTTATCTGAGTTTAAACTGATCCTATAAATTTAAGAGAGGCATTTGATTGATCAAATTTTATGAGTACAAATATTTTAAATAAAAAAATCTATATAGTTATTCAAATAGAAATAACCATAAAATACAAGTATTTCATATGCCATTATTTTAAAAAATAAAAAAATATTAAAATAATATCAATCTGGGTTTATTGGTCGAGATATTTGATTGATAAAATTTTTTTAAGTACAAGTGCTCCTCCAATAGGGAAAAAAAATCAATACGGATATTCAAATTAAAAAAATAATACAAATACTCCAAATGCTATCATCATAATTCAAAAACCTAATTTTATTTGAGGCTTCATCTCTTTTTTTCAATTATGAGCACTAAAACCGTCGTCAAAAAACTCTCTTACCGTGAAAAAGAACGCATTCGCTTGCAGCCCACTAAAGACTTCTCTCTCCTTTCTCCTCAAGTCTCTCCTGCTTTTTCTGTTCTCCTCCCTCTATATCTAGGGATTGAATTGCAAAATGAATGAAGTTCATGAACCATTCCAAACAAACTTCAAACTTTAAAGACCTAACCAAAAAATATTTTCCTAAAATCACTTCAATTTTTTATCAAAACAATTTCCTGCTAAATGACCCGAAACGTGCATGTATGCCTATACCTACAGTGAAAATACATCCCTTTTTTTTTTTTTGTAATAATAACAATAATAAAGATTCACTATTGTTAACATTTATTGCTCTGCTAGTCCTGATTTATTATTAGATGATACAGAGAGAAATTCCAAAGTAAGAGTTTCATCTAGCAAGTGAACTAGTATAATAGGCGGTGACCAGTTGCAGGCAATCGTTTTGTGTAGTTTTGCCAATTCCATCTTACCGCCCACATTCTTCTCCCTTTTTAAAATGTGAATTTTGAGAAAAAGGCATCAAATGATATATTCATGCGAGGTAGCAACAGTATGACCTAATACATTATTTTCGAAAAAGGTTCTCTTTCGTTTTCTAGCCCAAGGTTCCCATTTATTCAAGTTTGTTACTGATCCAACCTTTTTCTAATTTTAATGGTAATTTTATTTTTAGGACCAGTCTAGATCATCATGCAAATGTTATGTGAGTTGAATCGAGAAATTTATCTCATTATATTTATTATTTAGTTTTGGTTTTTGGGACCCAAATTAAGCAAGGTAGAAAATGTTTGGGTTTACAATTTCCTTAGTAATAGTAAATGTTGTAACCTAGAAGAGGGAGTTGACGAATACATCAAAATAAAATTCTTATAGCCATTGATGGCTTCAAGGAAGCTATTAAGCTATAATTTTTTTCACAACGAGTATAACAGTAACTAGAATGCAAGCTTGAACTATTAGCCTACCTTTATGCTATATATGTACTTCTCTTAGCTGAAGAACAAAGGATTACACACTACATATAATGAAAATAGCATTGCTGACCTGACCTGAATTCTTTATGCATTAATCCTAACAGTGAAAATGGAGGCATAATGATGATGCACATAAATTGAGCTTGATATATTATCCCCCAAAGATTTTGTCTTTGTCAGCTGTTTAACATTCATAAAGACTTGAGTTTAGCCTTGGTTTCAGGATGATCTCCAATGGGGTTGCCTTGGGGAGAGTCATTCCAGGACCTTCACTCATATCGATTGGAGTGTCTGAAACTGTAGCCAATTCAAATCCATGAAGCAGTCGAGCCACGGTCAGGTGCACAACCTGGAGTGCAAATGAAACCCCTGGACACGTTCTTCTTCCAGACCCAAATGGTATGTATTCAAAATCTTGACCCCTCACATCCAAATTGGCATGCTCCTTTAGGAACCTCTCAGGCTGAAATTCCAATGGGTTAGACCAAATGTTGGGGTCACGGTGCAACTTCCACAGGTGAACCAAAAGGTGTGTGCCTGCTGAGACGTGGAAGCTAGCTACCGTGCAATCCTCCATGGCTTGCCTTGGTGCTGAAAGTGGGGCAGCAGGGTATAGTCTCATTGTTTCCTTCACAATGGCTTGTAAGTATACCAGGTTCTTTATGTCTGACTCGTCCACTTGCCGGTGCTTCCTGACTTGGATGTCAAGCTCATCTTGTGCTTTTTCAAGAACATTGCGGTTGTTCAATAGCAAAGATGTTGCCCATGTAATAGTCACCATTGTGGTTTCGTGGCCACCCAAAACGAGGCTCTGCAATATAGATGAGGTGATGATGTAAAACTATGAAATGAAAGAGATGCTGGTAATGTCTCATCATCATCACAATTCACTGCTGACAACATTTCTGTAACAGTATTTGTAGATTATATAGGAGTTAGGACAGTCTATGTCGGAAACTCTGTGAAGTTCAAGTGAGCAGCGACTTGGCTTTCCATTATCGCTGAAAACAGTAGCAATTAATTGCCCAACTTAGTTTGTCTATTATTGCAGGAAGAAAGATAAACCTCTATTATGTTGCTTTCTTGTCCTCCATCAGACAGTGACTTCAGAAAATTCATTTCTAGAATTTTATTATTAGAGTTTCGTTGATCAATCCAACTTGTTCATTTTACTTTCTTACGGATTCAATCAAAGTGGTAATCTGCATTTCTTTGCCATAGATTTTCCTGCTTTTGGTCTTTGCTGTGAATTTCTTGTGTCTAATCTATTACACTAACGCACTTTTCTATGCTCAATTGCTTTTGAAGTCATGACTAGGACACAGTTTTTCAGTTTCTGAGCTATTGAAAATCATTAAACTTAATTGCAGAAATGGTGGATACTTACCAAGCAAGTGCTCTTAATGGTAGTATCAGTATCATGAGCAGAAATCTTGCCATCATCCAAGTTAGAAAGCAGAACATGAATAAAATCTTTCTCCTCCTCGTTGATGCTTCCACTGAGCCTCTTTAGTCGATGCTCCTTCACCCAGCTTCCAAACACACCATCCATCTCCCTTGCTGTTCTCTTCATTTTACCTACATATCCTCTAACCGAATCCAACCAACCAAGAAATGGAACAGCATCAGAAACCAAGAATAACCCCAATAGATAGAAGAAACCTCCCAAAGCCTTTTGAACCTTCCTCGACTCCTCATCCCCATTTGACTCAGTACCAAAGTATCGCTTCCCAGCTAGCACCCTTACAATTATGTTCGTTGTCAAGTCCCCAAACTTCTCCTTCATTTCCACCACAATGTGGCCTCTATTCTTTATCGATTTCTCGTGCATGTCCTTCATAAGTAACTTAGTTTCTGCGTCCCAGACATGCGTGAGCATCTCAAGCCTGCTGTTTGAGAGGAGCTCAACCATGGTTAGCTTCCTCATATCACGCCAATATTGCCCGTACGGTAAAGCCGAACGAAGCATCATCATAGCCCATAATTTTTACTGCTAAGTATTTCGGACGAGCAGAAAAGACCTTGTCATTGGTAGTGAAACATTCTTTCACAGCTTCCCAATTGCTAACAACCAGCACAGGACGAATTCCAAGGTAGACAGAGAAGACTGGCCCGTACTTGTCGGCCAAGACCCCAAATGTTCTGGGTAGTAGCTGGTTTGGTCCTCCAAGAACATGTAGGTGACCGATAATTGGCCACGACCCTGCTGGCTCTGGTGGCCTCTTTCCTTTTTTCTTGTTTGCTCTGGCATATCTTGTGGCCAGGAAGATAGAAATTATACCAAGGAGGAGGGCATATAAGATGATATCTTGTAGCTCCATGAAGATTTTAATGCTGTGGATGGCTACTGGAAACAATGGACTTAGTTTGTAATGAATTAGGAAGGTTGAGGATTATTTATGGGGTTAATACCCTGACCTTGGTACCTAACGTATTCTTATACAATAGACTAATCTTTCATTTATTTTTTAAAAAAATATCTCTAATCTGTTTTTATATCTTGATCTAATTTCTAATTTATCTTTTTAATAAAAATTTCTAGTTAAATTAAGTTTGTGACTTGCATATGATATATGATTTGATAAAATTATTTTTGTTATTTGACATAAATAATCGATTAATTTTTTAAAATTAATAGGAAATTTTGATTAAAAATATATATATTAAAAACAAATTAAAAATATAAAAATAAATTAAAAGCTTTTTTTAAGTACAAATTGAAAAATTGGTTAATTATACAAAGACATGCGAGGGTATCAACGTTTGTTTGCATTTACTGCTATGCTCTGCTAGTCCTTTCGATTCATTCCAGATGAGCACTGATTTTTCCTCCAAGTTTGGACAGATGTAGGATGAGACTCAATTATTGCTACAAGCCTACAAGAGACAAGTGAACAACCAGTCTTACTGATGGTGAACTGATGCAGCAGTTTTCTTGTTTGTTTTTTGCCATTTCCAGATTCATAATCATTCTGTCCACAGACTTTTTCTACTCTATAAGTTTGAATTTTGAGAAAAAAGAAAACGCATCTATTGGCTATTGCTATAATTAGTTGATAAAGATTGACAATAGTAAAATAAAAACCACGAAATAAAAATTTGATTATAAGATCAGTCTAACAGTAATTGCAATACAGTGGCCAAATAAAAACACTTACTGCCTTTATTCTACATATTGTTAAAAAGGATTCCACAATGATCTGGTTGTGCTTGCGACTTAAAATTCGTAAGCGATGGAGGGTAGCCTTGGCCTGAGGACAACCTCCAACGGTGTTGCTTTGGGGACTGCTAACCCAGGGCTTTCAGTCATATCAACCGGAGTGTCCGAGACTGTCCTCCATTCAAACCCATGAAGCAGCCGAGCCAGTGTCAGGTGCACAACCTGGAGAGCGAATGACACTGCAGGGCATATTCTTCTTCCAGATCCGAATGGTGTGAATTCAAAGTCCTGGCCCCTTACATCTAAATTGGCATGCTCTTTTAGGAATCTCTCAGGCTGAAACTCCAAGGGTACTTTAGGCCAAATGTTAGGATCACGATGCAACTTCCAGAGGTTAACCCAAAGGCGTGTGCCTGCTGGGATGTGGAAGCCAGCTACAGTGCAATCCTCCATGGCTTCCCTTGGAGCTGAAAGTGGTCCGGCTGGGTGTAGCCTGAATGTTTCCTTGACAATGGCCTGCAAGTATACAAGATTGTTCATGTCTGACTCGCCCACTAGGCGATGCATTCCAACGTGGATGTCAAGCTCTTCTTGAGCTTTTTTAAGCACATTTCTGTTGTTCAATAGCAAAGAGATTGCCCATATAATAGTTATAACTGTGGTGTCGCTTCCACCTGATAGAAGGCTCTGCAATAGATATTAATTGATACTGTGAAATAGAGGACTAAAAAACTGATATATATATATATATATATATATATTTGTTAGGATTTATATGATTGTCAGAACTTACTGCTACATATGTCTGCTATAATACAAAATACAAAACTCGAACATAAACACCAGATGTTAAGTTTACTTGTACGAGGTATTACACAGAATGGAAGACGGAGCAAGGGTCTCGAGTTAGAGACTTCCCCTGACAACTAGATCAAATATAGATCATCATATACCCAAAATCCTTTTAGACATATGACGCAAGCAAGTTTTTCGGCAGTTCCTTGAGGAGGTTTCAGCTGCAACAGCAAAGAAAACTTTAATTGCAGAAATGTACCAGATGCTTACCAAGCAATTAGCCTTAACGGTTGTGTCAGCTTCATCAACAGAAATGTCTCTATCATCCATGCTAGAAAGCATTACGTGGATGAAATCTTTCTCCTCCTCTTTGATGCTTCTATTGAGCCTGGTTCGTCGATGTTCATTCACCCAGCTCCCAAGCACATTATCTAACTCCCTTGCCGTTCTTTTCATTTTTCCTACATATCCCTTGACCGAATCCAACCAACCAAGAAAAGGAACAGCATCTGAAGCTAAATTTAACCCCACTAGATAGAAGAAATTTGCCAAAGCCTCTTGACACCTCTTTGACTCCTGATTGCTGTTAGCATCGATACTAAAATATCGCTTCCCAGAAATCATTCTAACTATTATGTTCATTGCCATGTCCCCCAACCTTTTCTTCATTTCCACAGTCACTTGGCCTCCACTCTTTACCGATTTCTCGTATAATTCTTTCGTAAGTAAACTTGTTTCTGTGTCCCTGACATGCTTGAGCAACTCAAGCCTCTGATTGGAGAGGAGCTCAACCATGACTAGCTTCCTAATATCACGCCAATATTCCCCATATGGTGCAAAGCCGAACATAGTTTGGTTATAGCCCATGATTTTTAGTGCTAAGAATTTCGGACGTGTGGAAAAGACCCTATCGTTTGTAGTGAAACATTCTTTCAGAATTTCCCAATTGCTCACCACAATTGTTGGATGAATTCCAAGACGAATAGAGAAGATTGGCCCGTACTTATCTGCCATGACCCCTAGTGTTCTATGCAGCAGCTGGTTTCTTCCTCCAAGAAGATGCAGGTGACCGATAATAGGCCATGACCCTGCTGCCTCCGGCGGCCTCTTGCCCTTTTTCTTGTTTACTTTGGCATATTTTGTGGCGAGGACAATAGAAATTATTGCAAAAAGAAGGGCATATAAGGAGATTTCTCGTAGCTCAATTAAGGTTTTCATGGTTTAGTTTGTAATGGAGGTACAGTACTCTGTTAATATATATATATTTTTTGTAGCTGATCATACTGAAAAAAATTTCGAATTTAGACAGATGAAGGCTTTTTTATGGCTCACAGCTGATTTGTTGACATATCTATAACTCGGTTAGGCCGGTGAATTAGTTTAGCTGATGGGTATCGATAGGGGCAGTTTTCTTATCTAGTTTCGCACATTTTTCAATTTATTCAACTAGTTTCTCTGTCAAAAAAAGAATTTACCATCACCAAGCTCAGCAAAAATCTTTCTTAATTAATGCACAACCAACCACGCATTATTTTCATGAACAAAGCACCTTTCGTAAAGCAAATGGGACCTCCATGCCTAAGATTTTCTTGCTCATAGTACACAATGACAGCTACTACTTACCAAACATATTAGGCTATTCCACCACAAGTAAGAGTAATTTTATAATATATCAGGATAGATTTATTTCAAAAATTTACTTCAAAGAAAGAGAGATAGACATAAAAAAAGAGAAAAAAATAAAAAAAATTGAATGTAGAAATCTTTTTATCACTTTTGATGAACATGGATATAATTTTATTATTTTTTTATGTGTCTATCTCTCTCTTCAAAATGAATCTATAGACTAACTATTGTATATGCCACTAATTACTTACTTCGACGTATTATAAAATTTCTCCCGCGAGTACATCCGGAACGAGATGGAGATATATGTATAATGCATGTGAGTTTCCTATTTGTTAACAATCTTTCTAATCATAAAGATGGTGCAGATATAAAAATTCACTATCAATAGCCGGCCATTGCTATAAGCTATAATTCACATACCATTTGTCATTTTCGAATATCGTCTTTAATACCTGATTAAATGATTTACTTACGTAGAAAGAAAGAAATACTAATTGATATAAAATAATCAAACCAATATTGTTAGTGAAAATAATTCAACATACTAAATCATCAAAATGAATTTTTATTTAATGCATGCAATAACATCTTTAATTTGATTATAAAAGATAAGGTATTTAATATTCGGATAAATAACTTAATTTTTCCTTATACAATGGAGTAATTCTTCGATCTATATATATACTTGTATATTTAATTATTGAATAAAAAAATTCTTCAATATATTTTTAAACTAACGAAAAGTGATATATGCCCATATCAGAATCGATGCTAATTATAGATCTTTTAGGGTTTGAAATCAATGAAAATCATCAATATTAGTGTTTGAGAAGTCCGTGTTCACGAGTAATCGCTGTCCAAATTGGTTTGGAAACTCTGAAAGTAATTTGGCTCTAGGGGTTCATTCTTTATACAACTCCTAGAAAGGAACTTGCTTTTTTGTTACTATTTCGTATGGTTTGGAAATAATTAATGCACGTCGAGCCTCATGGGACCGTCACTTTAGCTATCAATAGTCCTGTCGATGGGTAAACAAAATCCAAAAGAAAAATTTATTAGTTGCATGTAGAGAGCACCAGCAAAACCATTTGGCATGGTGACTTGGCCTAATTAATTAAGTGGCCTTTGCAAATGGAAAGCAGTTAAAAGGTTAGATTAATTTGGGTTCGTTTGGCCTAAATAACCCAATTAAGCAATCTGGCCACTTATTTCCTCTTTCGCCAGTACAACTTTTCTTCGATTTAAGGCATCCCATTTCTTTTGTTTGATTATGAAATGAAAAGAAAGAAATATAAATGGACTTTACTCAACCAATGACTCCACCAGTGCCAACCAAGCCAATTAAAAGCTGCCAACTACACAACTTACTACCTAGTGGACCCCTTGTTTGGTGAATATTATCCGTCATCAAGAGTTTTTTTTTTTTTTTCATTCAGTTGGTCATGTATTTTAGGAGAATTAGAAAACCGATTAAAAAATTTTCTTATATATATATATATATATAATGAAGTTCAACAAAAATTGAAATGTATGAGTGGTGTAAATGGATTGCATACTAAATTGATCATTAATTATAAATTTTATGGTATCAAGAGTTTTCTTTTTCTCAGTTGGTCACATGTATTTTAGGAGAATTAGAAAATCGATTAAAACTTTTTCTTAATTCATAATATATCTTTTTTTAAAAAATTATTTGCTCATAATATTTTTACTTCAAAGGTAGTGATTGTTAATTAATAATAATTATAAATAAGTTTCATTCTACCTCTAATTAATAATATGTTTATACGTACCTAATTATGGAGACATTTGTCAAATTCCTATACTCATTTTTTGAAAATTTGATATTTTTTTTAAAATCACATGCCTTGTGTGACCGATCTTATGAATAGGCTATTTTCGCTTAATATAACATATTAAAAACGTATCATTAGTCATTTCTTCAGCATTTCATCAGAGTTCATTTGTACTAATTAAAAAAATGTCAAAAACAATATTTTTTATATTTTTCCTTATTTTTTTTCTTTTTTAATATATATCATTCAATGAGCACAAATAAATTCTTAAATTATGGACATTAGATTGCAAAAATTATTAATTATTAAATCTTCAAACACATTATTAAAAAAAATTGAAAAAACTTTTTATTAAAGAAACTAAGAAATATATCATATAACTGATTTTCATAAGAGGCATTAGAAAAAAAGATTTTATAGAAGGAAACCTTACCATTTTATTGGTCCATATATAACCTGACACTTTTAAAATTGGTTCATATTTGGACCTCCCTGGCAAACAATTTTTCTCAATTGTTTGGCTTTTGAATCCAAAAAAGACTAAATTCAAATTTGTTTTGTTTAAGATGGTACGTTCTTTTTTTTTTTTTTTTTTTTTTAACACAATTCTTGTAGTGTGAATTGGGAGAAAATTTGTCAAAGCTCCATTAAATACTAGTTGTAGAAAAGAGGGCAGAATATGGACTGCTGTCATGTTAGTTTCGTTCTTTGAATTTTATTATAGCCCATAGGAATTTTGCTAGTTTTCATTAATTTGGCATCCATGCATCTTGAGTGCTATAGATTTAAATAAAGAATTCTACATTATATAACGATTGTTATATAATAATTTTGAGACACTTCGTTATTATTATTATTTGACGGTATATAATAATTATGACTATTATTACAATAAAAGGTGATATTGATCATGCTTTAAACAGCCTCTGAGATTTAAAACTATGAATGATACCGCTATATTTCTGGCTCCTGCATCACAATATTCCAAGCTTCATATATATATATAAACAAAGGTTGCGACTGCCCATCAGGGTTGTCCGTGGTCTATACGTTTTGGTGGGTTTGGTTGTCATGCCTTGGTCATAGACGTCGAATGGGGAGCAGTTAGGACGCACAGCTGCCCCAGCAGTCTTCTAAAACAAAACAGCTTAGGAGATGTGAATGCTGGCTGCTGCTGTGCTTGGTGGGCACATTTTAAATGCCCTTCATATGACTATCATCGCAACTAGACCCTTTATAAGAACAAAGTTTCCGACTCTAAATCACTCCTTATCCTGTTTGACACGACAAAAATTACAATTTTCACCTTTATCCGTTCAAAAAGCCGAAAAGAAATCCTTTTTAAAAAATATATATATATATAATTTTGATACAGTTGACTCGGTTTGCTGGTTTGGTTTAGACATCCAAAAAACAAAAAATTTAGTTCTACATAAAATGAATAACAAAGAAATTAAGGTACATCCTAAACAAAAGAAGAACCAACCAAGAAACTGATCATACATATATAGTAGCTAAAATTTCTCATTCAGTCTCCTCCACAAAAGCTTCGACTCGAAGAAGAACAAATCCCACTGCAACTCCAACAAGAACAAGCCCATTCATGATTGCCGCTATCCTAAATATCTCACCAACATCACTGCAGGTTGAAGAAAGCGCACCCCCACTTCTCCCTTTACCTTTTGACGGAGCTCTCAATGAGCTGACCACCTTTGCGAAGGACTGCTCAGTGCATACTGACAGGCCTAATGAACTCACACTGTTGTGAGCTTTTAGCCCACCAAAAGAATTCAGTCCTGTTATGTAATGTACATTGGTTTGCTTCCTCTTAGGACTGCTAACTGTGGCAGCAGCAAGTGTTGCTGGAGAAAGTGTTGCTGAGGCTGTTGCCATTGACCCTAAACCTGCTATATAAATAAATAAAGAAAGAAAGAAATATAATCAGCCTCTGTATACGAAAAACAGAAACTTGAACAAGTTACTAATTATATAATGAAATAAGTGTTGTATGCCTAATAGCGGAATATGTATATAGTTACCTTGTTTTAGGTGGTGTCTGTCAAGCTAGAGATATTGCAAATATGATTGAAAAGAACGGAAATGGAAACTTTGTATGGAAAAGAATGGGAGAGGAAGGATAAGGTAGGGAAGGTATGAATGGTGGAAGAACAGATTAAATGGACTCCCACAGCTTATTTTCAAGGGTAAGATTCTGCGCCTTTAAATGCTAGCCACTAAAATAAGAAGAGAGTCCCCAGGCAGGGCCTGGTACTGAAGATAGACCACAAATTTGAATTACTTTTCAGCCCAAAGCACCATGGTCTCAAATTGAAATAAATAAATCAAAAGAATTCAGACCCAGGCCCATTCGAAAGTAGACCGAAAACTAGACCCACCAACCCCAAATATGATCCATCCCACGGCAGCAAGTCGTAAGAGAAGCTGAAGCTCGCTAAACTTCAACAATTGTGACAGTTGATTCAATTCCAGAGAGTTATAACTTGTCGATTGGAAAATGGCTGCAACCAGAATGGTAAACGTTTTTGTTAAAATGATTGATCTCATTTTGAGACCATGCATTACTACTTGATGTACTTGGTATTAAACACAGATTAGGAAGCTCAAGAGCCCCTATTTCCAAAATCTAAGCACAGCATATTAATTAACAAACAAAACCCAAAGAGACAGAGACAGAGACATCACATCACCCACCACTTCCTCTACAAAGGATTCCTTCTATTCTAACATACAGAGATGGTCTGCTCAAATACTATCTAGCAAATCCTGACGGCACATACTGCAGAAAGCAAGTACAATTACGGTCGAACATTATTTCTGAGGTGAATATGAAGAAACTTCACAAGAGACTCACTGCCATTCTGCTATTCATGATATATGACCGTATTCATGGGCTCGACCATTTTAGCGTGCAGCTCTTCCTTTCCTGCGCCCCTTTGCATACGCACTAGGAGATTTTTCACCACTGAATGCTTTGTAGCACTGTTCCAAAATGATTGCATAAATTTAAGAGCTTACAAGTTTTCGATTTTGACTTATTCCTGTCCCTGACTGAGTTGGACATTTCATTCTCGTTCGCTAGGACTGTATTCAATTCATGACCATCGTCTTAATCTGCTATATCCTTCTCTGTCTTGCATTCTTGCTCCAAATTTTCACGGCTATGAGAAGCATCAATTCTGCGACGCTTGTTGATTCTTTGATCAGACTCGGTAGAAGATTTAGGCAAATCCCCAGTTGAGAAAGGATTTTTTTTTTTCTATGGCTAACTTTCCTTTTACTTGGGTGTGGGGTGGAATCCAAGATCTCAGCAGAGTTATCATATTCGAATTTTCTTAAATCTTCCACTGAGCCTCGATAATCAATTTCAGATGCAGTCATATGAAAAGGCTAAAACCTCGAAGCTGGAACTTATCTTGTATTTAAAGACTGAACAATACCCCTCGCGTATTGAATAATATTCTACAAACCTTTGCCAGCCACCGTCAAACCAAATCATGTCATTAGTTTCTGTTAATCCGGCACGCCAAACCTCATCGTTTGGGACAGTGTGGCAACATCAGATAATTCATCTCAAAATTTCTTCACAAACTTTGATGGAATCCCCTGAAAGTACTCAAAATTCTCTCGATCGGACTAATCAAATGAGGTAAATCTTGCAGACATGCAAATTGTTTTGTCTGAATGTCCTAATGTTGAAGCTTGTGTCCCCAGTCGTGAACTCAGAGAATTGTTCGTACTAAATCATGTTAATGTAAGTGGAAACTCATCTGGGCAGCAAATGGCTTGTATGTACTCGTTTTTTTTTAAAAAAAAAAAAAAAAAAAACATGTCTCAAAACACTTATCAGATTACGGTCAATTTCAGGTACCAATATGTTCTAGAAAATTTATATAGAACAATCAAGACTATTTCAGCAATCTGTGTTTACCAATATGTTCTAGAAAGTTTGTGTGGATTCCCAGCTGCTTCTTGACATCTATCATACTTGGACGAGTTGGTTTGGAAAAAATGCTGCATCTGTCTCTTCGTGGAAGAATCAATTCTACCAGCTCCTCTGGCTGATTGATTTATACTAGGCATGCCAGATACTATTTTAAGTGTTGAGGTTTCATAGCAACGGCTTTCTAATTTTCTGGCAAGAGTTCAAATGGGGTTGAAATATCTTTGACAGGATTTCTCCCTTAGGAAAGAGAACTTTGTTATTGTACATGTTGCTTAATAATCTAAAGCGTGACCATAGAAAGCAGAGAGAACTGCAGTGTTTACCAAAAAATAAAAGATATGCAACACTTTCTCGAGCATAAAAGGATAGATATATAATAAGTTTCCTATTTAACAAAAGTAGGCATAAGAATTAGAACAAACAACAAAACATACATTCCAACCGCGTCCCTGATATTTGATAAGTGCTTACGGTCACCCCACAAGGCCAGGCCCCAGAACAGGTAAACCAAAGCACGACAACAAACTGAAACTAGCAAGAGAAACCAAGCAAAGACATAGCAACATAATAACCAAATGATTTCAACATCAGAGCAGTTCAGAATCTTTAAGCAGAATGAACTTTTGTGAATTGCAGCACGACGCCTTCTTCACTCTTCATCAACTCAAAACCACAGACATCTCCAGCTTTCAGTTGATTGTCTTCTAAAAACTGACGCCAGCCCTTAAATAAGTAGGCATCCTTATTGTCAATATGTCTCCAAAGGATTCCTACAGGCCACTCTTTTTTTCCACTAACATCCTTAACTTTGAGCCTTTTAGTATCCCTGCCCACATGCTCCCTTGCAAAACGAATTGGTATATACTGCACAAAACAACAAGCAAAAAAATGTCGTTAAGCATATTCCAAATGTGAATCTTAAATATATTCACGAGCATAAAAGCACACCCCCATTTTTCTCATGTTGTAATCACGCAACTGGATAATGAAATAAACATTTTCAGGACGGTAGTGAGTATAGGTATTTGTCAGCGTTTTTTGGTGTGCCTTCTTTATTAAACCCGGTGTGCTGGTCTCCTTTTCACAGTTCACCACCATTTCATTGTCATCTATGATCCAAAATTAATAACAAAAAAGAATTAGAGAATTGAGGGAGAAAAAAATTCAATCACACCAATTCTAGTTTTCGATTTACCTTCGGTCTTGACCTTCCTATGACATGAGCTACGTGGTTTTTGTAAACTGGTACAGGATTTTTTCTTATTGGATTTTTCTTCAAACTCATCATCTTCAGAGGACTCCACATCGTCATCATATTCAGAGGACTCCACGTCGTCGTCATCTTCAGAGGACTCTATATCGTCATCATCTTTCATTTCCAACTCGCCTAATCCTAGGTCTTGCACATTCTTGCTACTGCTTAAACCATAATGTGGATATTGGATCTCGCAAGAGCTTGTATCAAAAATACGGACATTGAAGTTAGAATTACCCGTGTAAAAGAAAACCAAAAGATTTCGCTGACGGATCAAATAGTGCTGCAGAAATTTATCAAAACCATCCTGAAACCAGATATCCTTATCGCCTTTTGTTATCCCTAAAGGCCAAACACGACCGTCGGGAAGAAAAACTTCAGCAGGATCAGAAATTTTGTTCCCATAACTTCTTACAAACAGCTCTGGAATTCTCTGCAAATTTAGTCGCGGTACTGTTAGTAAATGCAAAAAAAAAAAAAGTTTCTGTCCATTCACAAGCATGAATATCAAAGACCTAGTGAGGAAATTGGAATGATTCTTTAACATTTTCATTCTTCATGCCATCAATTGGATACAACACATTTTTGAAAATTATACACAACATACATACGGCATTAACTGTCATTGAAGCAGCCTAGAAAATAATAAATCACACATCATTTGACCAGACAATGCTAGTTCTTCCAAATTCCAACAGAGTCGAAATAAATTCCCTGCTGATCCTGGACAATTATTTCTAAAATAATAAATGATCAGTAGATCAAGTGAACCACAAAATGGCATGAGCATGGCCAACATAGTCAACTGCTATACAAAATTCCAAATAAATAGGTACTCCACCAATACAGACTTCATTGACACAAATGTCTTAAGATGGAAAAAAAATGCCCAGATCAAATAGCATTAGATGGTTTAGATCCCATGTATTCTTAATCGGAGTTAGGATGATCTCATTTGTCTTCTATATAATATTTTTCTTTTTAACATGCTAATCTGGTTTGCAGTAAAATTTCTAATGTTTGTCTCTAAAATGTAAAAAGTTTCTAATCACAAAGGTAGATGACCTTTATCTAAGCCCAACGAATTACTTAGCAGAGCTCCTCCATCAATTTCTGTCTATTTGCTTGCTAGTGAGATGTGCCCAGCTATAGTGTAACTTTTTGTTGAAGTGCGTTTCTCTAATTTCACTTCAGAATGTTTAACAAAAAGTGCATAAGGAACTAAGAGAGAACTTCATAAATCTCATCTAAAATTAAACATCAAGTTCAGATTAGCAACGAGTTCCCAGAAGGCAAGAACATAAAATCAGTAAAGAAAAGATAGAATCTTATCACCTTACATGCTTATTTTTGCAAACCATACTCTATTTAAATCAAAACACAGTTTATTTAAACATGAAAAATGAAAAACCAAACTAGATTTTTAGCTGTGTTTTGTGAATATTACCAGCTTCTTGTCTTCAATGGTGCTCGGAAAAATTATCTTGTAGAAGCAGTTCATGTTGCAGCAGCCCTATTTTCCTCCAGCAAGCTTTGATACAGTGGAAATCTAACCAACTAGAAAAGAGTTTATAGCAGTTCGAAAATAAGAGGGGTAGACATACACAAAGCACATTGATTTAGCTTTTGTGGAGCTTTTATTGTAGTACCAAGTACCGAAGATCTCTTTTGCATGTGATTGAAGATTTGGTTCCAGTTTTGCCTTCTTTTGAAGCTAGCACGTTCCTGGTCAATTACATCTAATTTTTTTGAAGAGCTTTTTTCTTGAATTAAAGCAGTATTGATTTTTGCACCAGTTAGGAATCATAAGGACAATCCTATTTCAAGAAAGCTGGACAGAACACTTTATTTGCTGCAGATTGCACAGTATTGAGTAAGCAAGATAAATTTTCAGAAGAAATTAATATAACATGACAAAACACACTTTCTCTCTCTTTCAATTATCTAATAGAACGCCATGCTAACGGTTGGAACTTGAAACATATTTGGATTCACATTTTCAACACATTCATGACTACAGTACAAGGCATAGAGGGAAAATGGACCACAAGCAGAATATATCCATTAACATGTTTAGTCATCTACCAAGTTAACTTTACTAAAGAAAATGAAATTGCTTGACCCCTTTTTTTTTTTTTTTGTGCATTTATACATTACAAAACACAAAAACACATTTTAGCAGAACTTGTCAATTTGTGCAACCGGTCTGCTTCCATTGTCTACTTTTGTGTGCCTTCAGCTGCATAGAATTTAAGTAAAGAACCAATGGTGAGAAAAGAAAATATATAAACAAAAAATTAGTAACTTCATAGCCATAGTTCTGACTTGTTGAAATATTAATAGTTATAAATTAGGGAACAAGTTTGCAATTCAATTAGTCTGGAAATCCTAACAAAATAACGGTGGTCATTGTTATATATATGGTAAGCTGCAACATTAACAAGCTAACAAATCAAACTTTGTCTTGTGTTCATTTGGACAAACGACACCAGTAAACAAAGCATCAAGCAAAACATCAAGGAAGAATTAGGTACCTGATATAGCTTAACTGTGCATCAAGCATATCCAATCAAAAAAATTATTGACAGTTGCTCTTACCATTAAACGTCAAGTATATCTCCTTGCTGAAGTGCATCTCTCCACTTTAGAATGTGAGGAAATAAATAATGAACTGAGGGAGAACATACAGTTTTCATGTAAAATTAAACGTCAAGTGAAGTAGCAGCATTGAGCTCCTAGAAAGGCAAGAACTAGAAACAGTGAAGAAAAGATAGAACATCATGACTCTGCATGCTTATCCTTGAAAAACCATACTCTTGCTTGTAATTCCAGGTTCAAATTTAAAGAAAAACATAGATGTCATCTACTTAAAACATCTAAAAAAAAAGATGGTTATGAAGCTAATGATCTTGTAGAAACGGGTCATGTTGATGAGTGGCAGCGCTCTATTCCTCAGGTAAAGCTTTAGTTTAAATGGAAGGAAAAGAAGATGGTTATGAAGCTAATGAAACTAAAGAAGAGAAGAGATTGAGGCCAATGGTTATAATTCATGGACTTTGATTTGGTTCTAGTGTTTTTTTTTTTTCTAATTCTAGTTTGGACTTCCAAGGACAATAATATCTCTTTTTTCTTCTTTCAGAATATCTTTTTTACCCACCTTAAAACACTCCTACCACCAATTACTTAAAATAGAAAAAAAATCAAAAGTCTAATACTAGAAGGAGATATGCATCGGTTTTTCAAGAAACTAGCAAGTCTGACCCACTTTATTTGCTGCTGCAGAAGTTGCAGAGGGAATGCTTTTAATTTGACCCATCAAAGATTAACTTTTTCAAAGAAAATTGTACAACAGGGCAGAACCCTCAGGTTTTGCCATTATCCACATAACAAAATTATTGCATTTTCAAAACATTGATGCCAAGTTTCTCAACAAGAGAGTATCATACATGCATAGTTCATTCATCTAGCGAGTGAGCACTACTAAAGAAAGTTTCTCAACAAGCCTTTTCATACATTTTATTTATACATTACAGGACACAGAAATTGTAAGAGAGTTTGCCAAGTTAGTGTTTGCTTCCACTGAGTGCTTTTACGTGCCTTCAAGCTGCGCAGAAAGTAAAGAATCATCTGTGAGAAAGCATATATAAGTTAAATCAACCTGGATAGTTAGTAGTATCTGAATGCCAACAAAATTTGATGGCTATTATCTTACGAGATAAAATACTTTAACTTCCTGTCGTTGATGGAACTGAGTATGCAATTCAATTAGTCTGGAAATTCTAACCACATCCATAACTGTGGCCATTGTTATGTTTGCATTATAATATTGCTAATGGACCAAACTTTGAGCTATGTCAGCAAACAATATATCTAACAGAATTGGGAACCTTATCATGAAGTAGCATCTTACCCTACAAGTCAATTTGAAGGTCCGCTATCGTCAATTGCACGAAACATTGAAACTTGAAGTGATGGTGAAGATTTGTTGTTCTTGATCAGCTCAAAGACACATACATCTCCTTCCTTCAAATTGTTTTCTCTTTGAAATTCATTCCACCCTTTCGAGATAGTCAGGCGGAGACTTCGTGTTTTATTGAGTCGAATAGGCCATTGTCTTCCATCTGAAACTTGAAGTTTAATATACTCTGAAACTCCACTCAAATGTCTTTTAGCAAACTCAGCTGGCACAGACTACACAAAACAAGAAGAGTTAAGAAGTGACTTTGTAACTTGTGAATTTGATGAGCATATTATATAAGAGATTACCACAAAACACTTATTGTATGACCGTAACAGAACCATGAAAGAAGGATTCTTAGGCTTGAACATTCTGGCAGCATGAATAGCCTTCTTGCTTACTTTTGAAGCCTTTGCGAATCCACTAACAACAATTTCCATATCTTCTCCACATTGTGGGGGCAATTCAGTTTCATCTGCATATGACGGATGTAGCAATAAATAGAAACAAAAAGGTTATACCAGATTATAAAAAGATACCCAAATAACACATAAAAGAGCTCACCAAATTTAGTTTTAGATTTGCCTTTGTTGATCTTGGTTTCATCAATCAAGGATCCATTAGGTCTAGATAATCTACATTTCTTAGATAGATTCCTTCTCATTGATTCATTAGTACCATCTAAATCAGCCATAATAATATGCTCTTTCTTCACAGGTATTTTGCCTCTTTTGTCATTGGAATGTTCAAAATGTGGTTCTCCCTGGGCATTATTCTCTGGCGAAGGAGGCATAGGAGGGTGCCTTTTACTCGATTCCCCTGCATTTTCATCAACAACTCCACTTTCCAAAGCACAACAATATTGGGAATCGATGCTTTCAATTGAACCTTCATTTTCCATCACATCTAAATCATATAGCGAACATTTTTCATCATAATCGATCTTCTCACCACTAGTTTCTCCCCTGCATTGTTGATACCGAATCTCACATGCAGTCTTATCAAATATGAGAGCATGAAAATTAGAGTAACCTCTATATCCGAAGACTAAAAGATGCCCATAACCGATCGAATGGTGCTCTACAAACTGTAGCCAACCATCATCAAACCAGATGCTGTTGTTGGCTTTTGTCAACGCTATTTGCCAAGAATGACCATTGGGTAGAAAAACTTTAGCAACTTCAGAAAGCTCTTCCCCAAATTTCCTCACAAACTTATTTGGAATCCTCTGCAGGTACTCAAATTAAAGTTAGATCAAATGTTCCATATACAAATTTTCTTACTATAATTACAGCATAACTATAAATTTCATTTTTTCATAAAACAAACTATCAAATTTCAGCTAAAATAGACGACTGAAACTTATTGGAAATATAAGTGGTAAATACAATTCTATAGATATTTCACATAAAAAGTCGAAACATAAAATCTTCATCATTGTCCCTCTATAGATCTGTAGTATAACATCACTGAAACCTAAGTTCAAAAGTCACATGCATCCTGGCTTGTTAACCACATGCAGTGCTTTATCAACACCACAATACTTGTTGCTACTTATTGGCCCTGGAAAGGCTAATTATTAACTCAATAGCAAAGAAAAGGAAAAAAGAATCCTTTCTGGCACAGCAGCAAGCAAGATATTTTGCTAGAAATTAACTTAAAATCCGGAACTTTCATGAAAAGGACAAAGCTTTCCAAGAATGACTAGAGCTTCATTTTACTTCATGCAAAGCCAAATTCCAATTTATCTCAATTCTTACTTCAATCATGCAATACATAGAAAATGTTCACGAAGAATATAATATACAAGACAATCTACTAAGTTATAGAATTTTTAAATCAATTGAATAAATATCCATAATTATCACATGCATGCAATCAAAAGCGGTAAAATACAATGAATCAATTACCAGCTTCTTGTCTTTTAAGGTACTCTGAGTGATTATCTTGAAGAAATGCCACAGTGGTCTCTGTTCCGCCTGAGAATGTGACCGCCGGTGAAAACTCCTAGTTGGCTGCCCTTCCTTCCGGGGAGCCATTTTTTTATCCAGCAATCTGATGCAAATACTACTGTTACAGTACACTTGTACTTATATAATAATACTGCCCTATGTTTTGGACTAAGAATTTGGCCATGCAAATGACACGTAAATCATCTAGGCTCATGTGCCCATTTGTTGTCTTCCATTAATTCGACAAAATTACAATTAGCAGGCCAGTTGGTTTCTTCCTGGACCATTATTGTCATACATAAATTTATGGGCCTTCCTAAGACCATTGTGTCCAAAATATTGGAAGCCATAAGACAAATACTGCTAGAGATAGTTCATGCATGAAACTTTCAGGATCAGTTCAATGCATGCCAAGCTTGAACTACGAACTGAAATGTAGTTGAGGTTTAGCATTAATCCATCTTAATTGAAGAGGGGTTACAAAGATTATGCGAACAACTGATGAGAGACTCGTAACACCATGCATACAAGCATCTAATCTAGATAAACGATGAAGTTTTCCTTGGAATGTGAATAAAAAACGGGAGTTATGGTCAGTATTACACCATCATATAAAATAAGAAACTTTCAATCGTCTTGAGGAGAGATTTCAGAACTATTCATAACTGTATTATCCATCATTAATGTAATACATCATACTTGCAAGTGAACCACATTGTACCAAAAGCAAAGCACTAAGGGAGTTTTGATCAAACCCATGCTAATCAAGCACAAGTCTATCAAAAAAATTCTAATTTCTAAGTTGCTTTTACCCTGCAGGTTGAAGAGCCCTGCAGCCATAATGGTCAACTAGCCGAAACACTGAAACTGTCAGCATAGAACTATCATCATTGATCAGCTCAAAGACACAGACATCTCCTTCCACCAAATTATTTTCCCTGTAAAATCGACTCCATCCCTTTGTGAGAATCAGACGCAGGCGCCGATAGCCATTCCAACTAAATCGTACAGCCCATTCTCTTCCATCAGAAATCTGTAGTCTAACATACTCCGGGACTTCACGCATATACCTTCTAGCAAATCCACTTGGCACATACTGCACTGAGCATGAAATGAGAATCGAAGAGATAACTATTAGTTTAATGGCCATATTTGATTCAAACCCTTACCGCAAAACCTTTGTGAATATTAAATGCACGCAGTATAACCATGAAAGAAGGATTTTCATGTTTGATCGTTTTGGCAGCTTGAATTGCCCTCTGGCTTCGAAGAGATGCCTTCTTAAATCCACTAGCAATCATTTCTGAATCTTCTTCACATAACTCATTTTTTTCTGCACGTAATGGATTTAGGGCTTAAAAAGGATGGATGAATAAATAAATCATAAAGCACAGCATTGCCAAGAGAATATTGGAAGAGCTTACCAGGTATTGTTGCCGATATAACTTTGTCTTTGCTTTCACTAAACAAGAACTGACAAGGCCTCGACTTTCCGTTTTTAATCAACTTCCCTTTCCATGAAACATTAGCATCCTCTAGATTTGTTATCTCAGGATACTTCTCCTTCATAGGTTTTTTGCTGCTTTTGTCACTAAAGTGCTCAAGATTTTCGCTCCTGTGCCCAGAAAGACACCTATGGTGCATTTTCGTTCCCAGATTCTTTTCAGCCGAAGCATTGTTTTTCTTGCTCGATGAAATTGTAGAATCCAATATCTCAATAGAGTCCTTATCTTCCATTTCATCCTCATGATTGAATGAACATCTCCGACCATAATCAGTCTCATTACCACTAGTTGGTTCAATGCATGGATACTGAATCTCACAAGCACTAATATCAAATATGAAAACATTAAAATTGGAGCAGCCTATGTATGCAAAGAGTAAAAGATACCCATAACTGATGGAATGAAGCTCTACAAATTTTTGCCAACCCTCGTCAAACCAGATATTGCTCTGGTCTTTTGTTAGTCCTATTTTCCAAGCATGACCAGAAGGAACCACAATATTAGCAACATCAGAAAGTTCTTCCCCAAACCTCCTTACGAACTTGCCTGGAAACCTCTGCAGGTAAGTAAATTATCTTAGGCTGTGTAGTTGCAGCATAACATAACTTTCAGTATTCATGAAATATAACTTATCACATTTAAACTACAAACACCGGACCGATATATTATCATCAAATTGTCTGAGTAGGAAACTATAAAGCATTATCTGCAGATCAAAATATTTAACACTCAAAACATGTAGACTTGTAAACACTACAAAAACAACGTCTTTTAGCAATACAACTGTAATGAACAGATTAAAGTGAGTTCCCATCCCTGGCCTTGGTGAAATGGAAATTCAACTGGGTGGTTTTGCAATTTCCATGGCTTCTATTGATACTTATGGCTCGCTTGGAGTTCTAGAGTTCATTATGGGCTCTTTAATTTAAGGGCTAGGTCCATGTTTAATGAAAAACCCTTTGTCTGCTACGGAAAAAGAAAAAAAAAAGATTTCTGCTACATTTGTTAAATCAGATTTTTTTCTAGAAATTAACCATACAACACAGTATCAAAATCAACAAGAACGAGATACAAAAGATAAATCAAAGATTATAATTGGAGAAATCATAATTTAGCATTGCATGTAGGAAATTAGGACTAAATAAATGAATTACCAGTTTCTTGTCTTCCAAAGTACTAGCAAGGATTATCTTAAAGAAATGCATCAATGGCATCTCCGCCTGAGAATGTGACCGCCGGTGACCGCCACAACGAGCCAGTTCCTCGCGGGAAGCCATTGATCCAGCTGTGTAAAGAAAATCACCCGGTTTGGAAATAAATAAATAAATAAAATCACCCAGTTTGGAATTAGGCCTCTCAGTTTAAATGCTTAATGACTCGAGAGTTCCAAAACTCCTCGTGTTCTACTATATTTCTGGCCTAATCAATGATTTGACTATTCAAGTGGCAGGGCTCATGTGTCCAAAAGATTTGACGGGTCAAAAAAATCTTTTTTAATTTTACGAATTCCAATTTAGTAGACAAGTAACAGTAAATTAATTTCGGAAAAGCATTGTTACAACATTCATAGGCCCGTTTAACAGACCATCCTATCAAGGAAAGAAATCGCGGCCCTATATTTTTACAAGAATCAGCTTTCAAAATTTCAGATTGACAATATTTCGAAACATGCATTGTTCTCCTTCAACAACTCAAAACCACAAAGTAACCAAAATAAGCAACCGGATGGTGGAGTTACTCAATGTTCATGCCTGAAGTCTGAAGTACCTCCTTAATATGATTATTCAACTCTTCTCCAAATACTCCAAGAATTCCACAATATTTGGATCATTTGTCTGATCTTCAATATTTTAAAATTTAAATTTATACGATTTGATATTAAAAGTTCACAATTGTCAAATTACAATAAAATAAAAGCAAAATTTACCATTAACCATCGTAAAAAGTGGACGCATATGAGAAAAGATGAGCAATCTTTTTTGAACACTTCTGGACTTGGTTAGGTTTTTTCTATGAAGATTTAATTTGTTGTACTTGTATCTTCGTGTGTTTGCATGTGAATGATCCCGTACCAAATTTCTTGTCATCTTTTCCAGTCGTAACCGCAACTTATTTCTTTCTTGAATTGAAATTGAAGCTTTATTATAAAAAATGGAAATTGAAACTCTATAATGATAGAAAGACATTACAGGTGTTACTTGTCAAAGAAGTACCCCTACGACCTTTTTGCCATATTTCTTTACTGGTGAAGTGTTCAGAGCTCTAGAATTGACTGACCGCTTTCTTTTTCGATGAAAGTCGCACAGCAATACAGCAGATACAATTTATTGCCGTTGTCAAATGAAATGCAAGGCATTAGGTATGGGTATAATTTGAATTTTCACATTTCACAGCAAATCAAGTTTAACATTACCAGCTTTTTGTCTTCTCAGATACGAGGAAGGATTATCTTGAAGAAATGCACCAATGGCCTTTCATCTAGAGAATGTGACTGTCGGTTATGTCCACCATTGTGTCTCACTTCGCTCCTGGAAGCCATTAATAAATCGATTTAATGAAATTCCACTTTGGTAATTGGCGTTCTCTGCTTTATTATGTTTTATCAGATTAAATAGGTTAAATTTCCTGTAAATTTTATTTCATTTGAAAATCTAAATTTTAAATTTTTTATTTTGAATTTAATTTTCTATGAACTTTAGTTTTTTTTTTTAATTTGATCCATTATATAATTTCCAGCTATCACTTTTTTTCTAAAAAAAAATCAATTTTTGGTATTTTAACATGATGTTTTGCACCTTTTTGGAAAAACTCAATCCAATTTTTGAAAGAAATCTAGATTTTTTAAAGGTATTTAATTTTTTAAGAAAATCCCAAATCTTTTCTGGGTAGAAAAATATATTATTTTTATTTTTGAATATTAAAAATATAGAAAATTTGAAAAAAAAATAGAATACTCAATTTTTTTTAAGAGTCTCAAATAAATTTTATTGAATAATTTTTATCATAATATTATTTATGCTACCATTATTTTTTATAAAAAATAAAATAAAAGATAAACTAAATATGAAAAAATAAAATTAAGATAAGTTCATACTCAAAATCATTAGAAGTTTAGAAACGGATTTTCAAATTAACTTCTCTCAAAGATTTTATCCGTTTAGCAGCTTTTATGCTTAGTAGTTCTCCGCCCCGTTCTCTGGCCTGAAGATTGGACAACATAGGTGGTGTTGACCATCTTGCCGAATGTGCCCACCTCTTGCTTGGTCAAGTCAATTGTCTTTCGTAGCCCAACTGCCAAAGTGAGTTACCTTGCGGACCAGAGTAGTTACAGCAATATGGGATGCAACGAGGTTTGTGGTACAAGTGATTGTGTGTAGAATGTTGGTTCGAATTATTTGTATCTGTTTCTAAACATTTTGAATGGTTTTCGATTAATCGAATTATTTAAAAAATTAATCAAAATTGAATCGAAATGTTATTTGATTTTTTGATTTGATTTTAAAATATTTTGATTTTGGTGTTCAATAATTTAATTTTTATCTATTTTTTTTCACAAATAATTGATTTTATTATAGTTTCTAAATCTCTATTTAGATTGAGTTTTTTTTTATTTTGTGAACTACTAGTTAAAAACCTAAGTTACATCCAAAAAAATAATAAATATAGTAAATGCATTAGTAAAAAAAAAAATAAATTGTTTAAGAAGGCTTGAATTTGAGACAATAGAAAATCTATCAATACTTTTGTTATTTTGTATACATCTAAACTTGTATCAAAGACAAAAAAAAAAAAAAAAGATACGCACGAAGCTGTGAGAGAAAACGCATCTAGAGAAGAATGATTTTTTAATTTGAAGATGCACCGAGTGATCTAACTTATATATATATATATATATATATATATATATATATATATATATATATATATATATATATTATTTTAAAAATTTTGGTTTTTCCGTTAAGTGAATTTTTTTAAAAAATAACCGAAACCAAACATAAAACCAAAATTATTTCGGTTTAATTTTTTATTTTAATTTAAAAAAAAGTTGTATCGAAATTGATATTTGGTGCTATTCGATTCGATTATTCGATTTGATTTTTACCAAGTGGTGAACATCCCTAATCGTGCCTTCGCTCTTTCTGTACTGGGCAGCCAACAATGCAGCATTTGCATAGCTAAACTTAGCAAAGTTTGAAAATTTTCCTGGGAATTTATATATACAAAGTGGTGTATTGCAGCATGATCCTGATTGATTCCTCAGCAGCCAAACTTGGAGTTATATAATACTGTCATGAGGAGGGATTTGTAAATTATCAGGATCAAGCACAAACTTACAAAACATTCTCACCATTAGGGATTGCCCTAAAAGTCAATTCAATGACTCGCTATCTTCATCTAAGCGAAATATTGTAACTTTCAGCACGGATTTCTTGCTCTTGATCAGCTCACAGACACAAACATCTCCTTCCTTCCAATCATTTTCCTTGTGAAATCTATTCCATCCCTTCGATAGCTTCCGTTCACATTTAATGACTCGCAAAGGCCACTCTTTTCCATCAGAGACCAGAAGTTTAATACGCTCAGAAACTTGATTCAGATACTTCTCAGCAAATCCAAGAGGCACATACTGCACAAAAAAAGAACAATTCAAATTGAACATTGAACTTGTAAAGTTCATGAGCTTATCCATAACCATATATCCTTATAAAAATTTAATTAACTATAATATCCTTAAATAGTTTTGATACTACGCCTCCGTCAAAACACCATAGAAAACTTTTTTTTCTAGCAATTTTTAGTCAATTCAATAAACAACAAACATTGCTCTGCAATCCCTCTAACATTTTGAAAAGGGGTTTCTATCATTTCTATAATATTATGTAGCTATTAGAAATAAAAGAATTCGAATGTTTTATTTTTTAAATATATTAAGCTATGGATGTTATAATTTTCTAATATTTTGAATATAATTCATGAATATATAGCCATTAATATGGTAAAGCTTTGCAAAACTTGAATAATTCACGTGCAGCATACGTACCTAAAAACTAGTTTCATATAAATGCTTACCACAAAATTGTTGTGGATATTATACGGTCGCAACAAAACCATGAAAGAAGGATTTTTTGGTTTGAACTTTCTGGCTGTATGAATTGCCCTCTTGCTTGCTTGGGATGCCTTTGAAAGTCCACTGACAACAATTTCCATATGTTCTTCACATTTTGACAGTAACTCACCTTCATCTGCATTTAATGGATTTAACGTTAATAAAAATAAAATCAGAGCATAGAATTGGAATAAGGATATGAGAATAATATGAAGAGCTTACCACATTCAGTTTTACGTTTGCTTCTATCAACCTTGGTTTCACTAAACACATTAAACAAGGATCCATTTCGGCTAGACATTTGATGTCTGTTGAACTTCCCTTTCCTCAACTCATTTGCACCTTCGAAATCTGTTAGTGGAAGATACTCTTCCTTCATAGGTTTTTTGCCCCTCTTGTCGCTGAAGAGCTCAAAATTACAGCTCTCATGTCCAGCTACAGATCCTTGACACTTTTTCATTCCCACATCCTTCTCTGCTGAAGCATTCTGCCTTTCATTGGATTCCTCGACACCCACATATTGATCGAAAGCACCAATTTTCTAGCGCAACGATTCGGGGATGAAATTGGGCCGATTATTTCAATACAGTCATCATCGTCTGTTTTATCGTCATGAACAAATGAACCAGTCTGGCCATAATCAATCTCTTCACCACTAGCAGATCCACTTTGTGGATATTGAATCTCACAAGCATTCATGTCAAATATGAGAACATTGAAATTGGAAAGGCCTCTGTATCTGAAGACTAGAAGGTACTTGCAATCAATGCAATAATGCTCGACAAACTTTTGCCAACCATCATCAAACCAGATACATTTTTCGGCTTTTGTTAATCCTACTTCCCAAGCATGACCAGTGGGAACAACTACACTAGCAACATCAGACAGTTCTTCCCCAAATTTCCTCACAAACTTTTTTGGAAGTCTCTGCAGAATATACTTCAACCTTTAGGCTTAAAGTAATTGCAACTGAACATAATATTCTTCATTTGTAAAACAAACTATTTATCATAATTCAGCTAAACTAAATGACTGTCTTCATTAGAATTATAACATCAGTCAGCTACAAAGCAATATATGCAAACCAAAAAAAAAAAATTCACATGCAAAAGTTAAATGATTAAATCAACTAGAAATTACATAAGATCCAAGCTTATATTCAGCACATTTAATTGATCCTTTGACAAAAAGGAGAGAGCCCATTACTTAATATCACAAGCATGCAAGAAAAAATGACACACTTAAACAAGAATTAATTACCAGCTTTTGGTCTTCTAAGGTACTAGGAAGGATGATCTTGAAGAAATGCCACAATGGTGTCTCCACCATAGTACGTGACCGCAGGTGATATCTCCGATCCGACCCCACTTTCCTCCGGCGAGCCATTGATTTCCAGCTTTTAAAATAACCCAAGAGTGTTAATGTGAGTGACCCTTTTCAGGGATCTTTGCTCTTTGCATTACTCTGCTTTATGCAGACAATACAGGTGGCGCAACATCTTGGTTCATGTATCCACATGTTGGACATTAAAGATTACAATTGGTAGTTCATTGCATGTCTTTGGTTTCTACAAGGTTATTAAAACTTGTAGCTCTGTAGGATTTATACCCTCTTCCAATTTCAAAAAAAAATATTATTAGCCCTGTGAGTCATAAGGACCAGAATGGTTTCAGCATCAGAAGGCATTTCTAATCCCTTCTTTTTTGGGTGTATTAAAACTAAACAAATCACTTTCTTTTTCTTTTCTTTTTTAGGGTAAACACTCTGCAAAAATGAAAAAATAAGAGTCCAGTTAGTTTCAGTATGGGCCAGCATTATTATTACAAACAATTATGGGCCTCTGCAAATAGAGATGACGCCAAGCTTTTGGGACTACACATGGAGGAGCAGAACTTGGCAAGTTTTGAAAGCACAATGAGTTGCCTTTTGCTTCTATAATGCAGAAGACTGACATATTTCTTCAGCTTTGGCAACCCAATTGAATTTCATTTTCCCTGCGTCAAACATGATCCTGATTGATTTTTTTGCCAGCAGGCAAAAGTAAGTCTATATAAGATAGTAACATTTTTTCCTAAAAATTACAAACACAAACCCAAGAGGGGTGGAGCTGATTTGTATTCAAACTAGGAATGTCAATTATCAGTAAGCATAAATAGGAGTGATCCGGGTACAGCATCAGACCTTACATGATCAAAACATAAACTAACTTGAGATTCTATGAGTTTCTTTCACCCTTCACATATATTCAAGAGGCAGAGCTGTTACCTTCACCTGCACGAAATATTGTGACTTTAAACTCAACTTTTCTACTCTCAATCATAATCTCAAACACACAGACATCTCCTTCCTTCAAATCATTTTCAGTGTGAAATGCATGCCATCCCTTCGATATTATACGCTTTTTCGCAGTGAGTTTTGCAGGCCATTCTCTTTCATCGGAAACCTTAAGAGTAATGTTATCGGAAACTTCGGTTGAATACCTTCTAGTGATTCCATAAGGCACATTCTGCAGTAGGGAAGATAAAAATTTTTTTTGAAAGTTGAATAGAAACTTGCAAATTCCATTCAGCATATTCTATACAAAGACTTACCAGAATACCTTTGAAGAAATTATATGGTTGCAGCAAAGTCATGAACGAAGGATTTTTGGATTTGAATGTTTTCGCAGCTTGAATGGCCCTTTTGTTCGCTTGGGATGCATTTGGAAAACTACAAACAACGCTTTCCATTTCTTCCTCCCATTTTGACTGTAACTCATTTTCATCTGCATTTACCGGATTTATCATTAAAAGAAAAACTTTGAGTATAGTATCACACACACAGGAGTATAATATAGTTTACCAAATTTGATTTTCAATCTGCTGTTGTCAGCCTTGGTTTCTTTAAACAACGATCCACGCTGGCCAGAAATTCGATGTTTTTTTATCACCTTCCTTTTTCTAGATTCCTTAGAACCGTCTAACACTATAGTCTCAAGATACTCTTCCTCCATATGCTTTTCGTTCATTTTGTCACCCAAGCGTTCAGAACCGGGACTCCCCTGGGCAGAAGCACAACTATAAAGGGTTTGGGTTCCCAAACTCTGCTCTGCTGGACTGTGCAATCTGCTGGATCCCCCTTTACTTGCACTTTCACCAAAAACTCCACTTTGCAAAGCACTTGACGGAGAAGAAATTCTGGAATCCAAGATTTTAATAGGGCCATCATCTTCCATTTCAGCTTCATCGTGAACCAAACAGTAGTCAACAAAGTTGATCTCTTCATCACTTGCTAGTCCACTTCTTCGATATGGAATCTCACAGCCACTCATATCAAATATGTGGGCACTGAAATTGGAGAGGCCTCCATATTTGAATACTATAACATAGCGACAGCTGATTGAATGATGTTCAGGAAACTTTTGCCAACCATCGTCAAACCAGATGTTGTTTTCAGCTTTTGTTAATCCTATCTTCAAAGCATGACCAGTAGGATCAACAACTTTAGCAACTTCAGAAAGTTCTTCCCCAAATTTCATTGCAAACTTCTTTGGAATTCTCTGCACAAACTTAAATTAAGTTAGACTCTGTGCTGAGGTGCTAAATCCAATCAACCAAGAAGTACTTAAGAAATAGCATCTTAGGCAGCTTAACATAATACTCATTACTGGTAAAACAAACTCAGTTTTGTAACATTTCAGCTAAAATTAATTATTAGCTTTCATTAGAGTTACACTAGTCATCTATAAGGCAATATATGCAATGACACAAACCAAAATATTTATTTTATCACTTTATCTTGCATCATTTTTGCTCTATAAATTACTTAAATCGTCCATTTTTTTAGTGAAAAAACATCGTTAAAATATTTCGGAAACTTTGTGCAAGTACTTGCAGTCCATCCATAACAAGACAAGTCTAATTTCCTTCAAAAAATAAAAATAATAATAATAAGAAATCAACAGATCGGAGTGCACCTATTGTCGCTGCTTTATGTCAGATAACAAGAATTCTAAAAATTAATTCCTCATTTATTAAATAGTAAAACGTTACTATATCTCTAATAATTAACTTAAAAATTAGCTTCTACGTAGATCATGACAAAGGAAGCTTCCCAGGAAAGATTAAAGGGCTTCAACCACTGAGAAACAACAGTCCCCAGAGAAAGTTGGATTCTGTAAATGGAAAAAGCAAATAAATCGAACCTGAAATTAGCATAAAATCACTATATGCTTTAATTTAAAGGAGAGTCCATAATTGAATGCTGAACAGTTAAATTAATGCATGCAAGAAAAAATGGTACCCTTAAACATGCCTTACCAATTTTTGGTCTTCCAGAATGCAAGGAAGGATTATCTTTAGGAAACTTGACAATGGTCTCTCCACGCCCATTGGAGACTGTGAGCGCCGGTGATGACTTTGAAAGTACCCCCACTTCCTCCCGGCGAGTCGTAATTGACTATGTAGCTATCCAGCCAAACAAAATCCTGCAGCTTCAATGCGAGCGATTCTTGTGACAGGCCTGGAGCCAATACTACGGACACAGTTTATGTGCTTTTTCAGAAAGGAAAAAAAGTACAATTGAAACAGTAACTTTCACAAAACTGTTTTGAACAGTCAAAAGAAAGTGGCCGTTTATGTCACTAAAATAATATAAAATTTTGGTTTTAAATAATTCTTACTTGTTCAGCGATTCTTTGTTTTCAGCTATATATGTGTGTGCGCGCGCGCGTTTTCTTGCCACTTGATTTAATGCACAACAACAATAATTTTTGCATTGTGTGGAGGGAAAAAAAATAGCTGCATTTTTTCTTGCTTTGGTTACAGAGAAACACATATGGTAATTTCATATATATTGCTTAAATAAAAATAATTATTTTATTCTATCATTTTTATTTTCTTACCAAAAGTCATGTTGTTTTCTTTAATTTGGATAAGAAATAGTAATATTTTATTTTATAGAATTTTAAATCTTATAAGTAGTACAAACTTATAAGATAGTTGAGCTTCTTGTATCACCGAGATGACATACAATATTACTTAGTTCGTTGCATCAAATAAATTTTACGATGATGCATATCATCTTTAAAAAAAATCCTTATTTTACCTCAAAATAATCACTTAAAAATTGTGTAAAACTATTTTGATCGTTTGATTATCATTACACTATGAAATATGATAATATGATTTTAATTCTTAATTTTTATAATGATCAAGGTAAAAGGTTCAAACTTTTTATTCCTCTTAATTTAGGATAAATTTATTTATTTATTATGTGAATTTTTATTATTTAATTAATCTCCTTTTTATGTGTTAGAAACAACAATTTGAAACAATAACCGTGTTTACATTAAATGATTAAATCGTAAAAAGAATCTAGATATGAATTTTAATATTATGTTTTTTATAATATCAATGGCATTACTTGTCTATTATGATTGTTTATTGGTGTTTGATGATTACGTTTAATTGAGCATGAAGAAAGTGTATATGTATATTCTCTTCCTAAAAAAATATAATAGTTAAAAAAATTCATCTAATGACTTTTATACACTTAAAATCACATAAAAAAATTTGTTGTTAGAAAAAATCATAGCATTTTTCATTGCATGCATAAGAATAACAAAAATAAAAGTGAAAAAAAAAAAAAAAAAAAAACCGTGGCTTGGAGGCCTAAGCGATCCTGGGCCTGGATACAGGTCCAACATGAAATGAAGACTTGAACAACTCAAGTCTTATTATTCCTTGAGCTACTCGGGCCGAGTTCTGGCCAGTTGCCGGACACCGACGACTTGGTAAGTCACCATTTTCTTTTCATTTTTTCACCAAAAAATATTTTTAAACACTCCTTTAATCCTTCTAGATCCACAGATAGCCTCAAAATTAAACAGAAAATAGACACAAAAATCAATTTAAAAGTTTTTAGATATAAAATAATAAATTCTCATGACTTTCAATTTTAGAAATGAAATGAACTAATTTTGGTGTCGATGAATTCTTCAGAGTAAGAACTTTCGTTTGATACTAGTTTTGGCTTATTTGTCGGTTCCTCACTTCTTTTTTTTTTTTTTTTGGGTAATTTTTAAAATTCCAGATATTCATGGTTTTTTTTTTTAAAAAAAAAAACTTGGAAAATACTTAACAAGAGAAACACTGAAACAGGTTACCCATTTTTAAGTATTTTAATTTTAATGGTTCAAATTCGTTTATATGACCTGATGGTTTATGCTTTTTGTCACATTAAAAAACGGTATTTAAAGCGACTGAAGAATTGCAATGCAACGCAACCGTAGTGGGCAACAGAAAAAATCCCACTGTTGTGTCATGCTTTCGTATGCTCAGTGACTGTCCAACGCTTGATTTATACTGCACTTTTTCCTGAGGCCCAAGGATTTGACAATAACAGTGTAGGTTTGACAGGCCATCCATGATGGTTCATGTAGCTAGGCTTATATGTCCACATGTTCCTCGTCTGAGCCAAGTTATCATGAGCCCTTGTTTTTTAACAGTGAACTTTATAGAATCGTGAACTGATGAGAGCTCCACCCAACTCACCTGAGGCATAAAATTTGACCCTTAATTTATTACATGACCAAGCATGTATTCCAAATGATTCAGAATAAGGATTTGGTACTACTTAAGATTTCAGCTTTAGTAACCCAGTGTTCAAAAGATTAGGCATTCATAATGATCATGACTCATGAGGAAATTTATTGCACCATAAAGCTTGCAAGCTTCACAAATTTACCTTGATAGTTCAAATATTTACAGGGTCAATTACTACGTGATCTCTAAGCAGCCAAATTTGGTCTGATATAATAATAGAAGAAAATAGTTTTGACTACATCACATGGAATTGCAAGAAGAGGACGACATATATAATCAAGCATAGAGTAAAGTTCGAACAGTTAATTTTCCTTGAAGTCAATTCGAAGATCTACCATCGTCATCTGCACCAAATATTGCAACTTTCAACACAATTTCTTTCCCTTTATCCGCTCAAACACACAAGCATCTCCTTCCTTCAGACTATTTTTCTTGAGAAATGCACATCTTTTTATAATTTTGACTTAGAACCATCCTTAATTATTCAAACAAAAATTTATATTACTTCACAAGTAACTAACAATACTTTTATAGTAACTAACCATACTTTTAAAAGGATAGGATGCATTCCTATAACGATACTTATCATAATAATAAAATAACCACAATAATAAAATAACGACAGTTATAGCTAATGTTATAAATATATTAATAATTATTAATAAATTTATTTTAATTTATATATTATTAAATATTGTAATAAAATTTCTAATAACTATATATAAAAACTTGCATAATACATCTAAAAATTGAAAAAAAATAATGATATTTCACAAGAATCAATGGTGTTTATTCAAAAAATCAAAAGTATTTTTTTTTTTTTGAAACAATGATACGAAGTTCAGGTTATATGACAACAATTGTTATTGTTAACGACACTCATTATATGATAATGATTGTTATCATTACTGTTATATAACCCTATTATACTACATTAAAAAGCAAAGTCCAGATCAGGAATTATGCACTGCCTCGGTTCTCGACCAACAAACTTAAACCAGTCAAAATGATTAACGGTTAATCTTCAGTTTCCACTTTAGAACGTTAGCTGTCAAAATCCTGTAGCAGGAATTACGCACCTGAAGCAGTCCCAGTTTCCATCAACTTAGCCCGGTCAAAATGATAACTGACTGCTCATGCATTTTACTTATCTAGATGTCAACTTGGATTCCCAGCATTTTCAACTGCACGAAATAGTGATACTTTGAACACAACATTATTTATCTTGATCAGCTCAAAGACACAGACATCCGCTTCTTCCAACTGATTCTCCAACACGAATTCATTCCATCCTTTCCTCAAGAACATATATTTATTTCGCTTACAGCACTTGATAGACCATTCTCTTCCATCAGAAACCCGAAGTGTGACATGTCCTGAAATCTGACCCCAATACTTCCTGGAAAATTCAGCTGGCACATACTGCACAAATAAGTTAATTTGCAGAATTAGGATCTTTTCAAATTGAAACTGATGAGGAACCATGTAAGAGCACTATATTCAGAGGCTCACCACATGTCTACGTATTGATCCCAAGATAAACAAGAAAGCAGGCTTTTCAGGCTCGAACCTTCTCGCAGCATAAATAGCCCCTTTCATCTGTAGGGTTGCAGCAGGTCTTCCATTTTTAGGAATATACATTTCAGCAGGAAGCTCATGTACATCTGCAATCAATAGAGTTAGGACATGAGAAAATGAATTCCTAACCTCTCTACATGAAAAAAAAATTAAAGATAAAATGATTACCACAATTGGTTTGCTTGTTTAATCTGCGTTGCTTTAGTGTCTTCACATTGTCTAAATCTGAACTCTCTTCATGACCTTCCATCATATGGTCATTGCTCCTTGTCATACACCCAAATGCCTGCTTCTTCACAGAAGCAACAGTTATTGTTTGCTTGTTGAACCCCAAAGTAACTCCAACAGAAGACCCATTTAGATTCTGGTGAGATGAAGCATCATCCCTTTCTCTCTTTAGTGGTTCAGCAGAGTGTTTGAAAAAAATTCTGGCATTCAAAAGATTATGCGAAGGGCTTGGCCTTGTGGATTCCATAACTACAAGCGAATCATCATTTGGGATTTCTTTTTCACGTTTCACTGAACATTGCTTGCCATCAGAAGGTTCTGCCTTGTTGCTTAGCCCAAGTTAGTCAATCTCACAAGCAGTTTTATCAAATATATGAATTTGGAAACATGAATTTCCTTCATATCTGAAGAATAAAAGGTGTCCATCTTTGATTGAATAGTACTTGACAAGTTTTTGCCAACCCTCATTGAACCAGATGCTACCTTCAATATTTTCTAATCCCACTCTCCAAATATGATTGTTGGAAACAGTTAGCGTAGCTACGGCAGAAAGCTCATACTGGAACTTCTTTGCAAATCTTTTAGGAATTTCCTTCAAGCAAAGAAGATTAACCTATTAGTTTCAGAGGCATAATGAATTTGACAAAAGAAGTGCTTCCATGTTGTTTGTGAGGCTTCATCACATCCACATAACTATAATCACCTAAATAAACAATGTTGCATATTGATAATCCACCTTCAAGAATTACAAAACACTAAAAAGGTTAAATGGACAAAAATATTTTTCCAGTTAATCTAGCAGGTACCGGGAAAAAATGAAGAAGAAAGAACAAAATAAAATCAACTCAAATTGCAGAAAGGATACATTTACAAATTTATGAGCAGGAACTCTTGGTAAAAGGAAATCAGGGGAAAGAAGTGTCTTTATAGTGAAAAAGTGAAATTGCAGACCAATTAACTATAGGACAATTGCATACAAAGCACAAAGTTCATGACTTGCTTATTTATATTGAAACTGCTGTCAAGTAATTTTAACATTTGCTAAAGAAATCGCGTAAATGAATTATAAAATTGTGTAACGACATTAATTTCTCTACAGTTAACAGAACTCAATAACCTCATCAGCCTAAAATAAGTGTGACAAACTCTGCAAATTATGGTGATTTTTCAGTCCTGACTCCTGAACAGAGTTAATTTTTCAGTCTAGGTTTAAGAATTGATAAAAAAACACGAGTGACTTGCAAGAGACTCACAGAAACTTAATTTGAAGTTTCAAGGTAATCCAAGAATCCAACTTCTTTAACCCAGCAGCATCAATTCACTTTCTAAGCTAACAAAAAAACTTGGCAAAGCAAACATAGACAGTTCAACAGTTAGTTGACTTCCTTTTGGCATGCAAGTGTTGCCCTGGGACTAGTAAGAAATACTCTGGTTGCATGTCCATTTTATCTTTGGCAAGGAGACCCAGAACTAAATTTCCTTTCTTTCTTTCTTTCTTTCTTTCTTTTCTTCGTTTCTTTGTGTTTTGACAAAATAAAGAAAAGAGATTTTCAAAATCTTAACAGAACATAATGCATGCATGTTGATTAATATAGAAGTACATGGAGAGGTTGTGCACAGTTACCAGCTTCTTTTCTTGAACGACAAAAGGCAGGATTATCTTGAAGAAATGACGAGGATTCTTGTCTGATAAATCCTTCTGATGATGATCATTCCCCTGGGATTTTGTTCTAGTCATTGTTAAGCTGATAAATGAAAAGTGCACTCTAGTAAAAATGAAGATTGTGCACTGTAACCAAAAAAAAAAAAAAAAGATAAGAGCAAAGGTTTAGTAACTAGCGTCTGCACCTTTTACCGAGTCGTCTACTTATTGGTCATTTCTTTATCCCAAAAGCCACAGTTAATTAGGACTGACCACTGAAGTTTCCAAGGACTAAAGATTAGTAGAGAGGGAGTTGGTGTAGTTGAGTAAAGCACTATGTTGTAATCGTATGGTACGAACTTGACACCAGGATCTGATCTCCTAATTTTCTTGAAAAATAGTTAAGCAGGATGTAATTTCTAACAGATTCTTTGCTTACTAACGGTACTTAAGTGTTTAACCAAATCAGTGATCTTAATCTCAATCTTAATGTATAGAAGTTGGCTTAATCATGCCACCGTCAAGACTCTGGAAAATTACCAGGATTACAAGCTTATGAGTCAAATATTTTATGCAGCCCAATTATCCATGTCATTAAAATTCACAACAAACGTATTGCAATCCTCCATCTTCTTATATGAACTCGGGCTGAACCAACCATACGTATAAGACTAGCCCATCAACAAATGGATTGATTTTTTTTTTTTGGCCAGCAGAAACTAGAATTACAACAGGCTCTTCTTCTGTTTTTGTTTTCTTTGCCACTTGGTTGGCTGGTAAAAACCCCATTTCGCCTTTTTAGATTGCTTTCTGAGTGCTCTCCAGAAATCGAGTGTTTGCTGCCAACATACCAATTCTGGTTTTAAGCCACAAACCTAATTCCATCCAACTGAACAAACAGCAAAAGCCAAATGCAACTGTTCCATATACGTTCACATGGTTTTCAGAAAACCTAATTGTGATACTAGAAGCTGAGAATGGAGAATGTGATTGCTTTGTTGCCAGGTGATCAAGGAAAAGCTACAATACCACACTGAAGCGATAACAATACAAGAGAGTTGCTTATGTATTCGACAACATGAAACCCTTAGCCGGTGACGACTCTTAAAATTTACAAAGCAGTCATGCTACGCACAAATACATGGCAGTTTGGATATCATTACAGAGCTAGAATTGAGATGCGAAGAGTGCGGCAAACGCCTGCAAACAGCCACAAATTATTAGAGATGACAATAACAAGAAAAGGCCATTATATGCTAGTTATGACATTATGATCACACCAGCAGATAAAATATCAACCATGTTACAGTGGCAATATGTATGGAGAGGAGTAAGAATCAGATTCCAGCTGAGTAAGCAAAGGTTAACTAATAGAAAAGCAAATAGGGAGATACCTGATTGATGTTTTACAGTTCACCTCCTGCGACAACTATGATTAGTTTTTTCTCACATTGATTCTAGTTTGAAAGTTGGTCTGCTGGTGCTGCATCTTCAAGAACCCGAAATATGGCAACTTTCAGCACAATTTCCTTTGCATGAATCAACTCGAAAATACAAACATCCCCTTCCTCCAAATGATTTTCCCAAACAAATTCTGTCCATCCCTGGCTCAACTTTGCTTTACCATCCTTGTAACAGCATCGGACAGGCCATTGTTTTCCATCAGAAACCTGAAGTGTGACAAATCCTGTAACCCTGTTCATAAATGTCCGTGCAAAAATGCATGGAATGTGCTGTAAAAACAAAAGATCAAAACTTTGATATACATTCTTACAAATGAAATCTGGGATTATTTTAAACCAACGAGTTCAAAAGCTTACCAGAAGAAATGCCCTATATACATAGGATGGTCGCAAGATAACCCTGAAAAAAGGATTATCAGACCTGAACTTGAGAGCTGCAAGAATTGTCCTTTCCTTTTCTTCCGGTGTTACAGCTCTCCACCTCCTTGAAAGAGTTTCAGAAGTAATTTTTACACGGGCTGACTTTAGTTTCACGTTCTGGATGCCTAGTGACTCATGTTTATCAACATCTTCAATAAACAAGTAGTACCAAAGTCAATTAAGAACATATCATAAAGAGGGAATGCAAGTTAAAAGGCTTACTAGTCTCAATCATTCGTTTGCTTCTTCTGTTTTTTCCTGCTATGCCTGAGATAAGGGAACCAACTCCATCCTCAGTAATCGAAAACTCCCTCCCATTAAATTGTGTACCTATGTCTCGAGAAGTTTGAGATTTTTCTCTCAAATTAGACGCATCCGTTCTTAGATGTGGGTTTTCTAGACTAGCAGCAGTGTACGTAGATTGAATCCAGTTGCCATGGATATATTCAGTAAAATCTTTGCTTGTTATCGAGGAAAGGAGATTAGGACATGGAGACCTGCAACCCAAGATTTTTTCGAGGCCATCATCTTTCTCATGGGGTAATAGACATGGATTGTCATGAATGGATTCTTGCAAACTACTGAGAGTATTACATGGATTCTTAATCTCTGAAACTGACAAATCAAACATATGGACATTAAAGTTTGATTTCCCTTCATATATGAAGACCAAGAAATACCCGACCCGAATGGAGTAGCATTCTACAAATTCATGCCAACCCTTGTGAAACCATAACCTGCCGTTAACATTTTGCAGTTCCACTAGCCAGATACGACCACAGGGGACGGTGAGTGTGGCAATAGAAGAAAGTTCATCTCCATATTTGTTGACAAACTTTTTTGGTATCTTCTGTTGGCATTAAAAATTAAGTCACAATCAAAATCAAGACACCATCTTTCAAGACAACCAAAGCACTTTCTTTCAACCCAAACAAAGCATTGAATCCTCTTGTACACTAAGCAAGAGCGAATCACAGAAAACAACTTAATAAGGAAAAGAGACAGAGAAATTAAGGCTAAAGAAAACCAAAGAGAAATGAAAAATAACAACCATTCAAGGCCAAATACCGAAGAATTAAGCAAAAGATGATCCACAACTCAAACTATGTCTCAAAATAATCTGAAAAGAGTACAGACATTAACTGTGAGCGTATTTCCAACTCTTTCTTCAACTTTCTCAAACCAATAGTTAACAAACTTGAAAATTTTCAACTCCCATAAGGGCAGAATCATCAAGCAAAATTTGTAATAAGAAAAAAAGATCATTGAAAAAGTCATTGTTCGTAAATAAAGACCGAAAAAACTACAACTCCTCCAATTTTCCTAAAAACCAAACAAATTTCTACATTTTAAGAACCTTAACCAACTCTTGTACTGTAATCTTGTCTGAGCTAAAGAGAAGCTTGACTCCCCCTAACAGTAGCTACTAGCTACCATGGTAATAGAACAACTTTCCTTTTCCTCTTCTCTGTAACCAAACAATCAAAGTGCAATAAAGAACAAACTACCACGGTTGAGTGAAGTAAAGTGTACCAGCTTTTTGTCTTGGAGAATGGAAGCAGCCATTAACTTATAAAACATGCAAGATCTTCTTGCCGGAGAACTAGACCCATCTGGCCCTACTGCTGCTTGTGACATTTTTTTCAGTTAGCCTGTAACTTTCTGATGATCAGGACCAAACTGTATAGACGTTCATCTCTATGCAATGTAACATTTTTGGTGGCAAGCGCAAACCGAGGTGTATGAGCCACACGTGGGGCCTTATTTCTTAAAGTTAAAATTTATGGTTAAAATCAACGGTTAGTAATTACATCAGACTTATTGATTTGGATCTTTTTGGTGGTCCCATGCTATTAATGAATCTTAATTGTACCAAATTCACTGTGCAATGGTAAGGATGTGATCGTCTAAAAAAACTTGAAAAAGTAAAACTAATCACTCTTGTTTTCTTGGGTTTTTAACCACTGGTCCACTAGCATATGACCTCCTTTGACCATTTTACGGACACCTTCTCCTTTTCTTTTTTTTTATATATTCTTTTTTTTAAGTTTAAATATTCAAATTACTTCTTCGCTTATTTAGATTAAAAACTACAAAACAAACATAATTATTTAAAAAAAATTTACATATATAAAAAACTCAAATTCAAAATCATATATTTAAGTTATGAAATTTTTTTTCGTTAAAATCAATTCTCAATTCTCATAAATGACATCTTCGTCTATTTTTATTTCCTTAAACATTTTCTGTATCGTAGTATTTATTTATTTATTTATTTATGATCCTGCTCAAAAATTTTTCGGAAATTATTTTTTTAAGAAAACAGGAAAAATGAATCCCACAAATTAATGAATACGAAAAAATTTTTTCCATAAAACTATCGCCATTGTTCGAGCTAGACTTTTGAGCAACAATTTTTCTTCTTTGCTCCTAGATACTCGACAAAGATTATAAGTGAATCGGCCAAGGATGTTGTCCACGTGCTAACCTAGGAAACAGAAGAACATCGCGCCTATCACCAATTCTTTGGCTGATACCTCAACTTCAAGTTACTGTGACATCACTTTTTGTTACAAGAGAATAACTAAAGTACTTTTGTAACAAAAAATGAAATATTTTTTTCCCAAATCATGGTAACTTCAAGTAGCGGAAGGCTCACGGGTTCAGAAATGAACTTGTGAATGTCCTAGCCAGATCAGATCACAGGTTTAAGTTTAACGTACCCATGTAGTTCGAAGCTGGCAGCATCCCCCTTTAACATGTACGCCATTTGGCTCTCGTGCACATATACTTGGCTGGCATTTCACACAAAGCAACAAGCATCTTGACGTTTGACAGATAGTTCCCAAAACAAAAGCCAACATAGATGTTCAATAGACGACCTTGATACCTGATTAACTTTCTTTGGGAAATTTATACCCTAGTTTACCCCTAGAGAAGGTAGTTTGGACATTCCGAGTTAGCTTTCAGATCATATTATATTCCCCATAGACGATGTCAAACTCTCTTTCTTCTTCCATAAAATGAAAATGCAAACTTGCAACAAACAAGCAGAGCAGTACATGTAAATGACACTTCAAACCGAAATGACATTAAATTAAGGCCTACAATCTGTCGTTCTGGTCCATTGATGTCAACTGGATTGGACAATATATTTACAGGCCTACCCAAGCCACAAAATTTTCTGTTCAAGCACCTAAACAATCGAAAGTTTTACAAATTTGCTCTGGCATCAGATAACATGTAAGTACAACAAACCACAGCTACAGATCACCCATAAAGAAAGGGAGTTACTTCATAAAGTTTACCAATCCAGAAATGACCAACCATCGCGTGTCTATCTAACTTCATGCAGATGGCATCTTAACGTTAAGGATGGTTTATAAATCCACCATCTTCGAGAACACGGAATAATGTAACTTTCAGAACCACATCCCTGGATTTCAGCAGCTCAAAGACACATACATCACCTTCCCCTAAATTATTCTCCACTGTGAATTCATACCATCCCTGGCTAAATTTAGCTCTGCCACCTCTGTAAAGGCATCGAACAGGCCACTGTTTCCCATCAGATAACTGAAGTTTAATGAACCCCGAAACTCCATTTAGATTCTTCTCGGCAAAGCCAGATGGCAAATACTGCACAAAGAAAAGGCATCTTTATTCATAGCAAAGTATGCTGTAGATGGCAAAATTAGAATGGCAGATGATAGTTAATAACTCACCATAATGCAACCCCTGTACAAGTACGATGGTCGCAGGACCACCCTACAATTGGGATTATCAGGTGCATATGCTTTAGCTGCATTCATTGCTCTTTCTCGTTCTTCAGCAGTGACAGTTCTCTTTCTTGCAGAAGCACTTTCATAAAATCTAAAGCGCATTTCACCATCATCTTCATGTGGAGATGACAGCTGCTGGTCATCTGCAGTTTCATTGAGTCACTAAAAAAATCAGAACTTTCAATACTAATAGTTTAGTAAGATGAAAAGAAAATTGAGTTAAAAGAACTCACTGGGATCAGCTTTCAGCTTTTTCCTTCCACGTTTTTTAGGTTTTGGTGTTTCTCCATCTGGACTATAGAGTTTCACTTCATCTTGAGAATTCCTAAGCTCGCTGTAATGAGCACCTACATTTCGTGCTGATTCATTTGCCACTTGTGAAATGTTAGCACCCTTCGTTAAGCGCATAGCCTCTTCAACACCCCAATTTATGCAATTATTAAGTTTAGATCCACTGAACAAATTCTGCAGTGCAGGAGGATTGTAACTTTTGTTGACTATCAGTTGTGGAGGGGGAACGCCTGAGTTTTCACCATTTCCGTCCTCTTCCAATTCTTCAAATGCAAGATATCTTTTCCCACTAAGAGTGTTGGAGTGGTAATTTATCTCAGAAGTGGGCAAATTGAATATATGAACATTGAAAATTGCATTCCCTTCATATCTAAAGATCAAAAAGTAACCAACGTGGATAGCGAAACGTTCAACAAATTGATGCCAACCGTCATGAAACCATAATTTTTCATCAGCTTTTATTAATCCTATGCGGGACACATGACCACCAGGAACAATGAGTCTCACAAAACCCAGTAAGTCATGTCCAAATTTCTTGACAAAATTATCTGGGATCCTCTGCAGAAAAAAATACCAAGTTAGGCCCCATTTTCCACACAGGAGACTCAAATATTTTGTTCCCATGATGTCGTGTTGCTGATGACAATGATGCAGATAAGCTCAAAAGATTAGCATAAAGGTCAATGCATAAAGTTGGAACATCCCATTTCCTTGAAGTTGACAGCAACTCTGAAACAAAATATTACATATTGTCTTCAAGCAGGCTCAATTTCTTAAAGCACAAACATGAGGTTCGTTCTGTGAGTAAACAATAAAGAAGAATACCAAGAGCATATACCCCTCCAAATACCCAAACATGATCGTGCTTCATGATTACTAGTTTCATGAGCCATGCAAAACCACAAGGCAAAGTAGCGACTGCAGACTACAGTTGATTCTTGTGAACTAATTGTTTTGTTTTAATTGAGCATTATTGTTTTTCTCAATGCCACCACTTGTTTCCAGACATGGTATCTCCTAATGATCCTATGTGTCAGTTTTGGAAAGATATACCACTGGCAAAATCTAACGCACAATGTACCACAGACCCTACAAGCTCTATGTCTAAATATGATCAGAATGAATATGAAATGAGATGATTAGCAAGCTAAAGAAAGCTTTTTCTATAGAACAATGGAAAGAGAAGCAGGTTCGTATAAAAAGACTACATGCTTCATTTTGTCCAATCATACTAAGCAATCTAAGAATAGTGTGGCCATCCAGTACACTAAAACAAATTCAAACATCAAATATTATCATGCTTTCTTTAATTTCCAAGAACTCTTATGAAGCCAAACTAAAACCTCTATTATGTGGTGCAGTGGAATGTTATGTAATGCAAGAAGGAACTGCTACTTGTTTTCTTCTTCCATTCCCTCGCATTGCATTATCAGAACATATATGTAGTGGTTAGCTAAAGCATTTTTTGTTTAATTCCTGCAAAACTATAACAGATTTAAATTAGCTATATCATATTATCTTAAGCTATTGTTGTAAATAATTTTCAACAAACCAATAACCACCTTGTTTAATTGAATCAGAAACTCAACTAAACAAAATTCTATAAGCAAAACAACAAAGGATTTCTTCCAACAATATCTAAGCAAACATTGCTTCTTCTTTTTTTCTGACATAAATCCATCAACGGATTTTCCACTTAAATCTCAATTCTTTGTATCTCAAAATACATTTTTTTTCCCAATAGATACTTTCCATGGAAAATTCCTTCTCTACATAAACAGAGAAAGAGGAAAATTAAAATTTTGTAAGTTATCATGTTTTCAGTTCTCAAACACTGTAAGGCTGGATCTCGAAAAGGAGATGAAAAAAAAGGAAAAAAAAAAAAAAAAGGGAAGCAGAGATATTGACTGAGCTAAACAAAAAACTGTGAAAGCAAGAGAGTAAAACCCAAATTCCAGTTGGCCTTCCTTCACTCAGTCCACTCCTAATCAAAGAAAAGTTAGGGTTCTTGTCAAAATCAAGAAAAAAACACAACAACAAATAAAAGAAACAAAATCTAAAAAACTTTGGCAAACCCTTTTCTCTCAGATATCACTCTATTCAATTTCATCCACCAAAAGAAGTTTTTGGTTCTTGTCATTTCACAATTTATTTTCACAAAGTTCAAAACCAGAAAGAAAGAAAAAAACACTACAAACAAGCATGAAATAAGCAAAATCCAAGCAGCTATGACAAAACCTTTTACTTAAATAGCACTCCATCCAATCTCATCCACCACGGCAAGTTTTGCGTTGTTATCATCACACAATTAAGCTCATAAAGTTTCAAACTTTATCAAAACCCCCCATGCAAACACTCAAAAGATTCAATAAGAAGCAAAAACACAAGCAAATAAAATAAACCCAGATAGAGATAGAATGACAAGGAAAGATTTTTATGTACCAGTCTCTTTTCTCTGATGGTGCTAATTAGAATTAACTTCTGGAAAAAAGGTCTAGGCATTCTTTTTGTGATTTTGGAGGTTTGGTAAGACAAAGGAAGTGAGTGAGTGAGTCGATTAGATCATGATAAAGTGATAGAACCCTAATTGAAAGAAGAGTTCCTTTGATTTCAGATCTGCTGTTTCTCTTACACAACACTAACTGGTTCCTAGTCAAATAGTGCTTTTTAAAACCTTAAAAAGAAAAAACACAACTTGACCTAAAAGTTGATCGAGTTGTTTGTTCTCTCAATGACTCACTGGATCGAATTGGTGTGACTCGGAGGCCTGACCCAGAAACTAATTATAGGTTAATTTTTTCCTAGTGTCTTTTGCCTCTTTTGGACAATATGGCCCAATCATTAAAGCGTTGAGAGATCCTCTGCTTTGTACTTTGTTGTACTTGCTTAATCTCCACCGTTTGATTTCATTTCATTGAGAAATCTGTTTCTTTCTTCTTCTTCTTTTCCCTCTAGAAATTGAGCAACCTGTTGATTTTTTGGGATTTTAGTTAAAAGAAAATCTCTTCCTAAAAAGACAATTACCATCAACACTTGAACCATTTGCATTCACCGAGTTTCTTTATTGTTGTTTTCTTTTGGATTCGAACCAGAGATGATGATCATTAACTGCTTTATTTCTTGTCAATCCAATCACAATAAAAAAAATTTACAAATATCAATATATGTTATGTACAATCCGAATTTCATACAATAATTTTAGTTGTTTGAGTATTAAACTGATAATAAACCTCCTTATTTAATGTATGCATAATTTTTTATTTTTTATTTTATGATATTTTGGATTAGTTTTATGTATCAAAACTAAATCTCTTTCAATTAGATAAAGTGAGGCTATATAGATAGAAAAGTTATATATATTAAAAAAATCTCATAAACTTAAACAACATTGAATATAATGATTTTATAAATCACTTACATGGTAAATGTATCACTTGTAAAATACTATTAATTGCTTTCCATTTCAATTAGCAAACCTTTTACAAATGATTTTTTGTTCATTTAAGTGTCGTTTAGTTACCAAAAATAAAAAATTTAAAATAAAAATACAAAAATTGAAATGAAAATTAGAGAATTGGAATAACATTTGCATTCTCACGTTGTATTTAGAATATTAATAAAAAATTTAAATAAAAGTATCCGATTTTTAATACCAATAAAAATATTGATTAAAAATAAGTGATGGTTGAAAAAAATGGTAACAGAATAATAATAATTTTTTTATCATTACCGTCGATAATGGTGGTAGTATAATAAAAGTAATTTTATTGATTTAAGAAAAAGTGATGACAAAGTAATACCGATGGAGGTAATCACGGTTGTTTTGATGTTGTTGATAGATGGAATAATTATTATTATAGTTTTCTTAATCATTATTGTTGATGGAGGTGATGGTGGTGGTTGTGGTAGAAGTAGTTGATAAATAATAATAAAATAATAATATATCATTATTAAAAAAAAAATCATTCACATTTCTTATTTTTATTAAGCTTTTACATAAAAATAAAAGTATGTTTAATTTCATTTATATTCGACTCTTTAGTTCCATTATCAATTAATGTCTTTCAAACAAATAGTTATTAAGTGGGAATAAAATTTTCATTCGCATCCCAACCACTCGTATTTCGATAACCAAATGTAATAACCGGAGGAAAAAAAACGGGGCTTGTATAAAAGGAGTAGTAACTCGCCTCTTTTCCGGATTTTTACCTCTTTTCTCTCCCTCTCTCACGTATTTCTCTCCTAAAACTCCTCCCTATTTTCACTTCAATTCCTAAGCTAATTCATTTTTAAATTAGCTTAGGAAAAAACATAAATTAGAATATTTAAATGGAGTATACCTAGCTTGGAGCTTAGGAAGCTTGGAAACTAGGGAGAATTTGAGATTTGAAGAGCATCATGCAAAGGTAAGATCTTTCGTTCATTGATCTTTCGATTGTGAAGTTTATATGTAATTAAAGATGATATTAAGTTGGTGTAGCTTTGGATTGTGATTTGTTTGACAAATCGATTAGACTAAAGTTAGAATTTTGAGATTCATTAAAAAAAATGATTCTAGATGATTGTAATGACTTGAATGATGTTTAATTATCTTGGATAAGTAAAGTAAGAAGTTAATTTGAAGCGAGAATTAAGTGAATTTGAGAAATTGAGAGGTTGAAGATGATGAATAATGACAAATTCGAATTTAAGTTTTAATTGGAAAGAATTTAGGGGAAATGAGAAATTAAGCTATACAAATGTAATTCAAGGTTAATGGAATGAGTATTTGAAGAATTAGAATACAATGGATCATTTAATTGGAAATCAATTGGATTAAGGATTGGTTAATTAAATGTTTGAATTGAAGATTCATGATCGAATTAAGGATTAGTGGTGATAGGATTTAGTGAAACAATGGATTAGAATTATTAGAGAGATCGTAGAGTCTAGTTAAGATTATTGGCTCGAGTCTTTTCAATCATTTTTGTTTTTGTTTGATAATCTTATATGCTTATTTTCATCATTTTGAATTATTCCTTAAGATACGATATTGATGGATACCCCATCATTTTGTGATGCTAGATTCTTCGAGCAAGCGACTCCATCCCATCTCGTCTTGATTTTGTTTGGTTCTTCAAGCATACCGTGAGTGGATATTATATAGTGTATTGTGTTTTAATTCATTAAAATTATGTCCGTCATGCATCATTTGATTATAAATATTTTAGACGTATTTCCTTAGAACCCGGATGGAAACGGACATTATGAATATTTGAAATGATTTCATATTCAAATGATTTTATGCGAATTAAAAGGGGAGATTTAATATGTGTTTTCGGATTTGAACGTGTATATGTTATATACGTTATTTTGAGTATATGTGTATTTTATGAAAATGCATGCATGATATTTGAAATACCGATTTGCAAAACATATATAAGTATATTTGACTTTTGAAAATGTTTTCAAGATCCTGGAGAACCTAGCTATCGGGGAGGTAGCCTTTAAGCTCAATGAAATGAGACTCCATCTAGTAAGAAAGGTGTAGTGTTAGATCGTATATTAGTCAACATACGAAAACCTAGTCACGAGGGATGTGACATTTGGGTGTTCATACCCAATAATACGTTATTACCCCATAGGTGTATAAAAACCTATATATGTGTTTTCATATGAGTACGATATATATATATATATATGCTTTGGCGATTTAATAAGAAATGGTTTTGAACCATTTGATTGTGATATGAAATGCATTTTCGATATACATATGTTTGAGAAATAAGTATTACATTTTGACATGGATTTGAGAATTCTTCCTTAGTCCATTTTCCTCCTTTAGTATAAATATAATGTCTACTCACCGAGTCGTTAATTGCACACCCTTCATTATTTAAGTCTTGTAGGATATTGAGGGACCGCTTATTGCTTCCTTTTAGCTCGTTTGATTTGAAGTCGGCACCTTGATTGTACAACTTATTTCTTTGTAAATTCCTCATAACCTATGTATATTTAAAATTGTAATCTTAGATGTTACGCGATTACATGTTGTATGTAGTGTATTAGGAGTTGATTATGAATGTGAAATTATGAATTTTGATTTTGGATATTGAAATATGAATTATATTGAGGTTATAAAAGAAATGTTATTTAAGCTATGACGATGTTGATTGGAATGATGATTTGAGTAATATTGATTTGATGACTATAGTATAAGTCCATTCATGTTTTGAGGTTTGATTTAGTATTCGAGTTTTACTTGAGTCGAGGTGAGCCTCACGATTTCCTCGATCATCGTGCCGATCATGACCCACTTCTAGGGTCGTGATACCAAACAAAACTTTAAAGCACGAAATTCCTAATAAAAAGAATTCTTATTATTTTTTTAATGAATTTTTTTAGTGCCTACTTTCTTCTTCTTCTTCTTCTTCTTCTTGTGTAAATGACGTGATATAATGAAAGTTAGATCAATCTAAATGATATTTCTAATGCTTAAAAAAAATATATAATTTTGAAAATAATGAAATCACTTGATTGTAACTAGCATGTTGTGATGCAAATTTATCAAAATATATATACGTAGATAAAAAAAATTCATGATATTAATATACACTTAACAAAGTAATTTCGAAAACAGAGTGTTCCAGTCCGGTTATGAAACTGTAGAAATAAGATTTCCCAATTGAAACTTGAAAATATTACTATTATATTATTTAATTATTTTCCCAAACAATCACACTTCATAATATTTTATTCCATAAAAATCAATCAATTAAAAAGGAAAAAAGAAAGAGAGACAATCCAAGGCCTATCTGCCACCCACCTCCTTTGTTTTGGTGAAAGTTGTAAACAACTGACAAAGACACATGTTATTGGCTTCCTCGAGGAATCTTAACAATTTTTATTTTAACTACTACATAAAAAATGGGCATGAAAGTTAAGCAAATTGGGTCCAGTACAAAATTTATTTTCAAGAAAGGAGAAATAGTCGTTTTCATATTGGCGAGAAATAGGTAAAGTGACTCAGTTTGGATTTTCAGTTGATTCAGTGGAATCTTAGAGCAAAAACCGAGTCAAGACAGTTAACTATTAAAAGGGGAAGGGACTGACCCCAAAAATTTCAACGCTGGGAACTCCTTTATTCTTTGACAAGGTTTCTGCACACGTGTCAATCAAGAGTGAGTAGGGGACTATGATATTCATGCCAAGAGAAACCTACAGGTTTCAGGGCCTGGCCTGTTGCATAATATTTGCGAGAGTTCAGTTTAGTTCCTCACAGGTAGGGAGTTTGTGGAGAAAAGATTGCATTTGCATTAACTAACCTCAAAGATATTGTTTTGATTAAATCTAATCCTCATATTTGATTTCCAATATTAATGTAAGATGCCAATGATTTCATTTTTTGATTACCTCCTTCTATACGTTCTAGTCCTTTTTTTTTCCTTGGATTTTTTCATGAATGAGGATGGATGGACATAACGATTTTTTTTTATTTGATCTAAATTCATATCCATAATTTTACAAGATTCAATCTCATGTTATTTGATTTTCCACTCTATTCAATCACTTGAAAACCTTATTTATTATTAAGATGTCAACGAGCAAGATATAAAATAGGTATTTATTGTATCCGATTTAATAATATCTATTAAAAATATTTAATAAACATTGAAATGGTTAAAAATAAAAGAAAATACATGCTTGTTAAAAGAAATTTCATATATGAACACCCATTTTATACTCCACTAAAACCAACTATTGGTTTTTTAAAAAAGAAAAAAAATCCAACATGTAAAAACCTAATTACATAAAATTTATGAACTAAAGACCAAAATATATATTTTTTTAATGAAAACTTTAAAGACAAAAAAAAAAAAAAAAGCTTACAAATAATATCAAATTGTACAAAAATTGCTTGTAAGGACCAAAATAACTTATTTTTTTTAAATTACTAACATTGAAATAAAATATCTTGATAAATTATTTTTAGCGCGTTTTAATTTCTTAATTGGTACAAGTAAGAATTTTTTAAATAGAAATTGAATTTAGGAGTCGGATTATCGTAGTGCCTACGTCCATCAAAATTATTGAAAGAAAAGAAAATTACTAGGAACTAAACAAACTGATTGGTCGTTCGTTGGAGCCCACTTGTAATAAAATAGAAATATGAAACTTCCTTCTAATAACGGTTAATTGGACAAGATCCACCTGGCTTGCCTATATAACCGCCTGGCTCGTCTTTAGCGGGTTCCTCTGTAACATTGAAAGAAACCCATCAAATATTCCCACGTTAATTTGGTAACATATAATCTTAATTATCATCTCATCTGTGTTTGGGATTCTTTCATGTTTGATTGTCGAGTTTTTGATCCTTAAAACCGTAAAGACATCATTCGAATTGTATTGAACCAAGCACCGCCAGCTTGTTTTGAGGACCATCTAGACCATGGTAGGTCTTTTTTCTCTTTTTCTTAAAGAATATTTTGCATATTATTACAATTGAATCGAGATAAATTTACCAAGAAAATTCTTTCTGAAATTATTTTCTCGTAAATTCTAATCATTGAGTTTATTTATAAAAATTTAGTGATGGGATGGACTCATTGAATGTATGATATTTTTAAGGGAAGTGAGTCACGAAATAATGTTCCGTGCTGTTGGTTTGCTTTCGTTGTTTGGTTCCCGTCATCCAATTTAATTATATCTCCAGTGATTTTTTATGGGATGCCGGTTTTTTTGTTTTTTTTTCCTTGTTTTTATCGTATTGATTTTTTAGTTATTATCAATGTTGCATCTAGCTTACTAGTATTGTGCAAGTGTTTATTGTTCTCTTTTTCTTGTTAATTTTTTAGTGAACTTTTCTGTTCAATCATGCAGATGATAAAGACCATGTTGAGGCAGACGATAGCAACACAAATCATAGGTAAAGCGATAGTGATGGTGATGATGATTGCTGCAAATGCAGCTGATACCAACGATGTTTTCGACCCTTGTTCAGATGCTATGGTACAAAAGTCCGGTGGCTTCACATTTGGTCTAGCATTTTCAGATAAGGATTCTTTCTTTTCCAATCAGGTTCAACTTTCACCCTGTGATAGTCGTCTTGGCCTAGCCAGTAAAAAAGCACAGCTTGCTGTGTTTAGGCCTCAGGTTGATGAGATTTCTCTGCTTACCATCAATGGAAGTAATTCTGATCCGGTATGTAACAAAGGGTCTTTGTTTCTGTTGCTATGAATTACTCATCGTTTTTTAAATTCATGACAGTGCTGGGATCCTTTCACTGAAATTGCAAGAAATGAACTTCAATATTCTTTCAGTTGTAAACTGCAAGATATATATTGTAATGTTACCTGTCATTATTTTCTCTCGTTTCTGTATTTCAATGTTATAATATGCACAAACTTTTCAGGGGACTTCCGGACCGTCCGGTGGCTATATGGTAGCATTTGCTGGGAGGAAGTATGCAGCAAGATCATTTCCAGTGATGATTTCTGACAATAATATGATCATAACCAGTTTTACTTTGGTAAACACATTAAACATAATTGTGGCTTTTCCTTTCTGTTGTTTCCGCTGGAATAATAATATTGACATTTGCATGGTACTGGGTTTCAGATCCTTGAATTCCAAAAGGGTACCCTTCAAAACCTATACTGGAAGAAATTTGGATGTCAGTCATGCTCCAAGGACTTTGTTTGCCTCAATGATCAAGACTGTGCATTGCCAATCTCAAAGTGTAAAAGTAATGGTGGTACTCATGATTGTAACCTGAGCATACAATTGGCATTCTCAGGTACTGACAAGAATCTTGAAGCGCTTAATTCGTGGTACGAGGTGTCTAATCTCCGGCAGTTCTCGCTGTATGGTCTATATTCTAACCTTCGGAACTCCATCGTCGGGCAGGTTGACGGGCTTTTTTAAGCGTCATTCCAAGTTAATAGGTCATAGCCATCTCATGTAATGATGGTTATCAATGATTCATTGGAAAAAAAAAAAAAAAGAACATACTACTGTTTTTGCATATGGTCAAGTCTATATAGTCTCATTTGCATAAGAAAGCAACACAGATTTGGCTAGTTTACAGTCAACAGAGACTTGAATTTTTCTTATTCGCGTATCTTTAATATGGTGGCAGTTTTAGCGGGTATCAATGGGTTTGACAATCTAATTTCTCTGCATTTTAATTGTAAATCTAGAAACTATTCGTACTTTCAATTCATTATTCCCTTGCTCGCATAAATCTAGGATCCTCCATTGATGAGCATTCCGAGTCCCACTTTAATGTGAGTGGATGAACACCGAAAAGGAATACACCTAATCTTTGGCAGTATGACCATCCATTCTGAAGTTTAAAATGCGATCAATCATATGCAGAACAGTTTTTAAAAGATATTGCACTACGTGAAAGAAACCAAAGATATGTGATGATTTTCTGTACAAAGACTTTTTCAGTTTTACTTGCTGGAATTGCCACATAACATGCTAGTTCATCAGATTGAATTCAAATTCATTGTTAATATTTTCAAGGCATTTCAAAGTGAATAATCATTCACTACCTTCTTAAGGATAAACTTTCGCATATGGAAGATCATCATTGTCAGTAGATGTACTTGCACAGAATGAGATGCTAATATAGCAGTATAGCCATTCCAATGTTCAAACGAAGGGTTACAGATATTGCCAAAGCTGCAAAACAAAAGCTACCAGGTTCACAGAAATGTATACATATTGCTTCCTTTGTTTACAAAGCAACAGAATCATGTGTCTTTAACAATCATCTTCAAAAGGAGCAAGTCTCATTCTGCTAGGCCATTTATTAGTAACTACTCGAGACAAAGGCTATTTTTGAATCGCTAACTTCCTGCATTGCAGTGGTTTCATTCTTTTCCTTAAACTTGTTATCATTATTGACAGTGTTATCACCATCATCATCCTCATATCCATCACTGACACCAGCATGCTTGCTACCATCAAAGCAATTCACTTTCTGTACCCCTTCTTCATATCCATCAGGATGAGGATTGGGAAATTCATCAAGAATGGGGTCTCCAATTAGGTTTGCATGGTGGAGCTCATCTGCATTTAGAGATTCGTTGCAGGTGACAGGCCGTGATCCTTTATCTGCTGAGGACAGTTCTCCCTCTTCAGAGACCAAACTTTCAGCACCAGAGTCATCCGAGTGTATTTGAGCTCGACGTGTTTGAATGAGATAGTGTGCAACTGATTTAAAGCCGAGCCTTATAACCTGAAAGCAAATCAAAGTTAGCACTGCATACTTGACATGGTAACTGCATCTTGTATTGGCCTTATAGTTCTTCTGTTGCCAAAGCACAGAGGAAATATCATTGCAGAAAGTTATTGCTATCACCATAAACCAAGTATTGATGCAAAGCACGCCAAAGTATGCACCTGTCTGAGATGGCATTATCTTTTGCAATTATAGAACTAAGAAATTGAACAGGCTGAAAAGGTAAGAAGCTAGATACACCTTGAACAAAAATAAATAAATAAATAAATAAACAGCCACACAAATTGGTATAATGGAGGAACAGTAGCTAAACAACAGAAGTCACCTCCATTGGCATAACAGATTAATGGTATTAACCTTTCGATAGAGATTCCCAGTGGGTGCCCATCCTTTTGCATGCCGGCAAAGACTGCAGTTACAAATTCCTCGACAAACAGGGCAAATCCAATTTGGATTTTGGTCAACTTCAATCACATTCTCTCCATATCTGTAAAACATGAGAAAAAGAAAATTGAATGGTCGTCTATGTGCCCCATTCGAGAATTCATATCCATGCTATAGGAAAAACGTTAATAATTGAGTGGATTACATGTTACAAAACTCGGAAGTGGATGGAAAAAAAGAAGGAAACTTCAATAACCTTTAATCAAAACTAAATCATTTCATCACCAATATTTCCATACACCAAAGAACGTTTCTCATACTTTATTTCTTTGGAGAATTTTCAAATATGGTGTGGGAGACATTAACTATTTTATTTTTGAGGAAAGTGTGACTATGATCAGTGTAAACTCTAGAATATCAATAAATACCTCATGAACAAGCAATCTCCGCAAAACTGCCCCTGGACCAAGTTGCATTTGTTGCAATGGGTATGCCGACCAAGAGTTTTCTGCCTGCAAGAAAGGAAATTATCTCTAAGCAAAATGATGGCATTGCTTCAGTGAACTGAGGGAGAAGGGAAGATACAAACATTTTCCCATGCAGCAACATCCTCGAGTGCTAACAAATTGAATTTCTATCGCATGTTAAGTGGATAAAATTGACAAATTTTATACTCACAATAATGTAACTAAATTATGTACAGTGAATTTTAGAGCAGTTATATTTTGCCACTCTTTTCTTAGATTAATGATGAGTTGTGAAAGCTGGGATTCAAACCCGAGTCCCGTCTTCTCGGGTTTGCCATCCTACAGACATTTATTTTTTTCATCATTTTCCTGAAGCAAACAGTGCAAACAAATGGATGAAAGACGTGACAGAAAATTATAACATGAGAAAAGCATGAAGTCTGGACTAACTCTCTGCACTATTACGTTAAAAAAGTAAGAACCATTCACCTGCATTGATGGCATGTTTCTCCCATCTCTGGATCATAAACGCGCTTCCCATCATCGCCACATCCATCCAGGTGTAGAGTCCAAGTACTCTTAAAGTCACCCAATAGCTTCTCATCTTCTTCCGTGTATATTTCTGGCTTAGAACCTTCTCGCAATTGAATTTCTACATCCATAGAGGCTTCCTTCTTACTTTTAGGCTGTATTTCCATATAATTAATTGAAGCCATGCTTTTTAACCTACCAAAAAAAAAAAAACAAGATAATAGCATATTCACAAGCACAAGGTTATAACAAGCAATAAACAACAGAACCCTAAATACCCAAGAAACAACATAAGACTAGACACCAAAAGTCTTCATTTTCCTGCCCAGTCTAGTTATTTCTTTCCTGCCCAAATTAGTTTTCATTTTCCAACCCTAAATTTCTTTTGGGTTAATTGTCATCTTTCACGAGTTTTTGAGACCTAAGTTCGCTAGACCCGTATGCTGTTTTCCCCTCTCTGCTTTCTTGTCTAAAAAGGTTAAAAATTTCCCCTATATTTTGTAGTAATAACATCATTTTGCTCGGGAGAGAAAAACAAAATTTTGAACAAACAAGACATTCGGAATTCCTTTTCTGCTCAAGACTTCATCCCTCCAAATTGCGGACCAAAAAAAAAAAAAAAATGGAAAATGAGACCTTCTGTAATATGAAAATTGGCAATTCCAATTTATAAATAATACATCTTAAAAACAAAAACGACAAAGCAGGACAAAAATAATTGTAATAAAAAACCGCTCTTTCCATTATGCAACTCTCCCAATAAACGAAAAAATTTAATAAATAAGGTCAATTTACCTAGAAGAGCGTCTCGGGGAGGCAGAGACAGGCAAAGGGATAAGAGGTTCCTTCTCAGAAGCAACATTTCCTGGGGTTTTCTTAGGTCGGCCTCGCTGTGCCTTAAGCTTAAGAGAAAGGCCAAAAAGACCCAACTTCTGCATTCTTTCCTTGTTCTCTTTGATCCTCTGGTCCCTGAACTGTTCATACCCTGGCATTGCTCCTGAATCCACTCCTTTTCCCTTCTGTACAGTCCTTCCATTGTCACTGCTAACATCAGGGTTCCTGTTTTCTCTGGCAATGGTGGTAGTGTTTTTTCCCCGTGCTCTTATTCTCCTGGTTGACACCATCTTTCTACTTCTCTCCCTCCCTCGCTCTCAATCAATCAAGAGCTGTAACACAGGCAATGTTCAAAATGAAGGGACTTTGTTTTAGGGTGGCGGGAACAGGAGAGGAGATGAATGAGGAAGTGACACGTAACGGGAAGGCGACTTTATGCCATTGGGTTGCCAAACAAATTTGGTCGCATTCTATGGAGTCTGTCGCCTCGGTCTCCTTAGTTCAGTTAGTGCTGGACGTGGTGGGCTGAGGGAAAAATGTTAGTAAAACAGGTTAAAGCTGTTTGACCAATTTATTTATGCCATTGGGTTGCTAAACAAAGAGCTTTTACAATCAGAGGTTAAAAAACAACATATCGACAGTACAATATATATATATATATATATATATATATATATATATATATATATATTTATCATCCTTTTTTCTCTTTGTTCTGTTAATCTTCGTAAATCTAGCATGAAGTCGTCGGCAAATGTGCACTAGAGGAAATGAAGAATTTAAACTTGGAAACATATTAGGGATGAACCGATTTGAGGTATAATTGTACATTACACATGTTGCTAGATTCGCGACAATCCAAAATCCCCATGACAACGGGTACTGCACTGCACTGCTTGAATTGGCAGAAAACTATACACAAAAAGCACCATCCTCCTCTATACAAACTCTAAATTTGCAACTTCTGTACAGTTTGAATATACGAGCTGTACAGCTAATGCCCCTGTTCCAAAATAATTCAGTACATCACCTAGCCCTGTTTTGGAATTCCTAACACCTCACCTGATTGTTCTTAGTTGTGAACAAAATGAATATGATGGGCAAAGCGAATTGATGAAAGCATGTAATCTGTTGATTCTTTGAATTGGTTGTTATATTTTGATTTGGATAATAGTTGGTAAGATAATCAACTGAAACCAAGAATTTGCTATGCAGGTGGAGCACGCATCTTCTCGTTGAGACCCAGCAAAAGATCCCGGAGCTCAGGGAAAACTGATAAAACTAGTAGTTCGAGTATTCCATATGTAAGTTGCTTCACACAGATCGTAGACTGCAATCCACAAGAAAGGAATTATATCAGTCAGCTCAAAATAATATGACAACAAACAAAATTTATGACACAAAACATTAAAATGATTTAACAGCACCCTAACCCAATGCATAAAAAGGATAGGGGGCTAAACCTGAGTGAAATAAAAAATGTCTCTTGCACAGCGCTTGTACTGCTTATTTCCAATCAAGCTGACTAAGGTTGTTGGAGCTCCATCTGACAAAAGGGGGAAATTTTGTAACTATGTTCTTAGTAAATGTAGTCAAGCAGTTGAAACTAGAATTCTGATTTTAAAAAGACTGTTTATCCAAAATTGAAAGAGAAAATCTAGACCTCAACTCATACGTTGCCATCCAAACAACTTACAAGTAAACAAAAAACTATTGCTGACAAAATCAGACCACCATAACTTTCTATGACTTGTTTTTGTTACGCATGGAAACATTTAGGAAAACACGTATACACGCTGTTTGGATGACAGTTACAAGGAATGAATTGAAAGAGAGTAACTTTTCCCCTCTTAAGAGAGGGAGGGAGGGAGAAATGTTTCTCATGTTGCTCCAAACAGTTTCCTAAAGCCTGCTGGATGCTGTCAGAAATGGAACTTGTGTGAAATCAAAGTTTGACTACCAAATTGGAGAAAAATATGGCAATGCTATTAGAAGGGGAAATAAAAAAACCATTCAAACTAATGGAAATATCTCAATGAGATAATAATGATCAACGAATCCACTATGACCATGGGTCCAAACTCAAGAATGGTAAAAGGACCTCAAATTATTGAATATACTCACCAAAGAGCATTTTCTTGATGTCACTGGCTCTACGAGCAGCCTCAAGTTGTTCCTCGAACGAACCTTTATTAGAGACCTTACTGCCACCCAGTTGGCTAATCTGAAAAGGCATTTGATTTAGTTGATCATCATCAACTTTGCTTTGTGCACTCCTTGTTCTTGTAAAGAATATGCCATTCGGCCAGAGAATCTGAAAGTAATTCATAAGAAAAGGACAAGAAAACAATAAAATGCCTATCTGATCAGGATCGGCAAAAAAGAAACAGAAGCCATACTAATAGGTAATCAAGTCAGCACAATGAAATTAAATTTAACAGAAACACAACCTAACTGAGATAGCCACATCAATGCTTTATCTTTTTATGTTTTTTTAACATGTTCACTATCAAACACAAGAAAGAAGCCCCCGTCTAATCCTGCCTTGGCAACTAGAAGGCATACCAATGAAAACATTTTACCAAGCACCATTCACATGTATGTTGGGCAACAGTTTAGGCACCTAGAATCTATGTTGTAATTTAATTTATGTTCAGGTCTCTGGGATGCAACAGCAGCAAAAAAACATAAGAACTCCTATGATAACCCTCATCTTAGGTTGTAAAGCTGGCAGCCCAAACTCAGTATGAAATACGCCCAGAATAATCTTGAAAAGGTTAAATAGCCAATTAAAAACACATCTCCATTTATTTTGGTGTTAAATGCAGGATTTAAGCATAAAGCCCTCTGAGAAAATTTGCTCATTAAAGTTGACAAGCCCCAGTCATGCTTGAGGTAGCAACATTATACTGGCGCAATGCCAAGTAAATTGTTTTGTATAAATCAAGTATGCAGTTGATCCAAGATTTGTACAGTTGGCTTAATGAAGAAATTAAAAATTGGTTCAGTCCTTACATCTTGCACCCACTGAATCCCCAGAGCTATAGTGTCCTCTCTCCGAAGCCAATAAATTTGCCTCAAAAGCCAGTCATCAATAGCATCTTCCATTATCAGCTGCAGTATTTGTTTTGATATCCAAAAGACCTGTCTTCTGTATTAATAAAGATGGGGACGTGAGAAAGAATGACTAATGATATCACAATAACCAGACAACAACATGCTGTAGAGGGTTATTCATACCATGAAAGGGAGCAGGATTATAATATATTCAGAAACAGTTTAGTAGACCAACTTTTGACAGAAAAATTATCATGCATTTAGATTTCATCAAATGTAATCTGGAATTCCCCAAATATCCGCTAAAATTTCTAAGCTCAAATACGTAGAACATAACCAAACTTCAGCACAGAGTTGAGTCGAATGTGTAGACTCAAATGCATATATTCAGCTTAGGAATCTGTCTCAAATTTTTCAAATGGGATAGATTTTGAGATTCTTTCCCAAATTTAAGTCCATGAATCAAAATGTAAGACCTCCATATCTAATTGCTTTCTTTGTGATATAGTTCTCATTATATATTTCATCTGATTCTTATCTCACACAATTTAGGGCAGCATGCACAAATATAAGGTAGGGAGAAAGGACAGGAATTGCTATAAATAGAATATGCACCACTTCCTATAAACAAATGAACTGATGAGAAAATTAACTAACCTCAGCCAGCCTCTTCTTTTAAGCTGAAACACCTTATCAACTAGATTCAGCAGAGGTACGCTTACATTAGATGGAGTCCACTGCCAAAAAAAAAAAAAAAAAAAAGGGACCAAAGTCAAGCTTCCCGATGTAGTGAATTAAAACAAGCTTCAGAAATCAAGTGGAAGGCTAAACATTTTTATAAAAGCAATGTCTCATATGAACATTGTGCGATGACTGCAATGTCTGACATCATCATTTCTGGAAAACAGATTTAGTTCTGCAGTTATCTTACTCACTTCTTCTGTCCCTAACTCAAAAAACTTCCACCTTTAACAACATTTTCTATTTTGATATCTTAGGGCCCTTGCCCAACAGTCACCTTTCTCATCTGCCACAAGGTTTTTGCCAAGTTTTATCCTACATCTGCCCTTTCCTGTTTTAATACTATTTAAAACTTGTGATCCTCAACTCCTGGAACAAAGTTTTTAATATATTTGATATCTGACAACAATGTGCTACTCAGCCATTTCAGGATTTCCCCTTATGATTTTATCAACAACGTAAATTCCGAGGAGACCTCCATTAATGGACAATAACCTCAACAACTTTTAACATGAAGTTGATCACTCAATTTGTTTAGGTTAAACAAATTTGATGCATCTCTTGCTAATCTACCTGAACAGTTTACTCCTAGAACATGAGTTTCTTGGATTAAATGCATTATACTAAAATGAAAAAAAGTTATTAGCAAAACTATGACTCAGCTGGCTTTTGATATAAACATCAGGGAGACAGCAATTGCCTAACAAAATGCAAGAAATAACTCAAAGCTGGGGAGCAGAAGGTGGTAATCTGTATGTTTATAAGATTCACGTGTATGGTTAATTAATAACGAACTCAACTCAACTAAATGTTGATACCAAAATAAATGAAGTCAGATGTACGAACTGCCCAGTCTTAAGAAGGCAATGCTTAATTTAAACACTCAACTAAAATGGCAAATCTACAAAAAGAGCCTGATATTTTGCTCTATCAACTCAAACAGGTAATTTGACATGCACCAACACACAAATATCTTTTGCAGAAAAGGCCACGAGCCATGAAGAAAATAAGGAAGAAATTGAAGATAAACAAACTCAAAATACCTCAGGTGGCATTCCAACTGGATCATCCATATGACAGGACGCTATGGCAGAGTTTGCTACAGAAAATCCGCCATGGTTAATCTGTTCACTTTTCTCAAAACCTAAGGTCTGTGACTCGTCGCAGCGTTTGATCACCCGAGGAGGAAAACCCTTTGCATTCAATTCGTTATCTGAATGCCAACCATTGGCTTGTGCAGTGGATCCAACTCCCTTCTGGTCCTGGTTTTCTTGATTATGACTTTCTTCAGTATCAGAAAAGCTGTTCACGGTTTCTAAGGTATCCTGCCTCAAGACATGTTTATTCACATCATCCGAATGCCAGGACAAGTTCCTGCTGTAGATTGAAGAATCGGTTTCATCAAGTGGGGAAGTCGAACCAACAACTTTACGCATAAAGCCATCTGAAACCCCTTTGAATTGACGCACAATATCATCCACAGCATCATCCACGTTGACTGTTTGAGTTAAAAGTACAAATTGAAATGAGGAAAATGTTTTGAGCTCAGGTGATAGACAAGAAACCATGCTCATAGATTTCAATCAGGATCCACAACATTAAACTAACAGTAACTAAGATGATTGTACTATTCACAGATTGAAAAGGCTATAGAAGTCTTGGATAAACAGTTCACTTTGAACCTAAACTACTTGTTTGCAAAGTAGGGGCCACATGATGCGCCGGGGGGGGGGGGGGGGGTTACAAACAAAATGTTCAATCTGAGGCAAGAAATTTGATGCAATCCAGGAATATGCATTGTCTTTAAGTAATTCAGACTTCAGTACATAAGCCAAGGAAGCAAATTCTCTCTCCAAGATATTCTCTATTGTGCAAGCGTGTATGTGTGTGTGTGAGAGTGTGCGTGTGTGTGTGTGTGTGTGTGTGAGAGAGAGAGAGAGAGAGAGATGAGCAAGTAGGTGCATTAGAAGTGAAGGTGTAGTTTCAATGAGATATTCTCTATCGTGAGAGTGTGTGAGTGAGAGAGAGGGGGAGAGAGAGAGAGAAAGAGAGATGAACAAGATGGTACATTAGAAGTGAAGGTGTAGTTTCAAATAAGAAGCTACCTGCCAGGGTTCTCATGACCGAGGAAGGTTTCCCAAAAGAGTAATTCTTCAAAAGGAAGGTAAAAAAAAAACAGAAACAAACGAAATTCAGTCGTTCAGCTTGACAAATGAAAGTATAAAGAACATAAAAAAGGAGCAAAAAACATGTTCAACTAAAATCTACAGCAACAGATTTCAATTTACACAGAATTCATACCTTTGAGGAAACACTTAAGAAATCCCACACTTCATGCTGCTCCGCAACATTGGCTATGGACAAGAGATCCTGGGAAATACTACATGATCAAAGAAGTGGACAAATGAAATAAACATTCTCAAGAAAGAAGAAATAAAGAGTACAGATTAGACAGTACTTGAAGATATTTATCAAGCTGAATACAGCGTTGATGAACAAAAGCATCTTCAGTGCTTGATGAGAATATCCTTTTTGGAGGCAATTGTAACGTGTAATTAGGAATTTCTTTTAGATGTCTATGCAATCTCTCAAAATTCCTGTATCTGCAGAGAAGGTGGAAATTGATACAAAAGCAAAAGAGCTTCCAGTTACCTAGAAACTTCTGGAATTTTCACATGGATTACATTAATGCAGTGGATATCAGAACAGTAAATGGAGCGGGTCAAGAAAAAGTAAAAATGTTCATAAAAGTAGTAGCTTTGAATTATCTCTAGATAAGAACAAACCTTCTTTTCACAAACCAAGTTCTGTTCTCTGAATCTGTCACTGCTATTGAGTAAACTGCAAAAGATTTTGACCCAAGTTTCTCAAAATATGCTCCCATGACCTGTAAAGACATGGATATACAAGGTGTAAAATAACTGAATTAGATTCAAGCATGATGACTGGTAAAGAGCAAGGCTCAAGAAGCCGCTCTACTTTAAATTCCTTTATTGCACAAAGAATCTAGCGACAATTTATGTTCTAAATCTGTATGTCTCACAGTGATTTCAGAAAAGAATGCACACCCGACACTTAAGCTTGGAACTGTGAGGTCCCTCGCTGCGAAGTACCATGTCTGAAACCTTCTTAACAGCACGATCTGCACTCCTATGAAAATCTGGGCTGTAAAACTCTGAGAGAACAGATCCCCCACCATCTCCCGTAAATGCCTTCTTTTTATCAGGCAAGGCTTTTAGAGCAGAGGTGCTATTGGATCTCTTAAGCCCACCTCTGCTTTCATTCGAAGAGAGTTTGCCAGCATTTTCCAATTCACCACCGACACGCGAACCTTCAATAGACAACTCCAGGCTACCATCCTGCGTAAACTGTATCCCATCTCTATTTTTATGACTTGTTAAAGTATCTAGACTTGATCCAGGTGTCAGGGGCACTATAGCTTTCTCCTCCATCTCTGTAGAGATTACATCACTATTTGTTGGCATATCTTTTGGTAAATTTGTAGTAGCTGCAATGTTCGTAACAGAACTCTTTCCCATTGATTGCTGAACCCTTGCTTTGGCACTCTTGTCTTTGACATGCTTCTCTTTCTTTTTATAATTTCTTCCTTTCGTCCACATATTTTCCAGATTTTCAGGTGTAAGAACTTCCGTTCTTCTCTGGGTCGCCACCTCTAATATTCGTGCCCACTCCACAGGATGTGGCTGAACAGGCTCTTGTTGGTGTGAGTTATCGAAGTATGTTTCTCTGTAATCATCAATTTTCACCAAAGTTTTATCAGTCCCTTTATAACCCATTTTGTTGTCAAAAATCTCAGTCCTTTGACCATTTAAGGAAGGATCTATTCTTGAAGTAGAGCCGACATTATGCACACTCCCTGCAGGTTGATCACCACCAGCCTCTTTCGGACTATCATCTTTAATGGCAAGTAAAATCATTTCAAGCACCTCATTGATATACCTGGTCACACAAAGCATGACTATAAGATTCAATACAGTTAGGTACATATTAACAGAAAAGAAATACAAATTTTATCTAATCTGAAGTGTATTACATATAAAAAAATGATAATAAAACATTTGCAGACAATAAACCTATCAGGATGGTCATAGCAACAAATATTTGAAAATTATTCAACTCTGAAACATTTGGTGGAGGATAGTGCTGATATACACTTATTCTGTCAGACAGTCCAACCAGCAACAACAGTTGATAGCACGGCTTCTTAGGAGAGAATTTTAAGGATGCAGTTTTTCCCACACTGATAATTACCATGCATAGCCGATACAATACCGAGAAAATCTTGTTCATAACGGTAAAAGAAAAGCCGTCACAATATTCTTTTTTACCTTAAAGGTATAAGGCATGATATATCAAGTACACAGCTTAGAAATGTGCATTTTAGCGAATGTGCTCAGTTATCCAAGCTAAAAAACAAACTTAAGCACATCGTTTTCCTATAGCAGATAATTACGATTTGTGACAGACAATATCAGTGCCAAGTAAATCTTGTACATAACAAAATCTAAAAGAAAAGCTGTCAAAACAGCCTATTTCACCTTAAGGGGACCCTATAGCAATTGCACAGTCCAGAAATGCCATTTAGCAGAATTCATCAATACTTCATATAAGATATATAATCAATGACCGAGTTTTTTTTTTTTACTGCATATATTTCATGCAAATGGTTCTCAGTAAAATATATGAATTTTTCTACTCTTTTCAGGAAAACTTGCTGTAAGTTGCTTCACAGAATGTTGTCAATTTCATTTCAAAAGTGCCTAACAGATAGACAGCAATGAGCTGTCCTAAGAACTAGTTGAGTCACTTGCCCTCAACCTCCCTTGCGCCCCTCCTACCCTCCCTTCCTTGATAAATCTGTCTTTTTCATGAATATATTTCATATTTCTTCTTTCCTATGAACACCAAATATCAGGAAGCACGTGCACACATTCTTAGAATGAGGACTTGTGCAAAGCAACATAAAATTACTTTTAAATCCAATTTTTCCTCTAGTTCTCATGTTGCACCTAAAATAATCTCATTATTTTTAGAAAATCTCCATTTATAAGGACAAAAAAGGCCAACAACCAAGACTGAGTAATCTAGGACACTTACGCAGGGCTTGCAAGACTTATAAGAGGCTGCATTACCAAGCAGGTTACGATCTCTCGAGCAATAGTTCGAACCAGTGGACATTGAGCTTCACGAGGTCTTAGTACTATAGCTAAAACTCCACCAATCAATTGTTGGAGAACCTTTTTGGAAGAGAAAATTGGAAGCAAAAGAGAAGGATTATTAAATAAAATAAAGACGATACATAACTACATAAGAAAGCAGAAAAGAGGAAAAATAAATAAATTATTGGAACACTGCACTCACACCTTGTACTCACTCTCAGGAGATATCAGCGCAGGATGAAGCTCCTTAGAAGTCATTAGATGGTGTTTCAACCTTTCATCTCTCTCTTCAGTAGAAAGAGTTGTCATTACATCAGCACCTATAGCTGCTTGGTTTCGTCTAAAGAGGTCTAAGTGATCCCCTATTAAATCAACTATATCCCTGCAACAATAGATGATCTTTAATTCCAACTTTTCATACATAAAGCTTCTCAATGAATATTTAACAAAGAAAAGTTTCAGGACAACTTGTGTGAATTATATCATTTTGGAAAGGCTATGGCATGATGAAGAAAAATTTACCTTGTTAACAAGTCAATGAGGTTTATCTCTTTCGCCCTTCCAGATATCTCACCAAGAGCATCCATGATTACTGACCGCATCAGCTCAGGTGCATCCCTATCTGACGTAATTTCTGAATACCACAAATCTACCACAAAATCCTTCAATATCTTATCAATGAAATCACCAATTGCAGCCTCAACAACTGGAGAATCAATTTTCCTCTTCCACTTTGGTGTCGGTGGAACAGAAGAAAGCCGTGAATCATTGGCAGACAATTGTTTCTTCTCCAAATGTGACAAATAAGACTGCCGACGGACTGACGGACGCACTCTCCAGCTGAACTCCACCTCATTAGACAAAATTCTTAACACAGAAACAAACAGAATCGATATGGGCAGATTCATCCACATTGATGAACTTGTATCTGTAAATTGCCGCAAGATCCATAATAAAAAATATATATATTAATTATCACCACTGTTTTATTCCTAAGGAAAGCACACGAAAAAATGCAACACGCACATAACTAAAAATATTTAATAATCTATAATTCACGAGGACTCCTACAATAAATCAACTTCATGCCACTTAACCTGACTTTTATAGTTAACCTAGGAAAACAAATAAAGACAGGGCTCAAAAATTTTAATTTTCTACATAGTCCTTAATTTTCACAGGTAAAAAATTAATAATAATTATTAGTTTCAAAATCACACAAAAGAAAAGTAAAATAATCAGTTAATAATCACTGAAAAACAACCAATGCCGTGTCAGTAGCAAATTCCATAAAAATACTGACCCTAGCTCAACTGATACAATACCAAACGCAAATACACTCATTAAGTAATCAAAATATCTGAAAATCGAATCTTCAAATAGAATTTTACTATCACTTACACAGAATCAAAATAGCTAAGGAAAAGCGCGAACTTACGAGATAAGAAATAAGTGACGCAAAAGATACAGAGAAACCACCAAACTGTTCTAACTTTGGCTTCTTCGATCAGATCCTGTATTGTCTCCATGGCCTTCATTTTTTGTTTTCTAAACCCTAGAATTTCACAATTTCCCTCGCAATCAAAAAAGAAAACGAAAATCTAGATTGCTATCGATGGTTTTGATCGTGAGGGAGCCGAAGGGAATTTGGAGTCAATTTTATTAGCATTTGATTTAATTGATTTTTTTGCAACAGAGAAAGACTGACTTGCGTGTTTTAATTATTTACAGATAGAGAGAGACACAGAGACAGAATATATTTTTTGTACGTGGACAGGGAGAGGTGCTTGTGCTTGCTCCAACTTGGTTTGTGTAGTTGCCACGTAGGAAAACAGTAGTCCGGGGCAACTACTCCCCGGCTTCGTAACAATTTGAGGGGGGGGGGGGGGGGGTGGTGTGTGTGTAGGGGATGGGAATTTCCTAGAAATACTTAATTAACATTTGGTCAACTACCGTTTTTTTATTCACTCACACATTTTAGAGTATTTGTGTCTTGCGAGCTGGTTTTCTTAGCCAAGGCAGATCAGATTTTATTGATCTATGTCCAAAATTGATGTATTTTAAAGATTTTTTTTAATAATCTTTCTTGAATTGGAACCCAAAATATTAATCACCTTATCATCTGGATTGGAATTCAAAGCTATATCCATTTCATAATTTCAGTAACTCTACCTTGTAATTTAAATCCCAACAGCCAAAAAAAATAATAATAATAACTAAATCTTTTTCTATTTTAAAATACCAAAATCAACTAAAATTTAAACTTACAAGGCAATTGCGTCCAAATATAAAAATTGTGAGAATACAAATTTTTTTAAAAAAAAGAAATTGGAGTTTTTTTATTCTTCTTTTTTAATAAGATTTTTAAAAAATTTATTTCTCAAAATAGGATCATTTATGCCATATATACTCTATGCTATCTGTTCATGTGATTTCTTTTCTTAATGTACATATTAGTAAAACTCTAATTATTGATGCCGAAATCTTATTCCAAACAAACAATTAAATAGAAAACTCTATCCTCCAGCTTCATGTGCGTTGGTTATATTTTCATCAGATGCAACTAAGTCATTCTCATCCACCTCTTTAAGGCACGTTCATCTATATATAAAATATGATAAAAACTGGATATATCAATTTAAAATTATTTTAATGGGTTATACTTTATTATACGATCAAGTGTAAATTCTCTCTGTATCTTTTGGGATCAGAGCGATCGCTTGTTATTCCCTATTACTGTCAGAAATTAGAATTCATCAATCCCAGGTGTTCACTTCTCTCGTATGTTAAGCAGGGTTTCTTATATTTTATGGAAATATGCATAATATGCTCCACTTTGTAGAGATTTAGAGTCGTGCCCGGGCTTCGCTCCGGAAAAATTTTAACCTAGTATTATTGATATGTAATTTTTCATTTCCTCTCTTTGCTTTCAATTACTTGTAATATTACTATAAATTTAATAAATATAAGTTATAAAATAGAATTTAAGGTCTAAATATAAAAATTAACTATTAAATTTTTCATTAAGTCAGGTTTTTAAATACACTATTTAATTTGATTTCCTGTTCATGGACTGCGTTCTTTGCACGAAAATCAAACTTATCAATATAAGAAAATTTTAATTCACTGATGAAATCATAAGTTTATATTTTATATAGAAAAGCTTGGAGGGAAAAAAACTTTGAATTCAAAGAACAAAACTCTGAAAAAATAAATGAAAAACCCATCAAATCCACACTTCAAATCGAAGAAGAAGAGAGGAAAAAATACAAAATAAATGAAAAACCCACAGAATCCACACTCCAAATCTTATAAATTTTTAGAACATATCTTGAAGAAGAGAGGAAAAAAACAAAACAAATGAGAAACTCATAAAATTCACACTTAAAAGCTTATCATTTTCAAAAACTAAAAGGGTTGAAAGCATTTCTGAAAGGAGACGGAAGTTGAAAGCGGCAGTGACGAGAGAAATATTTTCTTTATTATTATATACCATGGATGGAAGGCCAAGATTTTAGGTTAAAAATGAAAGGCTAAGATTTTAGTCTATTAATTCCAAAAGACAAAAATGGGTTGGGAGTAAGAGAAGAACAAGTAAATAAGAGAGGTTAAAAACGTAAATGAGAAGCTGAAAAATATAAATGAAAATATGAAAGAAGGGCGAGCAGAGATTATCACAAACAAAAGTAATGAATAGCGTAATTAAGTGTGAATAAATAGTAAAAAGTCTTATTCTTTTATTTCTTCAGTTAATAGAATTTCATGCTTGTTTCTTCCAAAGAAAACAAATACAATTAAAATTTGCAATCAAAACTAAATGTTGTAATATTGTAAGTATAATTTATCTTTCTTTGTCGAAATACTTAAATGTTTGTATTACTGTATATAAAATTTATCTTTTTTTTTCTATCACTTTTCTAGAAGGTAACACGTACCCATGAATTTTACAGGATTATTGCTATAAAATTAGGTTAATGGATTTAACAATATTTTTTTTATCTAGCCAGGAGAGCAGGAGAATTGTGTAGGCCTTTTGATTACTACAAGCCTCTCAAAAAATTAAGTTGTAACAAAATGATAGAAAAGGACAGGGTGGGACTGGCGGTCCCTATGTTAATCAGTACTTCCATTTGCTTTTCCACCAACAATGGCTGTAATTATCGTTTTTTCCACACTTTGTTTATTCTAATTAAATTAAAAGATTTAGTTTCATTAATATTATTGAGAGAAAATGACATATAACATTAAAAATCTTATATAGAAAAAACTACCTTACCTTGATAAATAAATTTAAAAAATCTTTTTTTTTAAGATTCAATAGTAAAGATGTTCTCGAGTCAATTTTTACTTATTTCGAGATTAATTTTTTCTTGAACGTGATTAAAAAGTATCTCAACTCATGATCTCATATGTTTTAAAAATAAATTCTAAAAAAAACTGACTATAAAGATAGAATTCTAAATTTAGTTTGTAAATTAACGCTTATTTATCAGTGAAATATTGGTTTTGTGTTTAAAAATACCATATTTTGATAAAAAAAAAAAATCAAACCACAAATTGTCTGGGAAAAAACTCATCCAATAACAAAACAAAAATATCACTAGACTTGTATTTGTAGGTTGTACTTAGAAAAAACGAAGGCATTGCCAACCTCTAGCTGCACACTCGACCGCAGAGCAATGCTATGTTTAACCAACATAATAAAAATTATGATATTTGTTCATAATTTTTTACCGACATAATAAAAATTGGCTTTGAAATTTCCAAGGGAACAGTAGAAAACCCATATCAATAAAGTCACTGTAAATAATTGATTAAAAAAAGATCTCGATGTCTGTCGAAAAGCAAAGCAGAAAAGTGAATGAAAGAGAGAGAGCTAAATATGGGAGTATAGCCAAATACATTTTTTTGAAAAAAGGAATCTAATAGTGGAATTTGGCTTTGCATCATTTTTTCTGGACAAGGACAGCCACTGCCAAGGTGGCCGTGTTGATAATGGAGGCCCATGTGGGCACGCCGTGAAAGCAAGTTACAACAGCTTCATATTCGGACCCGTGAGCCTTGAGCTGCCCAGTTTAAGGTTTTTTTTTCTTTTTCCTCGAAAAGTTTTTGCTTGGGCACAAAATAAAAGTTCTCTTGAAATAGGAAGGAAGTAGGAATTTTTTTTTCCATTTTCCCAAATAAAAATATATATCTTAATTGTTTAAAATAAGTCTTACTTGTAATAGATTTTTGAATGGTGTATTATAAAGAAATTAAGTATTTATCCATCTTAAAACATAAGTAATGTCTAATTTTATTACAACGGAGAAGTAGATGTTACAACATGATCACGATGCTCTAATGGCCTTCTGAAATTTCTACCTTGGCCTTCACAAAAAAAAAGTAATTTTATTAATTTGGATGAATTGTGCATTGCTTTGCAAACCTAATTATATATTTTCTCATATTATTTTATAACTTTTATAGCTATACATGATAAGTGTATAATTATATATTTTTATTTCCTTTACTTTATAGTTTTTAGTTGTATTTCGCGTCTAATTATGCTTTTTTAAAGTTATATTTGTGTTTTAGGTATGACTACAAAAGTCATTGGTAGTTTTATTGGTAGTTTTATTTAATTATACAAAAAAATCCAAATTTTTAGTATTTTTACCTTTTGGTCTTCTTATAAGGTTTTGACCATCATAGAGTTCTAGGTCATGAAAGTAATCTTCAAAAATTCTATAGAAGACATCCCGAGCTTTTTAGAATAGTATTATGGGCTAAAATTCGAGTTTGTTTGGGTCTCCAAATGTTGGCTCAAAGTCGAGTTAGAAATTGAAATCAAATCCTAATTGGAGTAAACTTACGTCCGAACACCGAAGTTATAAAGATGCATATATGAAGTTTCGACATCTTAATCGGGTAATTCAAAGCCCACATCAATAGCTACAATTACTATGAAGATCCCAAGATCCATTTTAGCCTCTAGCTCATCCAAAATTGATGTTGAAGTTTCAATATCAAATTTGGAATCTAATCATGTCGGTTTTGGAAAGATGCTAGGCTATTTTATTTAATCCTTTGACTTAATACTCTAGTAGCTAGAAAGTCCTATTTTTATTTTTTTTTTAGGAAAAACACATTTCTTGTAACCGAAAGAGAAGGAAGAGACATTGCAAGAGTGGTAAAATATAAGTTTATGGTTGAAGTGCTTTCATTGAAAGAATTAACCTTTGGATTTAGATCTTTCTTTATTACGTTTCTTTTCAAATTTTTTGGTGTAAAATATTAGGCTTGAGTGGGAAAAAAGGGAAGGTGGTAGTTGTTGAAAACAACTCATTCTTTTTCTTTTATTCTTGTGTTTTTTAAAAAGCCATGGTTGGCTAATTGTCTTTTTTTCGATTAGTCTTAACCGAAACGATCATTGTAAACTTGCAAGACCCGTTCTTTTACATTATTTTTCAATTGAATATATGGTTTACTTCTATTTTATGTGTTGAACAATTGAAGAATAGATCGAAAACAACTCATTCTTTTTCTTTTTCTTTTA